TCAATCTGAACGACCTGGGTTCAATCCCCAGTACTATAAATTTTTTTTTTAAATTAGTATTTTAGACTCTCTCTGCTATACTACAGAGTTTCTAAAAATCTCGAGCCAGGCATGGTGGTGCATGCCTAGGATACACAGAGAATCCAAGGCCAACCTGAACTACACCGCAAGAGCCTGTCTCAAAAAGGAACAAACAAAAAACAAACAAAAGTGCCAGAGTTTCTAAAAGTCTCAAGGGTGAAGTTGAAGGCCGAGCTGAGTGAGAGGTAGAGCACTTGCCTAGCAGATGCAGGGCCCTGGCTTCCATCCCTAGCACAGGGGGAATTTTTTTTTTTTTTTTCCTGAGACAGGGTTTTGCTATGCAATTCAGGCTGGCCTAGAACTCACTTTGTAGCCTGGGCTTGCCTCAAACTCATGTCGATCCTCCTGCCTCAGCCTCCTAAGATTACAAGCAGGAGCCATTGGGAACAAAATCTTAAAGGTCTTGTCCCAAGGCAGGGAGGCAACAGCTCAGAGCTGTGTGGCGTGGCTCTCTTGGGCCTCAGGGCATTACAACCTGCTCTGAAGCCACAGCAGAAATTATACTGAGGGGCAAAGCGGGCATCAGCCTGTGGCTGGCAGGCTCGTGCAGGAGTGGAGGAAGCCAAGAGACCACAGAGAGCTCCCTCCTCACAGGATGAGGTCACTCACCCACTCATTCACTCTGCCACACTGTCACCTGCTCATTCCGTGTGCCTTCACTGACACATCTGTCATTCTACAGACAGCCACGGGGTTTTCTGTTTGTTTTTGCTTTCCGGTACTAGGGAGCAAACCCAAGGCCTCACACTGAGCTACACCCTCAGCCTTTCTTCTGTTTTCTTTGGAGACCTTGCTAAATTGCTAAATTGCTAAATTTCCCAGGCTCGGCTCGAGCTCACAATCCTCCTGCCTCAGCCTCCCAGCGTGCTGGGATTATAGCTGAGCACCACCATGCCTGACCCCAGATGGCTTTGCTCCAAGGGCACTTGCCAGCAAGAGCAGCCAGACAGACACTAGTGACCAGAGTGGCTGTGGTCAGCAAAGAAGGCTACTCAGCGGGCTGGGGGTCACTGGTGGGGACAGCACCCATGGCGAAAGCCTGCTCCTGACCCCCAACACTGAAGCACTTGCACCTATCAGCACAGCACAGCCACAAGGCTCAGCTTTGACTCCCAGCCAAGGACACACCTGGGCCTCAGTTTCTCCACATGTGAAATGGGTGATGGCAAATATTAGTCACCCATGATGGGGCAGCTGGAAGAATTAAAGGGAACTTGGGCTTGGCACGTGTCAGACCCCAGAAGAGACTCGCTATGGGTCAGAAACAGAGGGAGAAGGTGAGCAGCCTAAGGTCACACAGCTCAGAGGTAGAAGAGGATCCCTGTGTCATGGGGCAAGGTGAGGCAGTGTGGGCACTGGAGACCAGCGCTGAGGACACTATGGCCCGGGCCTCTGATAGTGCCCTGCAGCCCATGGATTAGTTATCTCTGGCCACACAGTGCTGAGTAACAAACACCTTGAGCACAGCAGGGTTGCACAGCCATGTATGAGTCTTCCCCATCCTGGCTGCCCGGGCGCAGCTGACTGCCAAATGGGCTGAAAGGCCTGCAAGTGGCTCTGTCTGTGCTGCTCGGCTTTAGGAGACTGCCCAGGCATGTGCTCACAGTGACCACAGAGGTGCCAGCGAATCTTCAGATCTCTAGCCCAGCTGCTAGCGCAGAGGTCGGGAGGGCAGCACCCAGAGACGCCCCTGCACCTCTGCCCCCACCCAGGCCCTGGGCGACTCCCATCTGCACCCTGGGCCACACCCTTGTGATCAACCATGGCCTTCCTGCCAGCTCCCTTGCCCCTGGGGAGACGCCCAACACTTTTGGGGCCACAGAAGTGATCCATGTTGAAAGCAGATAGTAGAAAAAACCCAGTTTGACTTTGTTTTCTCAAAACAGTCCTGCATGAGCACTTTTTAATAAACACCCCTGCTGAAGGCTCCGTGCAAACTGCTGACCTGTTCTGATTAAAATGATTCCAGGGTGTTCTACCTGGCTGGCATGGGAGAGAATGTTTTCTTTCACTGAGTTTTTCTAGCTGCTCATTGTGTCTGTGAAGAAAGGCCACGGGAGTCTCTTAAAAGTTTTTTATTCAGGTCACATGGATCTGCCAGCTAAGTAATCCTGTTACCAATAATAATAATTTAATTCCTTTGTCCACTGTTTGACTGATTGATTTTGGTTTTCTGAGAAAACCAAACACAGTCTCACTGTGTTGGTCAGGCTGGCCTTGGACTCACTACGTTGTTCTGGCTGGTACTGCATTTCTCTTTCCTGGTCAGGGATTGTTCTATTTAAGTTTCCTTCTCTTCTGAGGGCAGCTTTTCTGCTCATTTATAGTTTCCCAGAAAATCACTTTACTCAGCGTCTCCAATTTTTTTTTTCATTGCTCCCAAGAGTGGAAATTGTCTTTTACATTTCTTCCCACTTCCTATTTCGGTGTCTCCTAACACTCACTCACAGCCAAATTTCCACATCATCCTGAAACCTGGCTCTCTGCACACTCGGCCCCAGGGATGCTCCGCAGGCTTCGTGGCTGCCTTGGGGTGCCAGGCAGATTGCTGCATTGGGCATTATGACGAACATCTTTGGATAGAAAGCCTTTTCTATATTTAGAGCTATTTCCTTGGACTGAGTTTTCAGGACCAAATGGTAAACACATTTTGGGGTCAATTTGCTTTCCAGAAGGGTTGTTCCAGTTTGCATCAGCAACCTAGGAAGGAGGTATCTGTTTTTGTCTCCAATGCTGATGAAGACTCTCTGGGAGAGGGGCACTCTCCCTGCAACCAGCAGGATGCCCTCCGGCCATTGCTTGTCACCAACCCCACCTTCCACCCCTTCTCCTGCCTGGGCCTACCCCCTGCCACTCTTGCCTGACTGTAAGGAGTGCCTCCATGATTGCACAGGGCACTGCCCATCCCACCATCTGCCCTGGGATCCTTCCATACTCTGCCTCCCAGCTTGGATGTCACCCTCTGATGTGACCTTCTGAGCATGGCTTTCCTTCCATGGCCACCTGGACAGTTGCCCACCCTAGAGCCCCTCCCTCACAAACTCCCCTCCAGCATATTCTGGTTATCTGCCAGGCGCTTGATGTTCTCACAACTATGGCACTTGGTTCATACCCGTCTTCCCTGTTAGACAGAAGCATCAAGGACCCAGAGTGGCTCCTGCTTTTTTTTTTTTTTTTTGCATTTAAAAAAATTTTATTGGTCCTCAGCTGGGCATGGTAGTGCATGCCTGCAATTCCAGCACTGGGGAAGCTGAGGCAGAAGGATCACTGCAAGTTCAAGACCAGCCAGGGCTACAAAGTGAGCCCAAGACCAGCTTGAACTGCATAGCAAGACCCTGTCTCCTAAAGACTCCCCCCCAAAAAAAGTTTAGATATACATAATGATCACATTCATGTTAGGGAATTTGTACCTGTACGTGATATATATCTTTGTGTGTGTGTGTGTCTTTTTTTTTTTTTTTTTTTTTGAGACGGGGTCTCGCTATGCAGTTCAGGCTGGCCTTGAGCTCACTTTGTAGCCCAGGCTGGTCTCGAACTCGCAACAATCCTCCCACCTCAGCCTCCCGAGTGCTGGGATTACAGGTGTGAGCCAACACGCCCAGCTTCCTGATATATATCTTGATTCTTTTTTTCCCATTCCCCTCTCTTCCCTTCGACCCTCTTCCCTTCCTGATTTATGAAAGCTTTGCGTCCAGTTTTTGCCTTCATTCTCTTTCCCTTATCCCTCCTTTCCTTTCCCCTCACTCTCTCCCTTGCTCCCCATTCCATCTGAATATCGTCCTCCCATTCCTGACATATACTCTACAGTTTGGTCCTGATTTATGCTTTCTGCATTTAGAGCAGAGTCTCAGGCAGCAGCTGAGGACACCCATTAACAGCCCAGACATGTTAGGAGCCTGAGGCCAGTGCCCCTGGCCCAGATGACAGGACTGGGGACCCTGCACTCTGCTCCAGAACCCCAAGACTGTAAAACAGGCTCTCCTCTCCAGGCCACCACCTTTTAGGAGAGATGGGGGAGGTCTGCAGACCTCCAGCAGTGAGGCAGCCCTGGGTGCCCGGAGGAGCAGAAGCCACGGGGCTCCAAGCAGAGTGAGCACGCATGTGGTGGGGGACTGGCCAGTGCCCAGCTGTACCTGTGCCCATCCTCTGCGTGTGGGTCCTGATCGCGTGGACAAGGAGGCCTCGCCCTTCTGCTTCCCCTGGGTCTGGACTCCCCTGTGCAATGGACCCCTTCACCATGCGCACAGCAGGCCGACCCACAACTTCTCCCAGGTGTCCCAGGTCTTTCTCAGGGCAAATCACAGACAACCCCATGAGGCTCTACTCTGCTGATGCTGGGACACAGCCCCATCCCACATCTCAGTCTGAAGTTAAAAATTCCATTTTCCTGGGAGAAAACTTGAGGCTTGGTGATAGGAAGCGACCAAGCCAGAGCTGGATCTAAAGCTGGGAGGAAAAAGGGGCTGGGTAGAGATGGGGACCAAGCAAGGACAGCACAGGGGACGGTCACAGCCCCAGACCTTGCTGGAATCCCTTCTGAATTTTGGTACCGCTCAAGAACTCCTCCTCACCCTGCAAAACCCTGTCAGGTCGTAGCTGAAGGAAAAGAGAAGACTATAGGACTGGCACCAAGTTTGAAGGGGTGAGCAGCATGGATGGCCGGTTGGTCAGTGGCAGGCCACCTTGAGGTCACTGGGACCACTCATCCTTATGCCAAGAGCGTCTGGCATTGCAGTCTGGGTCCCCCACCTCACCCTGCGTATTCAGAGGCATAGGGAGGGCAGGACAAGGCGGGGGAGATGGGAGGGACAATGAGGGCGAGGGCTGGGACTGAGGAGCGGGGCAGGGTTTAGGCCCTGGGCGGGCGATTGGTGTTGGAGGGGCGGGCAGTGGGCGGGGATATGGGCGTGGCTTGGGTGCGAGGGCGGGGCCGGGTTCCGGCTGCGCTCACAGCCGCCGCTGGCCACCCCCCCCACCCCCGGTTCGCGCGCTGGGACCCCGGGCCCGACAGACCTGGGCACCGGCCCGACCCGCGGGGAGGGGGCTCTGGGCGCCGCGGACCCCGCCGGCCCAGCCGAGGTGAGTGTAGCGCGGAGCGGCGTGCGGGCCGCGCGGGGACCTGTCGGAGCCTTTGTCTGCGGCGCGGCCCCCCTCGCCGCCCTCCTTGGGCGCATGGCCCCCAGCACTCCGTCTCGGGAAGAGGGTCTCCCCGCGCCCCGTCCCGCCTTGCAGCCCCCGGTTCCCAGCTGCGAGTGCGAGATCCAGACTGGGAAGGGACAGCGCCAGTGGACCTGGCCGAGCTGGGTCTGGGCACCGCTGGTCCACCCGGCACACCCAGCTCCTCCGTCTCGCGAAGTTCCCCCTGTCACCTCCCCCCGGCCACCTCCCCCGGCCACCTCCTCCGAGTTTCTGGAAAACCTGCTGGAAGAGGCGGGGCCTGGGCACAGGGGTCACCTCGTGGGTGACCCTTGTGCCCGGGGTGGTGACCTGAGGTCCGACTTTGCTGCAAGCAGGTGGAGCCCCTGGGAATGAACCTGCGGGAACCTGTGGGGAGCCTGCCGGGGAGGCAGGGTGGGCCAAGACTGCCCCAGCATCCGGGCTGGCTGGCCCGGCTGGCTGGCCCAGCTGGTGTCCTCAGGACTCCTGGAAACAGGCAGCAGGAGGGTCTTGAAGCTCACAATCCTTCCACTGCAAGAAGGGTTGGGCTCCCTAAAAGCTGGGCTGTGGAACCTGTCGTAAGCCTAGCCTGAGGCCACAGGGGACAGGGGCATCCAAGGGCATCCGGCTAAGAGGCCAGAAGTTCAAGGCCCAAGGTGGGCAAGCAGGCCAGCACTCCCGGCAGAATCTTCCCCTCATCCTCACTGCTTTGCTGGTCCCAGATGGGTGGAGCCAGCCCACACTGGTCTGGCGCCCAGATGCCCAGCACCTCCACCATGTCCCAGCACAGCAGTCCCAGCTGCAGTGGGAGGGGCCCAGGGCGGGCAGCAGGGCCAGGCCCTGGTGTGAACTGCCTAGTCCTGGACTTGGCCTTTCACTGCCTCGAGGGCCCTTTCTGCAAAATGAAAGCACACACATCCCTTGGGAGGGCTGATAGGGGGCAAGGGCTCTCATTGGCCCTTACCGTGCTCTCCAAGTGGTAGTTCCTGCCACTGTTGAACATCTGCGGTGTGTGGAAGGCCTTTCCTGCCAACACTCGTTCCTCCGTGAATTATTCTCTTGCTTTCATTCCCCTCTACTGAGTCCTTGCAATAGTGAAGTGGAGAAACTGAGTTCTGAGTGGTCATCCTAAGGCCAAAGAAATGACTTGTGTCATCTCAGCTGCTCTGTGAGACAGACACGTTTCTGAGATCCCAGCAGCTCAGGGTGGGAAGCAGAGAGTAACCGTGTATCAGTTGGGTCTTTGAGTCTGAATGCGCCTAACCTTAAGCTTGAGTTAAAAGAGACACAGGAGGAGCGTGGGTCTCTGGCTGCTGGTGTGGAGTACGCAGGGCCAAGGGAGGAGAGTGGAAGGCCGCGGGCACAGTGGCCAGCACGCAGTGTGCGTGGCGGCTGCCCGCCACACTGAAGGAGCTGAGCGCGATGCTGAGCACGTCCGCTCTCCCAGATGGCGTTGCCTCCTCCGGGCGGAAACCTCGCTTGCCCGCCAGGCGTGTCCAAGATGCTTCGTGTGCAGGGGTTGCATCTCAGGAGCCCTGCTGAGCACAAGCCCAGCCTTTCGGGGTTCAGGTGTCTCCAGGATGAGCTCCCATCCCCCTTAGCCGCTCACTAGGCAGGAGGAGCATTCAATTGTTATGGACTGTTATTCTGCCAGCTGTCCTCTTCCCGGGAGGCTGGGGAAAGGGGCTGGGTCCAAGCAAAGGGCTCCCGCCTCCACCCACCTCCACCTCCTGAGGTCATTCTGGCTGACAGTCGAGTATAAGGGTGAATCCAAGGCCACTGACTTGGAACTGCAGGCAGCCCATCCTAAGCCCCTGCTGTGGCCCCTAGCTACAGATGTGGCTGGAGGGGCGGGCAGGCGAGGGGGCTATGGGGAGGCCACCTTGAGCACAGAAGGGAAACACTTCTGCTTCCCAGCCCCCAGCCTCTTCTCCCCCAGCTGTGGGTGCAATCACTGGGTCAGCCCCCAGCTGGTAGGGTCACTTTCCCCAGCCATCCAAGACCACAAACAGAGAAGGCTGCCACCCCTGAGCCCCAGCCTACGTCCCTGGCTCAGGGAAGCTCTGTGGAGAGGCAGAGAAGGGCAGTCATGGAGCCAGGAGGAGGGAGAGCTTGGCACCTGGAGACTGGTGAGAGGGTAAACTGAGGCAGGAGAGCTGGGAACATGAAATCCAGGAAAAGGGTGTAAGGGGTGCTGGCTGGTCAGCCCGAAGATGACAGAGTGGCTGCAGCATGTGGGCTCCCACAGGGTGGCCCCTGTCACCTTCCTCAGCTGTGCTCCCACGGGGCTGTGTGGTCAGAGGCTGAGGGGCCCCTGGTGTGACGTTTGTCCCTAGCCCCTCAGTGAGCACATATCCTTTTTGTAGTCAGAAATGAATTGTGTTCTTGGAAAAATCAGTTGATAATGTTTTGGGGAAAAGCTGGACACCCCCAGTGCACATGGGGCTGCCCACCCAGCAGGGTAACTCAGCACCCCAGATCCTACGCGCCTTCCACTGCTGAAAGATCAGGGATGGCAGATCCCAAGTACAGCAGGAAACTCCTCGGGAGACACTAGGGGACCTGCCGAGCATGGTGGCCCTAGAATGGTAGGCCTGAGTGGCTCACAGCTGTGGCACCTGGTGGGGGGGGGGGTCCAGGCCCTACAGCTTTCTGCCTGAGACCAGAGTGGGTGTTATCCACCCCATCACCCATGTCCATTGGCTGAATAACAAACGCATATCAGGACGCGTTCCCAGCTCTGTGCTGGCTCACACTGTGTGGCCCGGGTTCTGAGTGCTCACCCAGCCCTGGCATTATGCTGCCTCCCCTTCCCCATGCCTGCTGCAGCCGCCTGCATGCAGGCCACCTCAGGTGCTCCAGCTGTGGCCTCTGAGCTCCAGTGTCCACTATTCTCACCTCATCTCCATAGCAATGAGGGTGAGCTCCTCACAACACCTGAGGTGACATCACCCCTCTGCTGAGTTTGTGTCCTTCTTGGTGAATACTAAAAGGGGGAGTGAAGCCTGGCACAGTGGTGCCCACTGGTAATCCCAGTACTTTGGGAGACTAAGTCAGAAAGGTTCAAGTTCAAGCAGAAACGAAAACAAAAAAATTCAAAAGTGGGGGTGCGAATGGGAAGGTCTTTCCCAGGGAAGTCCCCGTTCTGTTCCCACACTTGCCCCATCTCTTTCCCACAGTGCAGGCGGCCATGGGCTCTGTGGGAAGCCAGCGCCTCAAGGAGCCCAGTGTGGTGGGCACACCCGATAGGAATGTGGGGACCAGTTTCAGCTTCGACAGCTTCCAGCTTGAGGCCACCGCAGCCATGGTGGATGCGACTCGGGAGCAGGGCATCAGGGCCAGGGGTGTCCCCACCTTCGTGGACTCAGGTGAGTGTGGCACGGGCTGAGAGGCATCTGCCCCAGGCAGGGTTCAGCCACGTGGCCCTAGGCAGCCCTTGGACAGGGGCACCCGGGCTGTAGCACATGCAGAGATGCACACCCCGTGATCCCCTGCAGCAGCCATCTGTGCCCATGGATGGGTTCCGTGCCCACCAGGAAGGTGAGGGGCACACAATGAATCAGCCCTGACCTATGCTTCTGTTTGGGGCGCTTTGGTCATGTTCATCAGACAAAGCCAGCTGTGCCCAACTGCAGAGGAGACAGTCCAGGGCTGGAGGTGATTGTCATAGCTGGCATAGCGGTTCAATGCTGTCATCCCCAGACTCTGGAAGGCTGAGGCAGGAGGATCATAATTTTGAGCCCAGCCGAGGTGACTTAGCAATTTAGTGAGACCTTTCCTTAAAGCAAAGGACAAAAAGGATTGGGATGTAGCTCAGTGTGAAGGCCTTGGATTCAACCCCCAATGCTAAAAAAATCAATCAATAAATAAAAGCTGTTTGTCAGCCCAGCTGTGTGACCTTGGACAAGAATTGAAACCTCTCTGAGCCTCACTTTCCCCAAATTGAGGATCTGGGACCACTAGCTGAGAGGTGAGGCCTGTAGAGTGGTGGAGGGCGGGACTAATGTGGGATGGGCATGGGGTTCCCTGGCCTCCTGTCCTTTGCTGCCAGGGACCTTGGGCTGCCCCATGTGATCCTGACTTGTTCGTTGGGTGAAGACACAGTGTGGACACTGGGCTCAGCGTGGGCTGCTGTGTGCTTGGCCCCAAAGCAGCTCAGAGCATGGCCTCACCCTCCGGTCTGTCTTTACCCATGGGCAGCAGAAGTTCTGCTGGGCAAGGTGGTCCACGGGGAGGGATGAACAGGCCAGGCAGTCCCGCCAAGTGGCTACAGATGCCATGAAATGGGGCCCCGCAGCAGCGACCACACCAGTGTGTGCTACTCATCGTGGCAGGGTAGTTTAACTATGAGGCCATGGTGATCATGGACATGGTGGCAGTGGCTGGATCAGTCAAGGTTCAGCTATAAAAACAGAACCAGTAGGAAATGGAGAGATAAAGAGAGAAAAAAATAAGCCAGTATGGGGCTGGGGATTTAGCTCAGTGGTTCAAGCACTTGCCTGGCAAGCACAAGGTCATGAGTTCAATCCCCAGTACCTATAAATAAATAAATAAAACAAGCCAGCTTGATGGTGCACCATATCATACCAGCACGCAGGAGACTGAAGCAGGAGGACTGCTGCAATTTTGAGGCCAGCCTGGGATGCAGAGTGAGACCCTGTCTGAAAGAACCAAAGAATGAGGAACAGGGATTTAGCTCAGTGGCACAAGCGCTTGCCCGGAAGTGCAGGTTCTGAGTTCGATTCTTGGTACCATTAAAAGAGATAAAATAAGAATAAAAGAAAGAAAAAAAGAAATGGAGTTAAACATCCAGGTGTGGTAGAATATGCTTGTAATCCCAGCATTCGGGAGGCTGAGAAGGGAAGATCAGTGCCAGTTTGAGACCAGCCTGGGCTACAAAGTGAGCTCAAGGCCAGCCTGAACTGCATGGCAAGACCCTGTCCCCAAATGACAAAAAACAAAAAGCAACCCCAGACCATCAGAGTCCACCCTGCATAGGGCTCTGGGCACCACACTTCTGCTCCAAAGAGAGGTGACTCTAGAGCCCTAGTGCCTCTGAGCACGGTACAACTCACCCTACTCCCCCAGAACTGCATCTTCCCTTTCCCAGAGGATGGTGCGACATCTTCCCAAGGCGTTTGCACTTCTCCTTCAGTGTCCTGTGGTCCTGCACCAAGCCCCAAAGTTAGGGACAAGCCCAGTCTGTGCTAGTGACAGGCCAGGCCAGAGTGGATAAACCAAACTATTTGGTAAAGTAGGCTTGGAAGTACACAGCCACATCCTAGCTCTCTGAGGCTGAGGCAGGGGGATCATGCATTCAAACCCCACCTGGACAACTCAATGAGACCTCACCTCAGAATAAAAAGGAGCTGGGGGTGTAACTCAGGGTGAAGGCCCTGGGTTCAACCCCCACTACTACAAAAGAACTTTAAAAAAAAAAAGCAGCTGCTTCCATTGCTGTGAGGTGTGCAGCTATGGTGGCCATGGCCCCCTGGTGGTGGACAGCAGCCATGGTGATAGTTGTCATGGTAACGACGGACATGGTGATGGTGGACAATGGATTTGGCGATGGTGCTCCTGCTTCTGGGTGGCCTGGTGAAGGGGCTGTGGGGTTGGGTGGCCACAGTGACTGATGCCAAGGATGGTGCCCACCCTGCCTGTGTCTCTTTCAGTGACAGAGGAGCCTGTGCCCGAGGACCGCTACCACGCCATCTACTTTGCCATGCTGCTGGCCGGTGTGGGCTTCCTGCTGCCCTACAATAGCTTCATCACGGACGTGGACTACCTGCACCACAAGTTCCCAGGTACGGCTGCCAGCCAGTGTGGGCTGGTGCCCTGAACCCGGGCCACATAGTGTGAGCCAACACAGAGCTGGGACCCTGCCCAGCCATCCTTTCAAATCTCCCTCAGCTGTGCATCACTGAGTGCCCTCAGGGCAGCCCCTTGCCCTCTCTGAACTCAGGTGGGGACCTACAAGTTGGCTACCCCAGCACCCGTCCCAGGACCCTTCCCCACCCTGATCCTCACAGGAACCTCCATTGTCTTCGACATGAGCCTCACCTACATCCTGGTGGCACTGGCAGCCGTGCTCCTCAACAACGCCCTGGTGGAGAGGCTGAGCCTGCACAGCAGAATCACCACAGGTAAGCTTTGCCGCTGCCTGGCTTCACTGTGCTCTTCTGTAAAATGGGCACATTTCCCAGGACACTGTGGGCTCCTGTGCTGGAGAACAGGGCCAGGCCGGGCTCCTCTGCAGCCTTGAAAGCTCTGAGCTCCAGCCTTGGGCTCTGCACAAACTTTTGCTTTCTCGAAGTGCCCTATTCCTTCTTGTGGGTCTTCATGGAGACTTCCAGCCCCTAAGGGTACCTCCTTTAGGAAGCTCTCAGGATTGCCAGCCCTGCCGGACCGGCCAGATGTCCCAGCATCTGGGAACGGGTGGTGGGGAGCAGAAGGGAATACTGAGTCCCTCTTCTCACAGGCTACCTCCTGGCCCTGGGGCCTCTGCTCTTCATCAGTGTCTGTGATGTGTGGCTGCAGCTCTTTGCGCATGACCAGGCCTACGCCATCAACCTGGCCGCTGTGGGCACCGTGGCCTTCGGCTGCACAGGTAGGGGTCAGGCCACAGGCTCAGCTCCGCACACCCCACCCTCATCACCACATCAATGCTTCTCTTGGGCTATGGCTCAAACTTTTTTGTGGTACTAGGGACTGCACTTAGGGCGTTCACTCTGAGCTACATTCCCAGATCTTATTTTTTTTATTTTGAGACAGGGGTCTTGCTAAATCGCTGTTTAAATTTGTGGTCCGTCTGCCTCAGCTTCCCAGAGTGCTGAGGTGACTGGTGTGTTCCATCAGTAGCCTCTCACATTGAAAAAACATTTTATATAAAATATGTCAAAATTACTGGGTATGGTGACACATACCTGTAACCCCAGCACAGGAGGCAGAGGCAGGAGGATCACTGCAATTTCAAGGCCAGCCTAGGCTACACAGTGAGACTGTGTCTCAAAAAACCAAAATAAATAAATAAATAAATACAATATGTCAAAGCCATGGAAAGATTGCCAGAATAGTACAGTGGACTCCACATGCCCCTTTCCCTCTCTCTCCTGAATGCACATTCATTTCCTCTAACTATGGACACATGTGAAACCATATGTAGCTCCCCGTCAGTACCTCTGCTCACTGGAGACTCACGCTCAGGATATGTTTCCACCTGTTTCTCCTGTCAGCCACACCCCAGCTGCCAAAATTCAAAATTTTCCCACTGACACGATGGTAGCGCTTCTTTTTGGGTGGTAGAGAAGGGGTGGAGGGGTTTAAAACAAGGTCTCCCTGTGTAGTGCAGGCTGCTCCTGAACTCACTATATAGCCCTGGCTGGCAATCCTGCTGTCTCAGCCTCCGGAGTGCTGGGATTACAAGTGGGCACCGACACGCCCACAGGTTGCCTTTAACCATGACTTCCAGGAAGAAGCAGGTCTGACACATGATCTCCTAAATGCCTGTGTGTGTGTATATGTGTATAAGTCAAGGCCTCACGAAACCATGTTTTCCACCCAGGCACTCCGCTGCTCACATTTTTTATATTTTTAAATACCGATGCCACACACCTATAATCCCAGCTCTAGGAAGGCTGAGGCAGGAGGATTGGTAGCTGGAGGCCAACCTGAGCAGTTTATTTATTTAGATACCGAGGATCAAACCCATGACCTTGCACTCGATAGGCAGGTGCTGTGCCACAGAGCTATATCTCTGGCCCTAGCCCGGGCAATTTAGCAAAACCCTGTTGCAAATATTGTTTTCTAATGTAAAAAGACTGAGAATGTAGCTCAGGACTTCCTGATTTTGATCCTTGGTACCAAAAAAAAAGGAGAGAGGAGAAAGAATAGGGAGAGCCATGGGAGCCGGGGCTCAGTCCAGGTTGGAACAGCCGTACCACCTGGTCCTGCTGGGCCTCCGGGTGTGAACGGGACTGCAGAGGCCAAGGTACCGGCAGCTTCTTGAATCGAGTTTCTGGACACCCACCCACGCAGGGGCAGTGGCCGGGTTGTGGGGCAGTGGCTGGGTTTGCACTGCCTGTTCCGGCAGTGATGCCTGCGTTTCTGCTCCCGTCCTGCGAGCAGGGCTGGCGATGACCCTGAACCACTCCGAGGGCAGAACCCTGAGCCTCCTTGGTGCCCTATTCAGGGGCAGCACCGTCTCGATGGTGTGCTGTGAGGTGGTAGCGTCAATCCCCTCTGCCCTGGACACTGTCCTCTTTTCACACCTCGCTGGCCAGCAGGGAGCGCTAGCCGTGCATGTAGTGTGTCTCTAGCTGGGACAAGCGGTGTCTCAGGTTTTGTGTCTCTCTCTTAAGTGCAGCAATCCAGCTTCTATGGATACACAGGGATGCTGCCCAAGAGGTACACGCAGGGGGTGATGACCGGGGAGAGTGAGTATTCCATGCCCTGAGGGCCCTGGGCTGTGAGGTGGGGGGAGGTGTCTGAGGACTTCTTCCTGGGGCCCCTCAGCTGGGGACTGAGCAGTGCAGCAGCTCAGTGCATGTGGACGGCCCTTAAGGTTGCATTCCGGGTGCATTCGCACATCTGTGTGTGCATGGCAGGAAGCTGAGCCCTAAGTCCCTCAACCTTGGGTGCTGCCCCCTTGCACCAGGCTGCCCTCAGAGCTCTGTCCCCATCCCTGCTAAGCACACCTACCCAGGGGTCCCAGTGACTTCCCAGTCAGCACCAAGCCACCACCCTGCTACTCAGTAAGGGGTGACACTGCCCTCGAATTACCCAGAACCCAGACTTCCACTCCTGACCTGCTGCCTTCCTCCACTTCTGGGTGCCGGCTGCTGACGCCAGGTTCCAGCCCAGTCCACACACAGAGCCCTGTGCTCTGTGCCCCCTCATCCTGGGCTGGCCTGGGCAGGGCCTACCTGGCTGTTACTCCCCTTGGTGGCCTTTGCAGCCTTCGATGATGCTTGCTCGAAGCTGTGCTCTGGGGCCCTGGTTCCAGCAGGACAGCCCAGCACACAGGTCTCTGCCTGCTGGTGGAATTTATGGCGGGGTGGGCCAGGTTGGGCTGCCGGCAGAGTGGGGATGGTTTGTGTAACCAAGAAAGATTTGCTTATGGCCCAGGCCAGACCCACCCTGCTGCTTGCTGCCCGTGGGCCTTGGTTGAACTTGGATTAACCCCACCCCCACCCCCCGCTGTGGCTGCCAGGAACCCACCACTGCCTGCCTCCAGAAATCAGATCCTGCTCTGGGGCCCTGCCCCTGCTGTGCTGGGCCCCCTCACCTGTGCCCTAGCCAGCCCAGGACTATATCAGCCCCAGCCAGGGTCTCCCGTCTCAGGTCTGCACTTGGCTCCCCTGCCACGTAGACCCTGGCTTCTAGATCTCTCCCAAGACAGGCTCACCACACACACACACACACACACACTGTGCACACCTGTGCTCCCTCAAGGACCTTGCTGTTCTTGTATCCTGTGTCCTGTCTGGGACCTCGCACAGCAAGGGTCCCGTGTCGTCGCCAGTGGGTCCTGAGGCTGAGACAGGCTGCAAATTCAAGCGCTAGGTGCGGTGGGTTGTGAGTGTGCACAACTTCTGGGGGAGCTGTGCAGTGTCTGGGGCCCAGGATAGTGGCCTGGGGAAGCTGGTACCTCCTGGAGTTAGGAGGACAGTGAGACAGGCTCAGAGAGTTGGGGCGGGCCATGGACCGGATGGATCAGGGCTGGGAGGGTGCTGGCCCAGGCTGGGCTGGGCGGAGTTGTGAGGAGTTGGAGTGATGCACAGGATGAAGTGGGCGGGGTTTGCTTCGGGGGCGTGGTCGAGGGCGTGGTGTCCCAGCCCCTCCCCGTTCCTCCCCAGGCACGGCGGGGGTGATGATCTCCCTAAGCCGCATCCTCACCAAGCTGCTACTCCCGGATGAGCGCGCCAGCACGCTCATTTTCTTCCTGGTCTCTGTGGGCCTGGAGCTGCTGTGCTTCTTGCTGCATTTGCTGGTGCGGCGCAGCCGCTTTGTGCTCTATTACACCACGAGGCCGCGCGACAGCCGCCGGGGCTGTAGGACCGGCTACCGCGTGCACCACGATGTCGCCACGGGAGACATCCACTTCGTAAGTGCCTGTGCCAGGCCCGGGGTAGCTCGGCCTCTATCCTTGTCACCAGATGCAGAGGGGACCAGCCCCGATCTGGTTGAGTTTCTCTGCTGCTGCCATTGTCACAAAGGCTCGAGGTCCTTCAGCTGCCTTTGTACCACCACGCGGGGTGTGCATGGTCCCCTTTCGCAGTGGCACCCACATACTGCTGACTAAGGCTCCTGTGCTCGGGGACCGCAGGGCGGGACTCTGTGCCGGCCCAGCCTGAAACCTCAGCCCACCCACTGTCATTTGAACAGTCCGGGGGGTGGGGGTCACAGAGGCTCCCCTTCCCTAGGTTCTGCCGGTCCCAGGAAGAGGGACCCAGGACGCAGGGAAGCCCCCCTCCCCCAGCCTCCCACACAGAGGTCACCAGAACCATCCAGGACCCGGGAACCCAGGCCGAGAGGGAGGGCCCGGCTCAGTTCTGACGCCCTCAGCTCTGCTGAGGGCCGAGCCCAGCTGGGGAGCCGGGTGCCCTCTGGTGGCCGCAGGGCTGCAGAGCCGCTGAGGTGCCTTGGGGTGGGCAGGGGCGACCTTTCGACCCCTCAACAAATAGCCACGATGGTGGGGCAGGCACTGATTGGGTGTCCCCCACGGATCCTAGAGACCCAGAGATGGCCTGCGATGGAAGAGGACAGGTCTGAGGGGCTGCAGGGGGGACCCCAGGCCGGGCATGCAGAGACCACTGGAGGGTTCTGCACATGGCACAGTTGTATACTCAGGCTGGGGTGTGTGCAGGGGAACGGGGTGGGGTGGGCTGTGAGGCTTTGGGAAAGGTGAGCACTTAGGGTGAAGTTTACACATCTGTAATCCCAGCTACGTGTGAGACTGAGGCAGGAGGATCCCACCCTGGGCAATTTAGCAAGACCCTGACTCAAATGAAGAGCAGGGGATTTCGCTCAGTGCCCTTTGAGTTCAATCCCCACTACTGGGGAAAAAGAAAGAAAATGGAAGGCCGAGGTAAGTGAGGGAGAGATCTGCAAACCGTAGGTGCGAACTCGACAGCAGCCTGAGGCAGCGCTCCTCCCCTTGGGTCAGGTGTTTGCCTGGTACGTCCCCTCCACCGAGCCCCGTCGTCCTTCCAGGAGCACCAGGCGCCAGCCCTCGCCAGCAGTGGGTCCCCCAAGGACAGTCCGGCCCACGAGGCGACCTCCGGCTACGTGCGCTTCGACGTCCCGCGGGCGCGGGTGGAGCGCAGCTGGCCCAGCTTCCGAGGTGAGGGCGGCGCCCGTGCGCGCATGCGTGCCAGGTGGGTGGCATCAGGGCCCCCGCGGGCGCCGCCCTCTGACCCGCCCGTGTCCTCAGCCCTGCTGCTGCACCGCTACGTGGTGGCGCGGGTCATCTGGGCCGACATGCTGTCCATCGCCGTGACCTACTTCATCACGCTGTGCCTGTTCCCCGGCCTAGAGTCCGAGATCCGCCACTGCGTGCTGGGCGAGTGGCTGCCCATCCTGGTCATGGCCGTGTTCAACCTGTCAGACTTCGTGGGCAAGGTGGGTGTGCAGACCCGGGGTCCAGGCTGGCGGGACTGGACCCAGGCGTGGCGGATGGGAACAGCCACCACCGAGGTTGCCGCGCCTGCAGCGCCCCCTAGAGGGCGCCCCAGCCTGGTCTCACCGGGCCACTAGCTTCGTGAGGCAGTGGGGTCCCACCCTTGGAGATTGAGCTTGCGCCCCTGAAGTCCCCAGAGATGGCAGGAACTCGGAAGAGCAGCGAAGGCTAGTCAGAGACTAGGCCTACTGTTGGTCTGGGGCGAGGAAGCTCATGAGCTAAGAGGGGGAGACTGATTCCCTTGGGTCACACAGCACACAGGCCCAAGAGATGAGCACAGCTGTTTGTGCGTCCCAATCTCAGTCCTGCTACTGTCCAGCTGTTTGATGAGGGGATTTGAGTCCTGTGACCCCATTTCTCAAAGAAAGTCCTGGTCCCACCTCTTGAGAGCACCATGGGGCGAAAGGAGGGGACGGGAGGTATTGGGCTGTGTGCTGACGCCCGGCTCAAACTGCGCGGATTTGGAGGGTACTGGGGACACTAGAGAGAGTGGGGACACAGGCAGAACTGGGGACCCACACGCTCACTCCTTGCAGATCCTGGCCGCCCTGCCAGTGGACTGGCGGGGCACCCACCTGCTGGCCTGCTCCTGCCTGCGCGTGGTCTTCATCCCCCTGTTCATCCTGTGTGTCTACCCAAGTGGGGCACCCGCGCTCCGGCACCCAGCCTGGCCCTGCGTCTTCTCCCTGCTCATGGGCATCAGCAACGGTTACTTTGGCAGTGTGCCCATGATCCTGGCAGCCGGCAAAGTGAGCCCCCGGCAGCGTGAGCTGGCAGGTAAGGCTGCTGTCCCCAGGACAGCAGGGAAACCGAGGCCAGGAGGAGCCACAGCCAGGCAGCCTCGGGTGCATTTAGGGGGACATCTGTCCATTGTGTCATTCATTCTGGGCACTGCTCCTGGTGCTGGGGACAGAGTCTCCCCACACTTGTGGATCACAGTCTCAAGATGAGACAGCCAATAAATACAGATGACCACTAGACGTGAGGTCACATCGTGGGTAAGTAATGGGAAACAAGAATTGGAAAAATGGGTGCAGGTGCACACTTGTAGTCCCAGCACTCTGGGAGGCTGAGGCAGGAGGATCATACTGAGTTCAAGCCCAGCCTACGCTACATAGTGAGTTCAAAAACAACAAAAAATGGAAATAAAAGCAGCAAAACGCAGCAGGAGGTTGGGGGTTCATGATGTAAACAGCAATCTCGGAAAACCTTCCCGAGAAAGTGTTTTTTAAGCAGGCTGGGAGGAAGTAGTGGGGAGCCAGCCATATGAAGATGCAAAGGAAGTGGGGCCCAGTGGAAGGAGTGGTGCATGCAAAGGTCCTGAGGCAGAAGCAGGTGTATGTGCCACAGCCAGGGACAGGCATGGAAGCGAGTGGATCTGTAACTGTGAGGAGCTGCTGCAGCCATCCAGGCCCAAGACAACAGAGTGAGTGGTGCCATGGAGCCGGGAGAAAGTGCTGGATTTCGGATCTGTTTTGAATGTAGAGCCCACAGGGCCAGGTGATGATGGGAGATGAGGTGTAAGAGAGTTGGGGGATGCTCCCATGCATACGGTGTACTGTTCAGTGTGGAAGCTGGTGGCTCTCACGACTGTGATCCCAAAACTCTGGGAGGCTGGGGCAGGAGGATCCCAAGTTCAAGCTCGGCCTGGGACTCTTACCAACATTCTACCTCAGAATAAAAATAAAAGGCACAGGAGATGTAGTTCAGTGTAAGGGTCCTGAGTCGGATTCCCAGTGACACCACCCCCTCCAGAAAAAGCAAGCAGAGGAGGGGAAGGGGAAGAGACTGGCACTACAGTTGACTGAGACAGGGAGGGGTTGTGTCAGGCTTGAGACAGACACATCGGAGATGCCCACTGGACTGCCAGATTGTCCTCGACAAGGAAGACACTGGTGACAGAGGCTAGAGACAGATACAGCTGGGGGCAGAGAAGCGGGTGAGGCCCCGGCCTGTGGCAGAGAAGGCGGGGCCAGCCAGTGGAGGTTTGGACCTGGAGGGCACAGCAGGTGCTGTTGGTGGTACATGCGGCCTCCCAGGCTCCTGGGGCCAGCACTGCCACCCCACTGCACACCCAACACCCAGCATGGCCTCACAGGCACGGCTGCCCACCCGCCTGCTCAGGCCCCTGTCCCCCACAGGAAACACCATGACCGTGTCCTACATGTCGGGGCTGACGCTGGGCTCCGCTGTGGCCTACTGCACCTACAGCCTCACCCGCGACGCCCACAGCAGCTGTTTCCGAGCCGCCACTGCCAACCGGTCCCTCATCACGGGGCCCTGAGTGCTGCCTGCCACCCGCTCAGGGAGGCTGCTCCACAGCAAGGAACGGCCAAGGCCACCTGCCACCTGCTACCTGCCTGCAGTGCCTCAGGGCCTGAGTGAGCCCCCTCCTGTGCCAACAGCCCCACCTCTCTGGATGCAGCCACCTGGCCAGCCCGGGCCACATCTCCATGGCCCAGAGTCTGCCTGGCACTGTGGTCACACACCCTCCGCCACATCTGTGTCAGTGGCTCAGGCTTGAGCCAGGCCAGCACTCAGTGTGTCCTTTGTCCAGGATGACAGACCCAGAGCCTCAGCATCCCCCTCCTGGTGACCCCACTGCAGGGTCTGCTTTGAGATCCCTTGGTCGTCGTCACCACTGTCCATGACCCCTGTTGGGGGAGGGTCCTCCTCCTGGCCCTTGGAGGAGTGGCACAGCCCCCAGCCTGTCCCCCTCAGGCCTCGATCCTGCCACTTATCCTCAAGCACTGGACATGTGCATCTGCTGTGGAAGGAGGATGGCCCTGGCCTCAGTGTCCCCAGCACAGGGAACACCCCTACCCCAGGCTTGGGCCCTGTCTTCGGGTCCTCACTACCTCCCTAGCTCCCCTCAGGTGACCCTGGCAGAGAGGGGCCTGCGTTTGGGGGACATGAGGCAGTTCCTCCAAGATTGCCTCAGCCCTGGCATGGCTTTCTCACAGTGGGCTTTTAGGAAGGGACACATGTGCCAGAGGGTCTACGGCAAGTTGGGAGGGCTGGTGTCACTGCAGGCAACCAGGCTGACTCCAGGACATCCTGCCAGACTCCTACATCCCGCGCCCTCCCTGTGACCATGCTGTCTCCTCGCCTGCTGTGTCTCGTCCACCTGTGTCCTCTGACTGTACCGCACTGGCCATTAAATGACAGCGGCTGAGATTGCCCCCTGCGCCTCCCAGGAAGTGCTTGTTGGGGTGCAAGGCTGGGACCAATGAGGCTGCTGGGCTATAGGGGTGCCAGGACTCAGTGGGGCGGAGTGCAGGAGCCCTGGGATTTATCGCAGGTGACCTTTCAGCCCTTGAGAAGAGCTGAGAACAGTCACAACCCAGCCCATGGTGGAAAATAGAAGCTTCGAGAAGCCCCGTCCCGGGCACTGAGCCTTCTGACTCAGGCTCTGCTGTTGCTGATTTGTGCAACTCAGGTTCCTGCAGTTTTGTGCCTCGGTTTTCCAAGGAATGTGACTGGGGTACAGGTCCCTTGGAAGAGGGCCAGAGAACCAAATACGGTCCAAACCTGTAGTCTTAGGGATCCAGGGACGAGTGATCACCCTGCAGGACACGGGCAGGCACAAGCCAGGAGGTAATGTCAGAGATTGCCGCCAGGTGGCGCCAGGATCCCATTCTTCCTTTAGCTCCCATGTCTACCTGGCTAGTGACTCAGTTTCTCTGCCACACAGCCCTCGCATGCGCTGCCTTCACTTGAATGCTTGCAATCATTCTGCCTCTTTTGCAACTCTAAATACAGTATCAAAACCCAGAATGACATCACCAGCCATCCAAACTCACCAGGTCATGGGCAGCCAGGCCCCATGGTGGCCTCTCCAGGCCCCAGAGGTATGGGCTTAGGGTTTAGGGCATAGGAATGTGCACAGCTGGGAACACCTTTGCTCTAATTTTACAGGAAAAGCTGATGTGAGCCCTCCATGGACTCCTGGCCAAGGGAACACGGCCTGTTTCCTCCCTGCCCAGTTGGAAGCCACTAGCTATGCCTGGCTACAGAGAAACCAGGCATGGCAGTGCTACCTAACCAAATTTCTATTGTCTTAATTTTTCCAGTACTGACACCTTTTACAGCTTTTTTTTTTTTTGAAATAAGCTCTTGTTAAAATGCCCAGGCTGGCCTTGAACTGGTGGTCCTCCTGCCTCAGCCTCCTGAGTATCCAGGGTTACAAGGAATGAATCACATCTGGCATAAATTAACTGTAAAATTTAGAAAGCCATGTGTAGCCGGAGGCCCACCTCGGAGTGCCTGGAATGACATCCCCCCAACCCTGGCCCCACAGAACAGATGCCCCAGTGGTCCCAGATCCCAGCCCCTGAAATAAATCACTCCAAGCAACGGTGTTTTTTTCCAATTAAATTTTTTCTTTTCTTTTTCTTTTTTTTTATGAAAAAGATCACACAGAATTTGCCAACGAACAAAATTTCAAAAGAAACTTAAAAAAAAAAAAAAAAAAAAAAGAAAAACAATAATTCCCCCGAAATAACAAAACCAAAGTCTGGCTTTCCCTTCCCTAGATTGTCTGCCGGAGGCCTCCGGTGGGTTCCGGTTCGGGTTCCGGAAGGCGGGGGGCTGGTTAAGTGCTTTTTGGCCCAGCGAGTGGAGGGGGCGCTGGGCTGGCGGCTCCCCGGCCTCTCCCTCCCTCCTCCTCTGTCTGGGGTTGAGCACAGTGCGGGGGGTGGGGGGCTGTGAGGTGGGGTGCGGGGGCTGGGCAGTGAAGCCGGGTGCTGGACACTCACAATCTAACAGGAAATAAAAAATAATATTCCGCACGTCAGAATGTGTTTGTTTCTTATAATTTCATAGCTATTTTTCACAGTTTTAAAAAGTTTATATTTATATATATTTATATATATTTATCTTTATATATATAGTTAAAAAGTTGACTCCATTTAAAGGCGTATGATACAGGGGCAGGGGAGTCACTCTCAGTACAATAAAACTGTACAGGTTAAGGACCCGGCGCCCTCCGGGTGGGCGGGCGCGACTGGGGGGGTAAGCACCATGGGGGGTCTGTAGTGTGGGGGGCTGGGCTCCCCTCCCCCGCCCCGCCCCTGTGTCCCGGTGGGGCCGGGCACTGGCGCACTGGGCGCAGCGGGTGACCTGTCCATTGGGGTCTCGGACCAGACCGGGAACCGCAGCGCAGCGAGAGTGGCGGCCCGGCTCCCCAAAGCCCTGTCGCCTGCGTTGGCACCGCCACACCCGGGGCGCCCAGGAGCCCGGCCGGAGGGGGCGGGCGTGTGCACACGTGCATGCATACGGGCACACGCACGCCTCTCTCCCCCGACATGCACTGGCACGGGGCCCGGGGGCTGGGGGACGGGTAGTGACACAGGCGCGGGCTCAGCACAGCACGGGCACGCCGTCCGTGGAGAAGATCATGCCCGTGGTGGGCTCGTAGGTGCCCGCCAGGTAGTACAGGCCCTCGCTGTCCTGGTACTTCTTGGTCTTCAGCATCTGCTCGTACTGCTCCAGGCCCACAACCAGGCACTTGTGCGACACCGTCTGCACGTCGTTCTCGTCCACGTGCGAGGACTGGTACAGGGCACGCTGCGGGGCGGGGCGCGTCAGGAAGAGGCAGAGACAGACAGAGGACAGAGACCCAGAGCAGGGGACGTGAGACGGGCGGGGGGGGGAGTGAGACCAGAGGACGACACAGATTGGGCCACTGCCCTACCTCCATGAAGTCCTTCCTCTGGCTGGAGGCCCGCAGGGCCGCAGGGAGGCCGCGGCCAGACTTCTGGTCCCAGGGCTGCTGGGGACACATGGGGCTGGTGTGAGCCTGTCCCGGTCCCCGCGCCCCACCCAGAGACCCTGGCCTAACCCGCAACCCGGTGTCCTAGCCCAGCCGGCTCACCTGGCCCTCGTGGAGCTGCCGGCCGGGGCTGGTCTCCTCGGGGTGGTAGAACCACTTGACACGGACCACCATGTTGTTGCCCCACGACTCCCACATGCTCTGGATGCGGCCGATGTAGGGCAGGTTGGGGCGGCCGGCGGACAGGAACACGGCGCAGTCCCCGATGCGGATCATCTCCTTGCCGCGCACGATGGCCTTGTAGAAGAGCTTGCGGGCCTTGCCCTTCATGCCACGCCGCTGCGGGTGCGGGTGTGAGTCAGGGGCTGCACACTGCTCAAGGCCCTCTGTGCCACCCTAGCCCTGGCCCTGCCCCTCCTGGTCACCTGCTGCCTGGCTGGGGTGCTGCCTGGGAGGGGCCAGTGCAAGGAGGGACTTGATGTATGGGGGTTCCTGAAGCTGAAAGGGCCTTGGACTCCCGCCCCAGTGCGCTGGCCCAGACCCCAAGGCCCACACACCTGTGACACAGCCCCTACAGGCCATCGGGGGTCCCTGCCAAACCCACTTTCCAGGCAGGGCAGGTGGGGTGGGGGTGGGGGGCAGGCCCTAAGCTACTCTATCTCCATCTACCCAGTCTACAACCACAGTGGGGCCCTGGGGGCGGGAGAATGTCTTGCTCACGGCTTAGAAAAGGCCCCCCCCCACCCAAATAAAATGAAAAGAACCTTTGCCCTAAGAACATGGCCTAAGATGAGCTGCTGCCGCATGGCATCCTGGTGGGGGGTTAGACCATCAGGAGCAGGTGGCTGGGAGTCACACCCTACCTCAAGTGTGACCCTAAGGGCTGTCCTAGCTAGGACAGCCTCACCTGCCCCCTGGCACAGCTGCCATCTGACCCAGTGCCAGCCCAGCTTCATGTGCTGCAGGTTCACTTATTCATTCAACAAACATTTCCTGTCCAGCTTGGGGCAGCTCCCAGAAGCACCAGCTCCAGTAACACCATCCTTTGGGGAGAAACTTCCCCGGAAGGAGAGCAAGCAGGCTCTGCCCACCCCTTAGCTGCACACCCTCAGCGCTAACTGAAATCTAAAGCCAGCCTTCCGAGATGGAAGCTCCTGCAAGAGCACAGCGCCCTGTACAGACCCCCCCTTGCCGGCCTCACAGCCCATCTGTGTTGCAGGCGCACAGACACGGTGCTGCCTGGGTCTCAAATCCCCCTTGGCGCAGGCACAGGGGACTGCTGAGGTGGCTGAGTGACCGCCACAGTGGTGCTTCTTGCTGTCCAGCACCTGTTCCCCTTGGTAGATGCCCCCGGTGGGCAGGAACCTTGCTCTGGCAGTCAGAAATCCAAGCTTCCTGCTGCCTACTGTGACCAGTTCAGGAGGGCCATGAGACAGGCCAACACTCAGCCAGCTTTAAAGCTGTGGGAGACTCCTGCTTCCTACAATGGCTCCTGAGTTGGGAGCACATGTCCCACAAACCACTGTCCATCCCTTCCTGCTGCTCGGGAAGCATGGCTGCCCAAGAGATCAGTACAAAGGAAGGACAGAAAGGTGAGGCCTGGGCCATGGACCCAGGAGGGATCTGAAGACCGATTTCTGGCCCCTGGATTCACCTGAACCTGAAGCTGGATACCCAGAGCCTCTCTGCTAGAGTCCCGTAAGTCTGACCTTGTGGGTTTAAGTCAATCTTGGGTCTCTTTTTCTTTGCAGCAGTAAGGCCGCTCTGTGAGGGGCACAGCATCTGGGAGACCAGTTTTCCAGCCCCAGCTACCTCGGCCGCTTACCTGGGTGGGCTTGCCGAACCACTTCCAGAGCTGCCGGGCAGGCAGGAAGGCTGCGATCTTGGGCCGGTTCTCCACAGACGGCAGGCGCTGCCGCTTGGCCAGCTCCTTGGTGGTGGGCAGGTGTACACCCTCGCGCTTCTTGGGACGGCTTTTGGCCCCAGCCTGCATTTTGGGCTGTAAGGGCTTTGCAGGCTGGGGCGGGGGTGCCGGTGGCTGGGCGGCAGGCGCCTTCTTGCCCGAGGAGCGGGCCTTGCTGGCTGGCTTAGGAGCCTTGGGCAGGGCTGGCTGGGTGGAGGGGCCGGGCGTAGGTGCGGGGTTTGCCTCGTCATCCGAGCTGCAGGAGGAATCCTCGTCCGTGGTGGAGGAGGAAGAGGAAGAGGAGGAGGAGGAAGAAGAGGAGGAAGAGGAAGAAGAGGAGGAGGAGGAAGAAGAGGAGGAGGAAGAGGAAGAGGAGGAGGAGGAGGATGAAGAGGAAGAAGAGGAGGACGAGGAGGAGGACGAGGAAGAGGAGGACGAGGAAGAGGAGGCTGGGGAGGATGCCCTGGAGCTGGCAGCGCTGCAGGTGCGACCCCCAGCACCGCGGTCATCCCCGCCGGTCTTGTCGCCATCCTCTTCGCCTTCCGTCTCCGAGCTGCTGCTGCTGCTGCTACTGCTGCTGCTGCTGCTGCTGCTGCTGGTGCTGCTGCTGCTGCTGCTGCTGCTGCTCTCGGACTCCTCCGCCCCGTCCTGCTCAGCCTGCGCCTTGTCTGGGCTCTTGGGGTCCCCAGGGTCCTCCACTGGGAGCCCCACCCCAGGCTCCTGGGCGAGGTCCCCCTCCAAGGCCTTGGGCCAGGCTGTTTTGGCCTCGCTGCTGCCTGCTGCCGAGGGGTGGCCACCCAGGCCCGGCAGGCTCTTGGGCTCCTGCCAGCCCCCAGGCCCCACATCTTCCCGGAGGAGCAGGGCCTCTTTGGCCTTCTTGCTTTTGGGGGACGTGACTCCCTCATGGTCCAGCTTGACGAGCAGCTCGGCTTCCTCCCCGGGCCTCCGGGGACCCTTGGCACCAGACTCCTCAGTGGCCCTCGCCTTCTTGGGCTTGGGGCGGGTGGCGGGAATGGTGATGGGCATGGTGACAAGGGGTGCTGGAGGCAGGGCTGTGGCAGGGGCTGGTGGCTCCCCAAAGGGCTCAGGAGCTGGGCAGCTGGCAAAAGTGGACGGTGCAGGTCCAGGTTGCGGAGCAGTGAGGCGGGCCTTGGGGGCTTTCGCCCGCTTGTCCACAGGTTCTGGGGGGCTCTTCTTGGAACTTGGGGTGCTGACTGGCTCCAGGGTCAAGGGGGTAACGGGGACCTCATCAGTGGAGGTCACCTCCTCCAGGACCGTGGCTCTGTCTAGAAAACAGAAGACAACAAATGAAATGGAGGCCAGGATGGGGCTGCAGGAAGCCAGACCCAAGCAAGAGGACCTGTCTGGGGACCTGCGTGCAACCCAGCTTACAGTCTGATGCACGTCTCCGGATGTGAAGAGACTGAGCTAAAGCTCAGCTCTGCTGTGACACACTTTCCCGCCCTTGGCCTGTTTGGAGTCTGCAGTGAGGCAGAAATGCCCCTGGTGCTGGCCCCAGGTTGTGTTCTCAGCCCACCTTGCTCTGTCCCAGGCCCAGCCAGCTCCAAGGCAACCTACCGCCCTTGGCCTTGGTGCTGGGCTTCCGCCCTCGGCCTCGAGCCTTGCCTCCTGGTTCCTCAGACCCCGCCGTGGCCCCCTCTTTGCCTTCCCCAGTGTCTTTGCTGGTTTTCCTGCTGCGGCGCTTGGCACTGGGCACCAGGAGGGCCGGGGACGGCTCGGCACCTACAGGACACAGCAGATGGTAGCCTGAGCCTGGGTCTCCGCTGGCCCAACTTCTGGGGTGATGCTTGTCACATGGCAGGGAACAGGACACAGTGGGGATGGTTCCAGGTGAACTCCCCGAATGACTGGGAACAACCAAAGCTCTGCGCACAATGAGGGGGGCTGCTGTGACCCACTTAGGGAAGTTCAACACCCTGAAGGTGGCACCCCAGAGGTCAGTGTGGGGCAAGTCTTGCCCCTCCTCCTTGAGAAGGCCAGAGCCCTGGATGAATCATTAACCTTTTTTGTCGGAAGAAGGGGGCAGTACTAGGATTGAGCCTAGGGCCTTTGCACTGAGCTACCACTCCAGCCCCTGCTGGTGTTTTATTTTGAGATTAGGGTCTCATTAAGTCACAATGTCAGTAAGTTACACAGGCTGATCACAACACTGTGATCCTTCTGCTTCGGGCACCCAATGTGCTGAGATTACAGGTGTGCACCATGCCCAGCTTTATTAACCTCTTTGAGCTCCTGTTTTGTAATACAGGTCAAAGAAGATAGTGGCCACAAGGGAGCAAGTTTAGAATTTGATACTACTGCTTGGAAACATCAAAAACACTTGACTTGTCAGGCATGGGGTGCACATGCCTGTAATGCCAGCACTCAGGAAGCTGAGGCAGGAGGATCACCGTGAGTTTGAGACTAGTCCAGGCTACGTAAGTGAGTTTAAGGGCAGCCGGTACTACACAGCAAGACTCTGTCTCAAAAAAAAAAAAATCAAGGGCCAGGGTTGGGGTTGGGATTAGGGTTAGGGTTAGCTCAGGGGCACAAGCACCTGCCTGGCAAGCGCAAGGTCCTGCATTTGATTCTGGGTACAAAAAAACAAAACAAACAAACAAAAAAAAACTTGCTTGCTCAGCCTCCCGTGGCCTAGGCCACCAGGCCTGTCTGTGGCTGCCATCATGGATCATAGGACCTGCCTGGAGAGCCAAGATTACCATCTCCGCCATTTCCACCCCTGTGGATTCTGATGGCAAAACTGATAGGCTGCCCCGGGTCTGGCTGGCAGGGACCTGGGAGGGCAGCAGGGTCTTGGTCATGGGTCACGGGCTGCTCACTCACACTGGATCTTATAGTCGGGCGGCAGGAGGCGGATATGCGAGAGGGGGATCCTGCCTGTGTCTCCATCATCAAATTCCACGGTGATTAGGTCCCCATCATCTTCCAGGTCCAGCAACCCTGCAGGGGCAGGGGGAGAGGTCAGGGGCCCCTGAAGCTCCAGCTGGGGACGTCAGCGGTGGACAAAGCCTACATAGCGTGAGTGTGGAAGGTGCATGGGCCAGGCCAGGGCTGGTTCTCTACATCCTGCATTTAAGCACCACCAGACAGTGGGTCGTGCTTGAGATGCTCCCCAAAACAGAGTGAAGGGACCCCCGGCCGTCAGCCCTGAGGGCTGGGAGAGGAAGAACACTGCCATTGGGACAGATGCCTAGGTAGTGACTGTGGTCTCAGCTTTGCCACTGCCAGGTCCCCTGGAAGAGACAGAGCAGTGAAAAAGAACCAAGCTGGGGCCAGGGGCCCCCGAATGGACACACTGAGGCCTGCAGGAGCCAGGAGGTTCACCCAGCTCCAGACTGAAGGGCACTAGGTAGAGCTGAGCATCGCCAGGACATCCATACCCCAAGCAGTGACACCCCAGGTCCCTTCTAGATGCAGACATCAGGCCTCTGTCCCCAGGACTCAGGCTCGGGAGGCTGCCTGCTGCAGGCTGGCATTGCCTGTCTGGGTGTCCCCAAGGAACATCCCTGCCACCTCAACAAGAGGCTGCACTCATGCACTGAGCTTGTCACCCTTTCTCTTCACTCAGGACCGGTGGCGACATCCAGAAGATCTCTTAACAAAAGAGCACAAACCAGGCGTGGTGGCAAATTCCTGCACTCAGGAGGAAGGAGGCAGGAGGATCAAGGGTTCAAACCCAGCCTCAACTACACAGTGAGACCCTATGTCAAAAAAAAAAAAAAAAAAACCCACAAAAAAGAAAGAGAGAAGAACTAACAAACACAAGCAAGCAGGGGCTTAGGAGAAAAAGGAGCTGCAGAAATCCAAAGTGGAAAACACCTGCCCTGAGAAACATTTGTTAAGAAGATAATATACTGATAGAGCAGAAACACATTTTGTGGAAAGAATCATCCAGGGACTAAGACAGAGCTCTTGGGGATTTTTTTTTTCAAACGATAGTATGAAATTTTTAGAATTTAAGAGACCAGAAAGGGGTTAGAAGATAAAGTGGAGGAAACCCCCCAGGAAACTGAACAGAAGATAAAGAGACAATCTGAGGACCAGGGACTGTCCGAGCTCCAGGCATGCAGTGGGGACGAGAAACCAGACAGTGCAGGACGGAAAGCAGAAGGCTTCCGGCCGGGGCTGAAGGGATCCGCTACATAACCACAGCCCCTCGCCTCTCCCAGACCCCCACGTGGGAAAATACAGGCAGAGAGAAAGGCTGGGGAGGCCCAGGGCTTCCAGACCTAGAGGTAACAAAAAAGACTGCAAGTTTCCAGAGACAAAAGCCGGTCTCCTACAAAGACCTGAAAACTGTGACAGCCGCGAACTTCTCAGACTATATTGGAAGCGAAATAAAAAACAAGGACTTTGACATGGTGTGAGGAAACTGTTTCCAATCTAGAATTTATACCTAACTCAGCTCTCTTTAGAGAGTGATAGATAGAAAGAGATTACAACACCCGAGCACAAGATGCACCCCGGGGCTCCTCCTCAGGAAGCTACTCAAAGGCCCTCTACTGAGCTGACCAAGAAACAAAAAGGCAGATGCCACACTTGGGGAGACCACGAAAGCAGCAAGATGCTCCCCAGGAGGCTCCGGGAGGTGGCCCGTCTCGGGCCAGAGGACAGAGAGCTCCAAGAAATCAGAATCCCTGACAGACTTCCCATACAGAGGGACAGCTCCAAGGTACTAGTGATAAATGTGTGACTAGGGGCTGGGGATTTAGCTCAGAGGCGTAAGCTCCTGCCTTGCAAGCAGGCAGTCGTGAGTTCGATCCCTGGTACCGATAAAAACGAAAAAGACAAAAAAAAGACCAAAAAAACAAAAAAAGTGTGACTAACAGATGGAAAACTGACTCTCCCAGCTCAACCGCCTTTGGCTTGGACTGCAGCCGACTGCCCCCGCTTTCGTCCACCATGCACACGGATGGGCAGAAACCAGGAATGGGCCACATCTGCATGTGAGTTCTGATCTTGCCGGCACCCACAGCCCACCTCTGGATGTGCTGGCCTAACAACAATTCAGGGGAGAGCTGCCTGTGTCCCCAGTCCTGCTGTCTGTCTGACACCCCACCCGCTTCTTCTGGGCACCTCTTATTTTCATCTACCCAGTTTCCACTGTCCACGCTGCCATCAACACCCCAACTTTCCTGGGGATACCACCTTCCTCATCCCCAGCTCCAGGGACAAGAACCTGGCCCTGGTCAGTGCCTCAGACCACGGTGGCAGGATGGGCAAACACCCATGCACCAAGCCTGACACGGGCCAGGGAAAAACCAGAGAGGGAGGAAGTCTGAGATGACAGCCTGCTAGGATGTTAAGACTTCTTCACGAAGCCGAGTGAACCAGCCTGGGCAAGATCGGTGCCGTGGGACAGGGGAGTCGAGACCCGGGGGGCGCCTCTGAGCAGCACCTGGGCCAGCCATGCCTCAGGACCCTGCTGTTCTCAGGTCTGCAAGCCAGTAAAAGCCTACACTGCCAGAGCAGGCTTCTGGGGACTGGCCAAATGCACCCCGGCACAGTGCTCGGGAGGAGGGTGCGTCTCACCTCGGACCACGGTGCCTGGGTAAAGGCAGCGGTACTGTTGACTCCAATAGGCCGCGATCCTGGTCCCCTGCGGCAGGAAGCGTGTGGAGGCCGGCCTCACGTCGATGATCTGGGAGGACACGGATGGAGGGCACTGGGTTGTGGCTACGCCTCTGGCCACCCCCGCCCCGCCCCAGGGCGGGCTCCCCGCCGCTCACCGCCTCCTGCAGCAGCTGCTCCAGGCAGTAGATGTGGGGCCGGTTCCCGCGCTCGCCTTCCACCACCACGCGGTATCTGTGAGGCCAGGGTCCTGTGCATGAGGGGCGAGGCCAGCGCCCCCTCCCCAGACCTCTACCTGCCCCCCGGGCCACAGAAGCTGGAGGTCTGTGGAGCAGCTGTGTGAGTGGACGAGTCCTCTCCCTGCCAGCTTGGGATCTTCATCAGGGGGCCAGGCCAGCCGGATGCTGGGGCCCAGCTCACACTGGCCCTTCTCCAGGAGCCCCGGGGGTGCCCTCGGCCTGCCCCCCTTCGGGCCCAGGGAACTCACATGTCAGGCGAGTGCACAGTGTGCACATGGCCGGCGTAGAGCAGCTTGTCGTCCATGGGGATGAGCACTCGCAGCCCATCCTGCAGCTCATCCTTGTCGATGACACAGGAGCGCGGCGCTGCAGGGCAGAGGGCCATGAGGGGACGGGCATGTGCGCGCCCAGGTGCCTGTGCCACCTCACCCTACCCTGAATGTCAGCCCCCTGGGGTTGCCCCTTGTCCAGGGCACCTTCCCTACCCCACTGCCCGCTGGGCAGGGTTTCTGCTGTGACCGTGCAGCCTGGCACTGAGCTTCCCTGCAGGCCCCTGTCGTCAGGTCCCCTCCTGGCTGCCCCACTGGTGGTGTCCTCCAACACCACTCTCCACCTTGGTCCTCTCTCTCCACCCAGCTGTAACCAAGATGATGCAGGCAGCACTGGGGCCAGTCAGCAGGGATCCACTCTTCTGTCCCCACCTGCATCCAGGGCAAGGAGACTTCCCATGCCTGCGCAGTGGGCGTGGCTGTGTCACTTGCCTCAGCCAGGGACAGAAGTAGCTGAAAGTCAGGTTCCAGCCAGAGCCCTGAGAGGCCCCTATGTCCACTTGGCCCTTAACCTCAGTCGCACTGTAGGGCCACTGGGATCTGTCACACAGGGCAGAATAGCATGCCGCACCCCAGGAGACAGCTGCTGGGAGTCAACACAGCTGCCCATGCCCTGGGACCCCAGACCCACATGGGAGTTACCCAGGCACACCCTTGGGGACACCCCACTCCTCATGCCCTGGGTCTCAGTACCCACTGGATGTGACCGCCCTGGAGACTCCTCCAAGTACTCTGAATCTGAGGCTTGAACCTCCATGCATGTGTGATCCCACAGCTTTCTATGGGCCCCCAAACCAGTCCTCTTCTCAAGCCTCTCTGCTTGCACAGCCCAGCCACTCCCCTCCCTGCAGTCCCCATGGAGGGCCCCAGTTACTGCCAGCTCTGTCAGGATGGTGATCATGCTCTATGGGTACCCCACTCCTGGGCCCCCAACACATTCTCTCTGAAGCAGCCAGGAGGCTCATTTCAACATGACCTGACCACACCACTCTCCACTTGTAACCAGGACAGCCACAGGTGCTCTTAGGATGGACACCAAGCTCCTCAGAGGTGCAGGAGACTGAGGGAGATCTGCTCTGCCTGTACCCAGTCCTGAGGACACTCTGGCACCCCCAGGTTATATACAGCCAGTGCCAAACTGGCCCCAGGGCCCTTGCACATGCTGTTGCCTGCTGCAGCTCAAGCCAGGTCTCAGATCAGGCTCCCAACAGGCTCGAGCCTTGCAGCCCTCACCTGGGGTCAGTGGCCGCTCCACAGCGCCCCCACGTGGCAAGTGCTCATCCTCCGAGAAGCTTGAGTCCTGGTTGGGTTCGAAGTCCTCCTCTGCAGCCATGCTTTCCATCAGTTTGCTCACTGCACCTCCCTTCCCACGGTTCTAGGGAGAGCACAGCAGGCCAATGGCTCAAGACACTGCCCTGGGCTAAACTGGGCCTGCTGCTGTGGGATCTGCTGTGGATACACTGGGGGCTCTAGCTGGACACACCCCAGCAGTAGGAGGATGACCCTGGGTGGGGGGTGAAACCTGCCCATACTGAGCACTGTACACAGTGCTCAGTGCTCAGCACTGTCCTGTCCATTACCACAGCAAATACTTTGGTCCTCCAAGAGAAACTGAGGTGGCATCTCAAATGCGTGCCTTGGCAGGGGCTAGTGCTACCGTATATACCCAACCCATCACCTGAGCAAAGCCTGAGGGACCACTGTGGGGACCCAGTTTTAAGCCAGGTACTCCCGCTGCCTGACACACCCAAGGAGGCAGCTCAGGTCGCTGTGCTCAGAGTGCAAGGGCAGCTGCTGGTCACCTGGCCTCACAGGACGCCCGTCTCCAGCGGACTCGGGCGCTGGCCCCACACCTGCCCAGAGCCTCACCTCCTTCTTGGCCTCCTTCCCTTTGGCCTTGGCCTTGCTCCTCTTGGCGGTGGCCAGTGGGCCTGCGTGAGCGGCTCTGGCCTCAGTGGGCAGGCTGGGCACGCGGGCCGGTGGCAGCGTGGCAGCAGACCCGGCCTCCTTCCCTTTCTTCTTCTGGAAAGGAAGTGAAGGAGGAGCCTGAGGGTGGGGTCCAGGCTGCTTGGACAGGGGAGACAGGGCCCCCATCCTTCCCTCCTGTCACTCACCTTGCATCCCTCCCACCGCGGGAGCAACCCAGACAGAGCCACTCCAGAGCTGGGGACAAAACCCTGTACTCTCTGCAAGTGTCTTCAATGGTGTTTGCTTGTTTACTTTTTGGTTTTTTTGAGACAGGGTCTCCCTATGCAGTTCAGGCTGGCCTTGACCTCACTTCGTAGCCCAGGCTGGTCTCAAACTTTCAACGATCCTCCTGCCTCAGCCTCCCAGTGCTGAGATTACAGGTGTGCACCACAACGCCCAGCTAATCTGTCATTTTAAAATTTTTTTTTGTAGTTTGGTTTTTTTGTTGTTGTTGTTTTTTGAGAAAGGGTATCACTATGTAGTTCAAGTTAGCTTTGAACTATGTAGCCATGCTGGCCTCGAACTTGTGGCAATCCTCTTGCCTCAGCCTCCTGGGATGCAGGCAGTGCTGGGATTACAGGCATGTCCCCCATCCCCAGCTTAACCTCAATCATTTCATTACTCTGTATATTTTGTTGCCCCAAAAGACAGGCTGGGAAGTATACACAAGCGGTATGATCAAAAAGCACTGTGACTGTTTATGATTAAAACTGCAGTATAGTGAAAGACACACTGTCATCAGTCCCCTCAAATCCGCTCCCGCACTGTGAACATGTTTATCCCACCATTGTGGCCATATTCAGAGCAGATCTGGAAGTCTGCTTCCGTGAGTATCTTTAGTTGCATGGTTATAACTGCCTCATTGTCCTGAACTGATTCAAAATGTTTTCCTTTCGTGGTCATTTTGACTTTGGAGAAGAGCCAGAAGTTGGACGGTGCCAGATCTGGTAAAAAGGTGGGTGTGGACACAGTCATGTTTTTATGAGCCTGACTTTCCTTTGGCTGGCACTTGGAGGAACATTCACAGGATATTTGATCAGACCTTGTAAAAGCATTCAGGAAAGAGAACTTCAGAACTGCTTCACAAAATAAAAGAAGAGGGCTGAAGCTATAGCTCAGTGGCACAAGTGCCTGCCTGGTAAGCACAAGTCCTGAGTTCGATTCCTGATACAAAAAGAAAAGAAAATGAAAGAACAAGGCTTGGCATGTGGTGCATGCCCAGCACTGTGAGGCAGGAGGACTGCTGCAAATTTGAGGCCAACTTTGGCTACATGGTGAGACCCTGGCTCAAAAAACCAACAGACCAAACTAAATATAAATATATATATGACACAGGCACGAACAATGGGGTCAGTGATAGGATCAATGACGGACGATGTGTCATTACTGGAGTATATTTTTAAATTTAATCTCTTAGGGCCTGGGGATTTAGCTCAGCAGGCAGTCGTGAGTTCAATCCCCGGTACCGATAAAAAGGAAAAAGACAAAAAAAAATGTAAACTCTCACCTTCCCTTGGATGTAAGAGTTCCCGTCCCACCATCCTCCTGCTGCTAACAGTGTGCCACAGCCTTCCAGAACTCTCCACCAGCACATGCAGGCAGGTGGACGCTGAAGCTACACACACATTTCTTTTTAAGACATGGGAATTTACCCAAAGTCCTGCTGTAAATCCCCTAGCCCTGTACAGCTGCTATACACAAGGGAGGCTCCTAACGGCTGCAGGATATGGCACTGTGGGGGCGGCTCTGTCATGCTGTCAGGCATTTCACCAACCCGGGGGCAGACAGCCAAGCTGCCTCTATTTTTCAACTCTTTCAAATAACGTTCCCCAGAGACAGACACAGATACACACGCATGCACGCATGCGACCTGACACGTATGCTGGAAGGGCACTGAAAACCAGAGCCCTACTTGAGGACCAGCCTCACCCATCTCAGATGGAGAAAGAACCTGTGGCTTCAAGGTGGGCAGGAGGTAGCTGAGTCTCTCTCTCTCTTTTTTTTGTCTTTTTCCTTTTTATCGGTACCAGGGATCGAACTCACGACTGCCTGCTTGCAAGGCAGGCTCTTATGCCGCTGAGCTAAATCCCCAGCCCCTAGCTGAGTCTCTTTTAAGAAAGGGCCTCCTGTAGAGGTTTGTGGATCTGAGCAAAAAACTGGAAGCAATCGGATGCCTGGCCACCTGACCCAGAAATGGTCACACACACACACACACACACACACACACACCCCTAGCTTTAAGCCTTGGTTATGCAGCTAGCATCACAGAGTAACTAAGAGCTGATGGTGTAAGATACTGGAAATGCTGGGTCTTTGCAGAAAGCCGCCAAACTACAGCTAGTACAACCCAGAGGCTATGGTGGGGTCTGGCCCAAGTGACATGATACTTCCAGTTGTTTGTTCTACTGTGGTTTGGTGGCACTGGGGACTGAACCCAGGGCCTTTATACCAAGCCACACCCTCAGCCCTTTTTATTTTAACAGTGTCTTGCTTAGTTCAAGCTGGTCTCCATCTTTCAACCCTCCTGCCTCAGCCTCCCAGAGTGCTGGGATCACAGGTGTGCAACACCAAGCCTGGCTCAGTGATTTAAAAAGAGACAGGTCAAACACAAAACCACCAAGGGCAGGCAGGAGGAAATTAAGAAACAAGAAATTCAAAGCAATTACATTCAAAGGGACAAAAAGAGCTGTGTTCTAGAGTCTGCAGCTTCACCTCCATGGGGGACACACACACGCGTGTACTCTGGATTTTCCTGTTTTGATGACGTTTTCATCCCATTTGTAGCACTGAGAGCAGAAGGCATGCCGAGGGGATGCACCCTGGACACACCGTCTGGGTCTCTACTACCTGTTATTAGACGGGTGCTTTACCTCAGAGCTTTGAGGCTGCGCACCCAGGGCAGGGGAAAAGGCCCTCTCTGTACAGATGTTTTCTTCCTTTTTATTTACATTATTTTTTCTGGTACGGGGATTCAATCCTGCTGCCACATCTCCAGCACGTTCTTATTTTTTTTCCCCCACAGCACCAGGGATTGAACTCATGACCTCGCGCATGCCTGGCAGGTGCTTACGCCCCCGAGCTAATCCCCAGCCCTCGGGCTGCTTACTTGAAGACAGCCTCACTAAGTTGCCCCTGTTGGCCTCAAATCTCCAATGCTCCTGCCTCAGCCTGAGAGTCCAGGCTAGGCCCACTTCCTTCTCCCACTTCTTTATATTCCAAACCTCTTTTATTATCACATCAAACCAGAAACTCTTTTGCCCTTTGACTAGAAAAATCATTGCTGGGAGCCCCTCTCCCCTTTATTTCCGTAAGAAGGCGAGGCTCCTGCCCTCTCAAGGGCCACCTGGGACCTGGGCTGGCAGAGGGACCCACTGCACCGTGGTGTGCTCTGAGTTAGGTTCCCCTAACCTCAGTCTCTCGTCTCTGGTTCCAGTTACCTGACGTCAGCTGCTGTCCAGAAATGCTACAAAGAAAATGCCAGAAATGAACACCTACGAAGTCTCCAACTGCATGCCCTCCTGAGTGCACGAGGAACGTTTGCACTGCCCTGTCCCATCCTATCTCAGCGGGGACATAGCATCCCTGTCCCTGGAGTCCAGCTGCACCCCTTGGTCGCTTGGGCACCAGCTGGGAACTGGGGACAGCTGCTGTGTGGCCAAACTCACTCAGGACTCTACTCAGTGTGGCTTCAGGCACTCATGGGGCCTTAGAACGCATCGCAGGATGGGGGGCGACTGTATCTGTGGTTAAATGGTTGCAGCAGGTCTGGACCTGCTGGGGGTGCCCCAGTAGGAACATTGTTATTTATTATGCTGGTATCCTTTCTGCAAGGCCTGACTACATGAGCTGGCCCTGGGCACAAACCTCGATGCCCGTGGATGGTGCCTGACCACAACCCCTCTCATTCTCCTTATCACTCCCTCCTGAGGAAACTTGACTTCTGAGTCTCAGCCCTTTTTGGTGATTTTTTCCTTGAATGTCACTGTTTTTTGAGGGTTCCTTCTCCTGCAAGGACTCAATAGAAAGGCCTGAAGCAGAGCGATATGCAGAGCCAGTTAAGTCTGAATGCAACTGCTTAGTGGGGGAACCACTAGCCATTAGCTTCCTAGCAGTGAATGCAAAAAGGGCAATACATCTAACTATAGCGTTTCTGGAAAAGCAAGCATTCTTACTCTGAAGTGTCCATCAAGAAAATCTAAACAATTTTTCTCTTGGGTAGGAAAAGAACCCTATCTCAGTTCAGTGGTAGAGCACTTGCCAAGCATACAAGAGGCCCTGGGTTCCATCCTCAGCAACAAAAGGAAAAGAAAAGCCCATATCTAGTTTCACATTTTTACCTCTAAAGAGATGGGGTTTTCCTGCAGGTGACAGTGGAGGCCACAAACCACAATAGTGTGGGTAATGCCAGTGACACTGCCACCAACAGAAACCACAGGGTCCCCAGCCCACAACAGTTACTACCTACCCTGCTACACATGTGGCTCCATGCTATACTGAACCCTGTGCTCCTCCTTAGTGTCCACACCATTGGGCCTTTGGAAGCTGTGGCCACCTGCTGTGTCTCCTGCAGCCAGAAGGTCCGGCTCTCAGCTGGCTCTTCCAGGGGGAGGTCAAGTCTTCAGGAGGAGGGCGTGGCAGGAGGACCTCGGGTCACCGCTGCCAGGTGCCCTCAAGCACACTGGGAGACCCTTTGGTTTCCGTCCTTACAGCTGGCTGGCAAGGCAGTGGTTTTGCTCCCCCTCTTCCTCCATGAAGTGCCTCCTCCCACGGGCCAGAAACAATGGGCTAATGGATCCAGGGCTGCAACTTCCCACCTGCAAGCTACAGCTATGCTAGCCCTCTTCTCTCTCTGAGTCACTTAACTAGGTTCTCAAACAGTAGGGGCTGGGGATATAGCCCAGTGGCACAAGTGCTTCCTGGCAAGTGTAAGGTCCTGAGTTCAATTCTTGGTACCAAAGAAAAAGACCAGACTGAATTACATAGCAAGGCCTTGTCTCAAAAATAATTTTTTGGGCTGGGGATTTAGCTCAGTGGCATAAGCACCTGCCTGGCAAGCTCGAGGTCATGAGTTTGATCCCCACTACCAAAAAAAAAAAAATCAAACAGTGATGGAAAGCTGGCCAGCATGAGCCCTAGATGTTGTGTTCATTTACACATCTTTTTTTGTTGTTTTCTCTTCTTGTGGTACTGGAGGAGGAACCCAGGGCTGCCACACCATGTCCCCAGTCCCTCTTGTGTTTTTAAAATTTTGAATCACTGAGATGCCCAAGTTGGGCTTGCACCTGAGATCCTCTTGCCTCAGCCTCCCATTCACACACAATTTTAAATGCTGTAAGACAGGGTGCAGGGGGGCAAAGCCCTCCATAAGGAAGCGAGAAGGTGGTGAAGCTCCTTTCCTCGACTGGCTCACTGACTCTGAAGCCCATCTGAGGCTGCAGAGCCAGCCCAGCTCTGTGCCCGAGCCCCAGCTGCCTACCTTCCTGGGGTCCTTCCTGTCCCGGGCGCGGCCGCCGTCCTTGCGCGGGCTGGGCGGGCCCCGGGCACAGCGGCCGGCCTTGGCAGGGGTCGGGGTGCTGCTGCTGGGAGCGGGTGCCGATGCGGCAGCCGAGGCGTCGTGCAGGAAGATGCGCTCGCTGCGCCGCCGAGTCCACAGGTCGTCATCGCTGGCCTCGGGCCCCGCCTCAAAGCCCGGCTCCTTGGGACCCCGTAGCTTGCGGGCCTTGCGCCCCTTGTCCGCGGCCAGCTTGGCCTTGTCGGGGCTGCTGGGGCCACGGGCGCAGGGCGCGGGGGTGGCCAGCGGGGCCCCAGGCTCACCCGGTGCCTTCTTGGGCCGCAGCAGCGTGGCGGGGGGCGGCCGGCGCACCTTGACCTCACTCTCCGAGTCTGTGTACTCAAACTCCGTGCCTGGAAGGAAGGGAAGGGGCGACACTGAGCTAGGGGGCCCACTTGCTGCCAGGAGAGGGGCAGGTACGCAGCCTGACCCACACCCGAACAGCGTGGCCCTCACCCCAAGAGATCCAGGGGTGTGGAAAGCTGGCCAGTGCCTCCAGGTATCCTGGAACCCTACAAGTAAAGGCAGGGGAGCCAGAGGGCCCAGCACAGGCAACAGGAAAACCCAGAAAAGCCTGTGCCCAGGGCCTCTCCTGATGCCCTCTGCACGCTGGAACCCCAGGCTCACCCATACCATGTAGGATACCACCACAGTGGTGAGGAGGCCCAGCCCCCTCACCAGCCCTGTCCTCCGAAGACCAAGGAACCCACTACCTGCCCTCTGGGGCTTCGGATACCTACCTTACTTGCCACTGCCACTGCTGGCTCCCACCCAACCCCACCTGCAGACCTCTGGGCTTTCCCTTCTCCTCCTCCCTCCACAGATGTACCATCTCACTCCACCTCGACTTGGAAAACCCCCAGTCCGCTGTGACGGGACTGCCTAGCACCCCTCTGCCCACACCTCCCTCATCACGCTGGTACACCGTGTCCAGCACGTCTGGCCTGCCCTGTCCCCTAGAGCTGGTTCTCTCAGTTCTTAGGGAGTCTCAAGGCTCACACAGGCTGAGCCTGGACAGAGCTGACACCCAGGAAAAGCATTAGCGTGTGGGTTGCTGACACTTCCATGGAGACGGGGACTTTGGATGAGGTCCCAGGGATGGCCAGTGACCTACTGTGGCGTCCCGACAGCACACAGGCCAAGACCAGCCCAACTGGCTCAGGTACAAGGGTTCTCCTGGGAGGCCACCCTTGAAGAGGCAGCCTAAGTAGTGGAACCTGGGGGTACTGGCAAAGCCTGAGGATCTCAACAATTCATCTCCCACAGCGCAAGGAGGCAGCTGGGGCTTTCTGGCTGAGGACAGACTAGACAGATTATGACTTGGCCCCAAGACAGCCCACCACAGGTATGCCCTGTGTGGGCAGGTGGACAGTGGACTGAGAAGGTGCCTGTGGAAGAGACAGGCTTTTTTTTTTTTTTGGTGGTACCAAGGATCAAACTTATGACCTTGTGCTTGCCAGGCAGGTTGCTTACACTGCTGAGCTAAATCCCCAGCCCCAAAAGGGACAAACTGCCCTGCATCCTTGCCCCAGCCCAGGCCACAGGCTCCTTGGCGGTCAGAGCAGGCAGGGCTGCACACAGGTGGAAAGAAAGGAGCCCTTCTGGCCTCAGCAGCAGGAAAAAGGAGGTTAGATGCTGATGACACAGAGGAGAGGAGAAAGAAGGACCCCTGGGCTCTGCCTGTCCACAGGTGGGTCAGATTTGACATGGCCCAGTGAGTAGCAGATGCCGATCCGAAAAAGAGACCCCATTGGCCACCCAGGGAACAGAAAAAGGAGTTCCAGTCCCACCAAGGCACCCCCTGTGGAAAGGCAACACCACTCACTGAAGAAAACCAGAGCATCCGGACCCCACATCCACAGCCCACCCCACTCCCAGCACCCGAGCCAAAGATGATCAACGAGGAAGAGCGGGAAGGTGTGCGGCGTTCTGGAGAGAGAAGGCCACCTCTGGCCACCTCTGACGCCAAGGTGTAGCCCACCTGGGGACAAAGCGGGGAGGGTTCTCTGGGGAGACCCCTAAGGAGGCAAAGCAAAACTCGTGTGGGTTTTCTCTTTGTGTTTTATCCTGCTGATGGCACCTAGAGCCCTCACCCCCACCTATATCCCCACCCTTCACATTACTGAGACAGGGCCTCACAAAACTGCTAAATTGTCAAGGTTGGGCTCCAACTTGTGATCCTCCTGGTTCAGCCTCTACAGCAACAGAAAACCGGGAATGGCCAGCAGTTAAATAGAAATAACTCAAAAGAACCAAACGGAAGTTCTAGAACTGAAAATTACCACTTTGAAAATAAGAAATTGACAAAAGGGACCTAGGAGCAGAAGGGGGTTGAGTAAGAGAGGTGAGTCTGGAGAAGGAACCACAGCGCCTGAGATCTGTCAGGTGGTAACGAATGGTATGGAAAAACACTCAGGCAGCAGTCAAGCTGAGGATAAGCAGTGATTTGCAAACAGACCCAAGTGCTACGTGAACACAAGGCAGTACCAGGAAGTCTGCACCGACTGTACCGAGGCACATCGCGGTGCCGCTGAGACGGAGTAAAGCAGAGCCCAGAGAAAGAACGGCAGGAGAAGCCACACTCGGACCCGGGGGCCCCTCTGAAAGCATCCGGTCACTAGGGATGGGTCTCAAAGGGAACCGTGGACCCCAGTCTCTTCCTCTCCCCCTCTTTTCCCTATCAGAGCGAAGAGCTTCCTTAGCCATCTTAGAGGTCCACAGCAGGTCAGTCTAGACTCAACTGGCAAATTCGTGAGCCAAAACGGAGCTTTCTTCTTTTTAATATGATTGTCTCAGGTATTGGTTGCAATAACAGAAAGCTGACCAACACTTAGAAAAAACCATCAGACTAATGGGTGACTTTCCATCAGAAACTGGAAGCTAGAAGAGAGATCATTAAAGTGCTGGGAGAAAAATTGGAAATGGAAAATTTTATATTCAATGAAAATATTAAAACATCACTCAAGAATGAAGGTGAAATGGAAATATTTTCAGATGAAAGAACACTAAGAAAATTCATCTTGGACCGGGGATTGAGCTCAGCACTCTAAGCACCTGCCTGGAAAGCATGAGGTTGAGTTCGATCCCCAATACCAAGTAAAAAAAGAAAGAAAGAAAATTCATTGCAAAGTGTGACAGTACACACCTATAATTCCAGCACTCTGGAAGGTTAAGGTAGGACATGAGTCTGAGTTCAAGTGATTTAGCAAGAACTATCTCGAGATGCAAACAGTAAAAGGCTCGGCATGGTGACACATGGCTGTAATCCCAGAACTCAGGAGGCTGAAACAGGACAATTGCCATGCATTCAAGGCCAGCCTGGGCTATGTAGTAAGACCCCACCCCCCAAAAACCAAGTGGGGGGAGGCTAGATACATAACTCAGTGTGAAGGCTCTGAGTTTAAGCCCATTACTTTAAAAAAATTAAGGATTCATTTAAATAGAAAGAATCCATGTTCACAGATCAAAAGGTTTATAATGTTAAGAGACCAATCTGCCCCAAAATGATCTGCCAGTTCAACACAGTTCCTGTCAAAATGCCGGTTGTCTTTTTTGGCAGAAATTGACAAGCTGATTCTAAAACTTACATGGAATGCCTAAGTGCCAAAACAACTTTAAAAGAAAAAAAAGGAAAAATTTGGGAAGCTCACATTTTCTAACTGCAAAACTTACACCAAAGCTACCGTAAACCAAGACAATGTGGCACTGGCATAAGAATAGATATAATGGATGTTTAGATCACTGGAAAAGAGTTGGAAGTCCAGAAATAATTCCTTGCATTTATGCTCAATTAATTTTCAACAAAGCAGCAAGGCCCTACTGGTACAACTGAGTATCAACACGGAAAAGTCCCCTGCATCATTCCACACACAAAAATTAACTAGAAATGGATCGCAAATCTAAACAAAACAGCCCAAACCGTAACAGTCTTAGGAAAAACCAGGAGCAAATCCTTGTGACCTTGGATTATACAGTACTCTCTTCCATTCGACCCTAGAGCCAGGTGACAAGAAACAGAAAATCAGGTTTCATCAAAATTAAAAACATTTGCTGGGAGCAGCAGTATACACTCGCCATTCCAATGACTGAGGAGGCTGAGGCAGAAGGGTTGCTAGTTCAAGGCCAGCCTGGGTAACTTAGCAAGATCTTGTCTCAAAATAAAAATAAAAAGGGATGGCAATATAATTCAATAGTTGACCACTGCTTAGCATGCACATGTCCCTGGAATTGATCCCCAAGACAGATAGATAGATGAATAAGACAGATAGATGGGAACTTTTGTTTTGAATAATGATATCAAAAAGGTGAATAGATTTCGATTCTCCATACAAAAAAAAAATGAGTAAAAAACTCACAGAGAAAAAATACCTGCTAATTATATTATAGCAGATAAGTCTTATCTGACTGTTAATCAAAATATATAAAGACTGCTTAATAACTTTTGAAAAGTTAACAAAAACTAAGATTTAAATATGATTTCTTTTTCCAGTACTGGGATCAAATCCAGGAGGCCTATGCATACTAGGCAAGGACTCTATATCTGAGCTACATCCCAGACCTTTTTATTGTTGAGATAAGGTCTCCCTAAATTGGCCAACTGGCCCTAAACTTGCAATACTCTCTCAGCCTCCTGAATGGCTGAGATTACAGGTGTGCACTGCCATACCTGGTTTAAATAAGATACGTCTTAAAAGAAGACACAACACATGCCTGGAGTCCCAGCACGCCAGAGGCTGAGTCAGGAGGATTGCCACAAGATTGAGGCCAGCCTGGTTACACAGAGGGCAAAGCCAGCCTGCACTACACAGTGACAGACCCTGTCTTGGACAACAGCAACAACAACATTAAAAGAAAACAGATATAGACAGAAGTAAGCCAGAAATACATATATGGGAAGATATTCAAAATCATTAGATATTACAGAAATACAAATCAAAACCATAATGAAAGGCTGGGATGTAGCTCAGTGGTGAGTGCTTGCCTAGCATGCAGGAGGCCCTGGATTCCAGCTCCTGCCCAGAAAACACACCACACACTGAGACACAACGTCACATCTGCAGGGACGGCTGTAATCCCAAAGACAGACAGACAGGATGTGGAGAAACTGGAATCTCCTACACTCTGGTGGAATGTGCTTTGGAAAAACAGTTCGATAACTCCTCAAAAATTACACAGTGACCCAGCAGTTCCATTACTAAGAGAACTGAAAACACGGCCTCACAAAGCTCTGTATGCATGCATTCCTAGCAGCATCAGCCGTAAAAACCTAAAAACGCAAACAACCAGAATGCCCATCAGCTGCTGAGGAGACACACAAGTGGCTATCAGTGGCAGCTGATGTGGCCGTAGAGCGAAAGGAGGCGCTGCATGTTACCCCGAGGGTGAGCCTGCAAACCACACAGCCAAACAAAGACCACACACTGCACAGACGTTTACACGAAAAGTTAATAGGTAAATCCAAAAGAAGGGATTGCCCAGAGCTGGAGCTGTGCGGGAACACAGTGAATGTGAGGTTTCCTTTTGAGGTGATGAGAATGTTCAGAAATTAGATAGCAGTGATAGTTCCCCAACTCTGAACATAATAAAAACCACTGAGGGCCAAGGATTTAGCTCAGTTGCGTTAAGCACCTGCATGGCAAAAACCACTCAGTGGTAGGTTGTGAAGGTATATTTTATGGTATGTGAATTATATCTTTTTGTTTGTTTGTTTCCTTTTTATCGGTACCGGGGATCAAACTCACGACTGCCTGCTTGCAAAGCAGGCACTTATGCCGCTGAGCTAAATCCCCAGCCCCGTGTTAAATATCTTAACAAAGCTATTTAAAAAGAAAAGGCTATTATAAAGAGATAGTCAGACCCACTTTTTTTTTTTTTTTTTTTTTTTTGGTCTTTTTGAGACAGGGTCTCGCTATGCAGTTCAGGCTGGCCTTGAACTCACTTTGTAGCCTAGGCTGGTCTCGAACTTGCAAAGGATCCTCCTGCCTCAGCCTCCCAAGTGCTAGGATTATAGGCGTGAGCCACCATGCCCAGCTGCTAGACCCACCCATATTATTATATATTATGCATTTATTATAATAAATATAATAAGCCCTCCAATGAAAAGATACAAATCATAGAAAGAATGTTTTTAAAAAGACCCAAGAATATATTGTCTATAAGAAGCTTACAGTAAATATAAAGACAAAGATATTTTTTTTTCCTTTTTTTTCCTTTTTATCGGTACCGGGTATCGAACTCACGACTGCCTGCTTGCAAGGCAGGCGCTTTATGCCGCTGAGCTAAATCCCCAGCCCCCAAGACAAAGATATATTAAGGTAGCCAGCTGCTGTGGTGCACACCTGTCATTCTAGCATTTTGGGAGGCTAAGGCAGAAAGATCAAAAGTTCAAATCCCACCTGAGCAACCCCGTCTCAAAAAAGGGGCCGGGGATTTAGCTCATTGCAAAGGTCCTGGGTTCAGTCCCCAGTATCACACACACAGCATAAAACAAAATGACAAAATGGCAGAGAAAAAAAAATATACCGCAGAAATGGCAAGGACAAGGAAGATGAAGAGACTGCGTGTACCAGATAAAATGGGTCAAAACAGAATCTAACGCCAGGGTTAGAAAGGAACACTTTATAACAAAGATGAGTCAAGGGGAAGCCATGATGCTCGCAAACGTGTCTGTGCCGAGTAACAGAGCTGCAGATACACAAAGCAAAACCTGACAGCATCGAAAGGAGAACTAGTGATTTTAAACATCTCTAAGCAACTGATAGAAGTGGACCTGAAAAGTCCAATGAACATGTGGATCAGTAAGATAACCAGTCAAGTTCCCTCAAGTAGTTGGAAATATCTTTTTAAATAATCACTAATTCGAAGTAGAAATCACCAGAGAAAAGAATGAGAAGTGAAAATATGATGACATATCAAAATGTGGGAGGTGTAGGTAGAGAGATTTGGAGCCTTCGATGTCTACCGGCAAAAAGAACAGTCCCAAACTGATGACCTAAACTTCTACCTTAAGAAACAGGTGGTTGCAAAGTATGCCCAAAGAAAACAGAAAGAAGGAAATATCGCAGAAATCAATGAAATAGATAATTTCTAGCCAGTCTGATCCACAAGGAAAAAAAGGCACAAGTTATTTGTATTGCAAGGAAAAAGGAAGCATCACTACAGACCCTTCCAACACGAAAGGTGTACAAAGGAAGTAATTCAAATTACGTGATGATACATTTGATAATCATGATGACACGGGTGCCTATGGCTGCAGGGACAGACGTTTGAAAACCTGAAGGACTACAATGGCTGGTGGCAAATCAGGGGCTGTGGACAGGATGCAGGTGCAGGGACAGACAAGTGGCATCTACCAAAAGGCAGCAGGGAGCCAATTCTGAGCAGAGAGGCGGCAGGGTGGGGCTTGGGCCTCGTGGGAAAGTCCTCTAGATATTGCTGCCTGACACACCAAGTAGAGACTGACTTGGAGGGGGCCAGGTCTGCAGTCCCCATGTCCCACCCAGCCCTGCAGGGACGGTAAGGAGGTGCCTGCTCTCACTGTTGAGAAAAGCACACAAGGCCCTGACGCAGGGTGTGATCAGACGCAGAGGCAGGAAGGAAGCAAAGCCAGGGTGAACTTGAGCCTCTTGCCCGAGCATTAGTGCTGTGACCATGCTGGGCCATTGGGGTGATGACACAGAATCTGCTGACTCCAACTCCTTCAGGGCCAGTGACACTTGGCCATTGGCTGCCCCACCCACTGGGTCACAGCTCCAAGGTCCTGGATGTCATCAGCTTTCCTATTCTCCAGGCTGTTCTTTCTTTCCCCCACCACCTCCCTCCAGCCAGCACCTACATCTCTCAGGGACCGGAAGGATGTCACCAAGCTAGAGTGGGTTGGAGCCACCTTTGGGCTTCCATAGCCTCCAGGACTTGTCTTAAGGCTGTGTTTATCAGAGCACAAAGGTGGAGCAGCTCAGCCTCAAGCAGCTACACCTTGAGCAGCCAGAGGCCCTGCGAGGACTCTCCTCACCAGCACTGCTCTACGTGGGACAGGGTTGGCCTCAGGTGTTCCCCCGCTCCCCAGCTCTGCCTGTACCCACAGCTGAGTCTCAGTCTCCTCATCTGTGGGATGGGCCGAAGTGCCACCTCCCTGCAGTCCCCGCCACACTCACTCATTAGACTCTGCCGCTCCTCTTTCTTCCGAGCTTTCTGCTTGGCCTCCAGCTGCACCACAGACAGGGACGGTCCCACCATAGGGCTGGGGAGGGCACTGGCTGCAAAGCGGGCCAGCAGGCCCAGCCCACTCTCCTCCAGGCCTGGTGACAGCGCCCGCTCCCGAGTGCCCAGCCTATAGCCACCAGCAGCCTCCTCATCCTCCTCCTCCTCCTCCTCCTCCTCCTCCAGCTCCTCCTCGTCCTCCTCGGAGGTCTCATCTGGCGTGCAGAAAACAGGGAATAAGTCAGGGCTCTGGCCCACTGTGTGCCTCCCCCCACCACCCACCACCCCTGGGACTGGAGTGCCCACAGCTCCAGCCTTACCCCGCAGCCTCACCACGTGGCCGTTGGGGGAGATCCCAAAGTATCCCCTGGTCCCACCCATGCTTGCCCAGGGCCTCAACCCACGGAGCCCAACACATGGGCATCCTGGACAGCCCAGAGAAGCAGCAGCTCTGAGTGTCAGGGTGGGCTTCTGTGCGGGGAGCACCAACATGCATGTGTGCTGTGGGCAGGGGACAGACACACAGACAGGACTGGAGACAGCGCTCGCCACAGTCTCACGCGCACACACACATACCCCAACAGACAAGAAGGCTTAGGAAGGAGGCAGGAGAGGAGGAGGAGGAGGAGGAGGAGGAGGAGGAGGAGGAGGAGGAGGAAGAAGGGTGTCCAGGCAAGGGACTGCAGCTGTTTTGCCAGCTGGAGACTTGGGGCCTGCTGGCAGGAGAAGGTGGAGTTTGGTCTCCTCTGGGACTTGGGGAGGATGTTGTGGCTCCAGCTCCAAGTATAGGGCTGTAGAGTCCAACACACATCCAGCAACAGCCCACCCTGGAGAGCCTGGAAGCAAGTGCCCACCCTCACTGGAACCCCATTTTCTCAGCTGTGGCACGGGTGACCCTCCCAACTGGCCTAGCAAAAAGAACGTTCACACAGAATGTGCTTTGCAAGTCTGGGGAGGATCAAGACAAACAGGGCTGTATCTGTGACCCGGAGAGGAGCTGTGCCGTCCCTAGCTGGTTATGGCTCAAGACTCTGGGGAAACCCTTGGGGGTGGCCAAGCTGAACTGGAGACAGAGCCTCAGGCTGAGTGCCCCAGCTGCAGGCCTGGCAGAAGAGGTTCAGGCTGTCTCCTGGGGGTGGAGATAGGCCTTTCCCAAGCCACTGGCCCAGCAGCCAGCTAGGGCTCTTGGGAGCAGGCAGGCTGGGCGCTGGGGCTGGCCACAAAAGACAAGCACAAGGATCCATGCAAGTGAACCAGTCCCTCTGCCAAAGAGGGAGGCTGTCCCCGCCCTTCTGCAGGAGACAGCCCCACTGAGGCATCTGACACACAGCAAAGGAGCTTCAAGGGCAAGTGCGCCCGTGCATCTCTGCCTAGAAGGCCAGAGCACTGAGAGCTGCTGGCCAAAGTAGGGCCCAGATGGGACTGGAAAGTGGCTCTGTGAAGCAAGAAGTAGCAGGACACATCCCCTGGGCTCAGCAGTTGGAGAGGGGAGACAGGTGACCAAGTCCACAGTTCTCCTGCCATTGTCCCAAGCTACCACTTGATTTAAGCGGCCAAAAGTGGCCAAAAATGCAGCCCCATGAGTACTACCATGGGCAAGAGTTCTGTCCCCCACCCATTTACTGGAAGGTGCCTGGATTCCTGGCAGGGTAGCCCTGGAAGGGGGAGGTGGTGAGGAGCAAGGGAAGTCATACAAGGGTGGAGAGAGAGAAAGGAGCAGAGAGAGGAGGCTTGTTACAGGGGTGCAGGCGGGAGCGGGCTCCCAAGGCGATGGATGAAGCAGGCTGGGGAGGAGGCCAGCGGGGCAGGCAGGGCAGGCAGGCAGTGCACACTTGCGATCATTCACATTGCGACGTCACATGGCTCTGTCTCCGCCCCAGTGGGCCACAGCGCGGCAAAGCAGGCTAAGTGTAGGCAGACTTTCAACAGCGCCTGGGTCCTCCACATCGGGCCCCCCTGGGGTTGTCCAATTAGGGGAAGGTGTTGGGAGGGCAGCTGGCTGGGGTGGGGGCACAGGGCTAGGTGAGGGGCTGGGCATATTCCCTTCTAAAAATACCCTGCCCTGGCTGCTCGGGTGTGGGGACCAGAAATCTTCCCTCCAGAGCTCAGCTAGTAGGTTGGTAGGGGAGGCTGGAAGCCCTGGGTTTCTGGGAGCTGCAGGGGCCATGTCAGATCCCAGAAAGCTAGGAGCAGGCCAGGCCCAGCACCTTGCAATGGAAAAATGCTGGCAGGCAGAAGCCCACACGGAGCAACTGCATAAGGGACATATGAATTATCCCATGATCCTCCCGGCCTCCCTGGAGCTGGGCAGGCCACACTGGTCCTGCTCAGACCATGTCTGAGGTGCAGGGGAGGAGCAGGGGACCAAGGCCAAGAAAGCCTCTCTGGAGTTGTCCACACCTGAGGCAGAGCTTGCCAAGGGCAGGGGGGAGTAAAGTCCCAACAAAGATACCCAACGAAATGCAGAAAAACTTTTTATTTTTTTAAAATCTTGGCTCAGGACAAGGGGTTGGCTGTTGTAACTTGGTTTGGTTTCCCAAAACCCATAAGCACCAAGGTGATGTGCTGCTGCCAGACCCGGTGGGCGCAGACCCCGAGGAGGTGGGTGTACAGAGGACAGAAAGAAAAGGGTTTGCCTACCTACGGAGCAACGAGCCAGGCTCGGACCCAAGCTCCGTGACCCGCTGTGCCGTCTGCCCTACTCCCAGCCTTCGCTTTGCGTCCAGAGTGCAGCGGGAGAGCAAATGCAAGAGACCGAAACAGACACTCAAAGCATCATGGGTAGGGGTCAAGGGTGGAGGTATGGTCAAGCTGCTGGGAGGAGAAAGCAGACACACTAGAAAAGCCAAGCCAATTAAGTGTTTTAGTACCAGGGGGTCAGTAAGGCCCTATTACCCAAATATCCCTTAAGACCTCATCAACCATCTGCTTTGCTGTGGGGGACAGACCAAAAAGCTGAGTGCCCTCCCCCCACCCCACTCCACTTTCCTATCTGGGCTCTGTGCACTGGCCCTGCTGTATCCAGCCCTGAATGCTGACTTGGGGCAACTGGCCCCTTCCGGAGAGGTCTGGTAGGGGCTGCCAGTTTCTCTGTAGGCTCCAAGCGGGGCCAGGAGTGTTCAAAGGCTAGGAAGCTCCAAGTCTGGCTTTAAGGGTATGTGGAGAGGGGCACAGAGGTCCAACTAAGGCAAGGGAGGGGAAGGGGTGAGCCAAGCCGGCCGGGGGAGATCTCACTAGGTGGCTGGTGGCCTCTCTTCTTAGCCCAGGATGCACTCACTCAGATGTGGCAGCGGGACAGGAGAACCCGAGCCCAAAGGACACCAGGCTCCCAGTGTGCTGTCTCCAAACCCTGTCAATCTAGAGGGGAGATGGTAGACAAGGAGCAGAAGCCAAAACGGGCAGTGTTCTGGTCCCAGGGGCCCAAGCTAGGACACATCCAGATTCGCTATGACCCCCGACCTGAGGAAGCAGCTGACATCTGGGTATTGCTACCCAGGCTCTAAGGATCCCTGTAGCCTGGCCCTATAGGGAATCCATCCTGAAGCAGACCCTAAACCAGGGCTAGGGAAGCTTTTCACCTGTTTCCCCTCCTTGGGACATTTCTGATTGAAGGGCCTGAAGGCTCAGATATTTCTAAACCCAGAGTTCCATTCTGAGAGAACATTCTTGGGGGTCAGGGAGCTTGACCTCCTGAGAGGAGAGCTGGCCGAGGAACTGGCCAAGCGAAGGCCAAACCAGGCCAGAGACCCACAAGCCAGAGCTCTCCCCCAAAGTATGCACTTTGTCCCCTGAAGTGGCCAGGAAGCCAACGCTTTCAAATTTAACAACAAAAACCAAGGCTGGCCAAAGGCCTTGATCTTGCACTGCCTACATGCCCTTCAAAACAGAAACATGTGTTAGAAGACAAGTGTTTATGTTAATTCTGTTTAACCACTAGTGAGTAAGAGCAAAGTTTTAAGAAAATAAAACACAAACAAGCAAAAAAAAAAAGATGATGCTGGAGGTGAGGGCGGCTGACTTTCACCTGAAAAATGGAATGGATGCCAGAGCTCCCAGGGATATTTGAATAATAGAGAGGAGCAGAGCTTCCACTCCCTCTGGGGTGGGGAGGAGGAGCGGGAGGGAGGAGGGAGGAGGAACAAATGAAGGGAAGCGGCCACCTGATGTCTAGTAAGGACACAGCAAGAGAGACAAGGCACACGGTTTAGTTAAAAATGAACTCGGTATGTTTAATAAAGCTTGGTATTACCAAAATCGCGGTACAAACATCAAGTCACACGTCCACACGACAGAGGTCCATTTACAAAATGCTCCCAGGGCCGGGCCCAGGCCAAAAGAGAGCCCTGCTCAGACCTGTGGTCTGGGGGGACAGGAAAGGTGCAGGGCCTCGGGGTGGGGAGGGGTGCAGAGGAAGGAGAGGAGAAAAGTGGAGACCAAAAACCAGTCCATGTGAAGCTCCAAAGAGCTCGCCAATGGCATTAATCACAATGATACAGTACAAATAAAAACAAAAACAAAAAGAGGCGGATACGGCAGGCTACGCTGCCAAGAACCAGACGGCTGCCGTCCTGGGCCATCAGGCGACGGCCACAGCTGCCATCCCTGCTGTGTGCACACGCGTGCTCTCTCTCGCTCGCTCGCTCTCGCTCTTCACACTCACTCTCGCGCTAAAACATGGAAGAGATTTTGTGTGTGGAGCTAGTAACCTTGGTCAAACGAGTCCTCCGAAGAGTCGCTGCAGGACAAGCGGGCCTCGGCCTCTCGGAGCAGCAAGCAGAACGGCTGCTTCCTGCTGGCGGCCGCCTTGGGTTTCAGAGTCCGGGGGGCCGCTAGGCCCCTCTTGGTCAGCTTGGGGCCGGTGGCTGGCTTGCCGTTCTTTGCCACCATGCCACACAGGAGGGAGGAGGTCAGTTTGGAGCCGGAGGGGCCTTGGGCAGGCCACTCATCCTTCAGGAAGTCTTCATCTTCCTCTGAGTCCGTATCTGCAGTCAAAGTAGTTTTTAACAAGGTAAGTCACAAGGCGCGGTGGGGGGAGAGGTGGCGTCTAGTTCTCTGTGATCAGTGGCTCTGAGAACGCACTGGGGTGTGCTGGCCAGGCCTCAGCCTCACCTGGGAAGCCTCCAAGCATGGGCAGCACGAGTCTTGCACAGCTGGGCTCTGCCAGCAGTGTACACCCAGGCACCTTATCGGCAGGGCACTGCCAAGTCACCCACCACAGTCACCATGGCCTTCCCAGGCCCTGGTGGGCCCCGTGACTCTCTGGATCCTGGTAGCTACTGCCACACATTCCATGCTACTGCACGGGCTGCACACAGCCCAGCAGCTCTTTCTGGGGAAGGACGAGGCCCCCTGGGGAAAGGGCTCCTAAGGGTGGCTGGCACACACAGGTCTCTTTCCCACTCCCTGCTCAGCAGCAATGCAAGGACAGCTCCAAATGGGCCTCAGTGAGAATACTCACACCAAGGAAGTTGGTGATGTCACAACAGATGCACCCCCTTGTGCTTCCCCTGTCCCACCAGCCCTGGCTTCTGGTGTCTCCAGCTGAGCTACAAGATTGAGCACCAGGGTACTCAAGCCCTCCTGGGAGACAACCAACAGCCTTCGGGGGAGCCCATGAGGGGGCAGAGCTCTGGTCCCTTCCTACCTCAACCCCCACATGCACCCTCTTGCTCTTGATCCAAACAAAACGAATGCTGATGCCCACAGCCACTGTTGGCAACACCTACTCTTGCCCAAGTCCAAGAGAAGCACACACAAGGGGTGGGGTCCCTGGCTGTTTCCACCAATAGCTCTGCTTTCTGTTCCAACCAAGACTCCAAGAGCTGGACAGCCTAGCAAATCTAAGGCAGGGCAAGGTCAACTTCTACCAAGCCTCTAGCCCTTGTTACAGCCCCAGCTCCTGCTGTCACGTGTTCCAACTTGTCCCTTCTGAGGCCACGTTCCAGCCCAGAGATGACCACAGACAACCTGCCGTCCCTCAAGAACCGCCAGGCACACTACCCATCCCTACACTCCACACTGGAAGAGTAGGAGGCACCATTCTCTCTTCCTCCTCCTGCCACGACAGCATCTCCACGCTGACACTGCTCACTCACCCAGAGCTACATTAAAGCAAGCTAGAAAAAGAAAAAAGCCAAGTGCACTGGTATGCATCTGTGATCCCCGCATTTAGGAAGGATGAGGCACGCAGACCACAAGTCTCACTGGGCAATTTAGTAAGACTGTCTCAAACTAAAAGATTTTTAAAGGGCCAAAGATGTATCTGGCTCAATGGTAGAGTGCACCTAGGTTCAATCAATCCCCAGTATGAAGGGAGAGAAGAAAGCGGCCCTTTACACAACCAGGTGCTTCTCTTAGCCAGCATGGAAGTGGAGACAGGCCCGATGACTTCCCTGTGTGAATGTTAATCCATTTTCTCTCCCTTACAAAGGCGTAACGAAATCAGATGGACACCTGGGACAGTTTTTTGGTTCTTTTTTTCTTCTTGAAACAGGGTCTCAAACTCATGGTGATTCTTCTGCTTCAGCCTCCTGATGGCTGGGATTACAGATATATACCACCATACCTGGCTGGACAACTGGAACATTTCCTCACACTCCCAAGGACACGATACCCCTGCTGCATTGGATAAGACTGCTTGGGGCACCCCAAAGACTTTAGGTCCCAACTATCTGTGACCTGTACCTCTACCCTATTCATGTCCACCAGTAAGCTGAGTGCAGTGGTGTCCCAGTAAGCAGCCAAGCAGTCCTCCTGCTCAGCCCTCCTTATTCCAAACTGAGCAGAAACAGAACCAAGGAAAATCCTCTTTCTCTTCAGAACAACAAGTCTGTCCCTGCCACCCTCTCCTCGTTCCTGCACATGACCGTGGACCTGGGAAGTCCTGTCAGAACATACCCAGCCAGGTCAGAGGGACACTGAAGATATATGGTGACTTTGTGTGCTGTGTGCCCAAGCACATAAAACACTCTGCTTGGCCCACCTGATGGCACACTGGTCCTGGAAGGCTGCTAGTCTAGGAAAAACAAAAACACACTTGCTAAAACATAACATTAGTTCAATCCTGCACCAGTGCAGTGTTCAGCTCTGCTCAGCTGAGCTCACTCAAGGCTTCCAAGAACCTTGATGAGTAGATGAGATTTAACATCCAAATCCATAGCCATTTTTCTTAAGAAAACACAGTAGTGCATGTCTATAATTTCAGTACTGAGAGGCTGAGGCAGGAGCATTTCAAGCTCAAACTCAGCCTGGGCAATTTAACAACAAAAAGCTCTGTCTCAAAATTTTTAAAGTGGATGCAAGTGGAGCTCAATGCAAAGATCCTAGGGTTTAATCAAGGATAGATGGACAAAAGGAAAAAAGGAGAGGAAACAGAAGAACAAAGAAACACTAGACAAGACGAGAGGGAAAAAGAAATGACAGGAGGGAAGAAAGAAAAGAAGAAAACACACTTTGTGACATTAAATGTGTCCATTTTTGCATGTCTTACATTGTCTCTCTCCTCTAAATACACACATTCCCAGGATCCAGTCATAGCCCATAGAAAGCCCAAGACACAGAGTATGGCAACGCCCAACAGAAGCGCTCTGTATATGCAGGGGCTGGGGACTCTCAGAATAAAGGGACACAAACATGGGCCTGGACCCAAGAGGATCCTCCTGCAGCTACCACATGCTCAATACCAGCCCACCACAGCCATGGGCTGTGCTCAGCCCACACACACTGTGTGAGGACCTTATATCCACCATGTAGCATCAGCCCACAGACCCCGGGAAGACGCCAAGCTCGGGAAAACTAGAATAACTCCACAGCCATGGCCCCTGCTCCACCTGAAGGGCCCAACAAACACAATTATGATCGTAGCCTACAGACCGGCAGACTATGAGCACTTAGGCGGAAGCTAGTTTGACCCAGCCTGATTCTCCGTATCCCACCTAGGCGCACACCCTTCCCTCCACCACCCCCTTCAGCCTTGATGGCCTCAAAAAACCAAATGGGGGTACCCAGTTGTGGGGCTGTCACAAATGAAACACACCCACGAAGCCTTCGGTTCGGAGCCAAGCCTGAAGTTAACTATGAGCTTCCAAAATGCGACTACGAGTTCATCACTTCTAGCATTCTCAAAAACAGTAACATTCCTGGACTCTCTAGGACGAGCAGCCGCAAACTCTATAGTATGCTAGACCTCCAAATAGAAGACTTCCAGTGGAAACGAGGGCGGGCAAACCAGTTCCCGCCCACCATAGACACCCACCAATCACAGGCACCTGCCAGCAGCACATGTGCCAATTACAGGCACGTCCGCTTCAGGTGATTCCCACTTCCGGCCTAGAGACCGCGCAAAGCCGAAAGAGCATCCCCAGACAGAGGAAGAAAATGAACAGAAAAAGGAGAGAAGTAGCGGCCCGGAGGCAGCATGGCGTCCGCTACTTACTGTAGGAGTAGCTGCTCACTTCCGAGGCGAAAGGGGAGTGGGCCGACTTGGGCTGGCCTCTGGCCTTGAACCCCACCTCCATCTTCCTGGCTTTGGCAGCCCTTTTGTGTTTACCTTCTCTAGAAGATTTCAGAGACAGGCCCAGGCCTTTGGCCAGTGCCTTCCTGTTCTTGCCCAGCAGGCTGTCATAAGGAGTCAAGAACCTGCCACAGCCCCCACTAGTTTTCGATTTCCCCCCAGAACTGTCCGAAAACTTGAAGGGCGATTTCAACTTGTCCTGCTTTGTGAGGGAGAGGGCCTTGTCTAGCTTGCTTGCCAACTGCTCCTGGTCGCTGGCCATCTTCTTCTTCTTAATCTTTAGCTAGGGAGGGAAGTTGGGTTACAGGTTAGGACATTTGACAAGAGAGACAGTGGGCTTCAGTACACAGTCTTGACAACCCTGGGCTCCAGTCCTTCCTTATGACTGACTTGCTGAGCTCCTTAGTCCTTGTGCTTTGTAAAAAGAGGACATTTCTGTCTGGACATCACCTGGCTGAAGATGAACCAAGATAACGCACAGAAAACATTTATCAGGATCCCAGCACTCTTTGGGAGGCCAGGATGGAACACCATCAGTAGTCTGACACCAGCCTGGACTATATAGTGAGTTCAAGGCCAACCTGAACTGTATGGTGAGACCCTGTCTCAAAAAAAAAGATTTATCAAAATGCCTGGCCCAAAGTAACCAGTTATTAAACAGCTGTTACTATGGTTACAGTCAGCACTGGCCCTGGCATTTCCACACTGGCCTTTCATAGCACTATCTGCTACCTCCTTGGGAAGCACTTTAAGAAAGCACAGCTGCTGATGGCCCAGAGAAGGTAGCTCTGAGTTGAGAGAGGAAAGAACAAAGCAAGATTGAAAAGCCAGCCAGGCACAGTGTGGCACAGGCCTGTAATCTCAACATCTTGGAGAACAGAGCCGAAGGGCTGCAAGCTGAAGCCAGTCTGGGCAATTTTAGTAAGCCCCTGTCTCTCAAAAAATAAAAAGGGCTGGAAATGTAGCTCAGTTTCAATCCTCAGTAGTGTAAAATAAATAAATAATCTAAACCAGAGCATGCTGCTGTGCTTATCTCAACCACCTACAGTAGCTGAAGGACACTGCTGGCGTCTAAATCAGCCCTTCTAACTCAAAGGGCCAAAACTGCCAAGCAAATGCCTGAAGTGTGTCTTGAATGCCTGAAGCAGAAAGCATAATTAAGAGATTTCAGAGATTAAATTCCTGCTTTCAGGTCTATCTTTAACTGTATTCATTTGTTGACGTGAAATGCAGTTTCAAAGCTATTAATGCCCTGCATTTCAACATGTTATCTCTGTTTTCTTCAATCAAGTAGTATTTCATACAGAGGAAAGAAGCCGGGACACTGTCATTTAAACAAAAATGAAAGCATCCCTCAGCACAATTTGAGATGAAAAAGGATCATGATGTACAAACTGTCAGTCTTTCTGGTCCTGGACCCGTCTCTCTCTGTCCTCCCTTCTGATGACCAAATCAATCAAAACATCTCCATAACATAGGGCCTCATGGGGAGGGACGACAAGGTGCATTAGCATTTAGAGATGAGGCCCTTAAGTGGAAGATTTCAATACTCTGCAGAAATAAGGAAATTTAAGGAGTTGGCTCTCACCCCATTACCCCTGGAGAATTCACAGAGGAAATTACAATGGCACCAGGTCTTTGTTTTTTAAAACTTCAAAACCATGGAGCTGCTTGTTAAACAATTACACTGTTAAACCACATAGTAATTGCATTATTTGGCTAAGAACTTGCAATCTCCCTGCTTGGTTTCAGCAAAGGGTCAAGAAGCACACAAAGGGATTTAGTTCTGGTTCTGCCTCTAAGGCTGCAATGCTTTGCCAAGTCCCTCATCTCCTCTGGCCCTTAGGGAAACTAACCATTCCTTACAGCAACAGGGCCCAACAGACCTGCAAAGGGAACGTGCACTCTCTCAAGCATGACCTCCGGACCCCTGACCCCAGGATCACAGCACAGCTGGAAGCCTGGGCTACTGACCTGACTCATGAAGTCAGACGAGGCCTCCTGTTCATCCCAGCTGTGGTTCCTGCCCCTGGCTTTCCCCATTCCAATGAGCGTGTCGTGTTCCTCCTCAGGCCCTTTGTGTCTCTTCCTTATCCCAGCTCCAAGCTCATAGTCATCTGATGTCAGCAGGGACTTGGTGCTCAGCCTGAAACCCAAACACACACTGGTCAGCACGCTTGCCAGGCCACCCTCCAGGGCTGGGTCCACCTTGTGGCCCTGAAGGCTGGGCTCTGGAAGCTGAAGCACAGTCTTGGATGCTATAGCACCAATCTGGGGAGACAGATCTTGCAAAACCAAAGTGCTAGAATGCTGAGATATTTGTGAATGAGGCAGAGAATATCATGTAGAAGAAACAAAACACCAGGGCTGGGGATACAGTTGAGCGGCACAGTGCCTGTCTGTCAGGCACAAGATCGTGAGTTCGATCCCTGGTACAAAAAAGAAAAACAAGTCAGCATTCTCTGCTGGCTGCTTTCATCTCTTTTCACACACACACACACACACACACACACACACACACACACACACCTTTAAACAGTGATCTTCCTCTCTACCAAACATTCCAAAAACAAGGGTCAGAAGCAAGAATCAGAAATGCCAAGGAAATCCACCAGGATGGGAAGGAAATTAAGATGAGGAGCTTATATGAAGGAACCATTAGCTCGCCTCCCATTTCCTTGTGAGTCCAGGCAGCTGGGACACAGACAAAAGCTTTTTCTTCCTCGCTTTAAGCTGAAGCTTCACAGGTAATAAAAGCAGCTCATCTTGATTTGGTGCTTATACTGTGTCTGATACTGTTAGTGCCTTCTATTTTAGTCACAGAACAATGGTGTTCTGTGCAGTATTTTGGGGGAAGGGGGTTGGTTTATTTATTTTTTTAATAGATAAGAAAACTGAGGTCTGAAAAAGCTAACACCTGCCTGAGGTTGCAGGAGAGGTGGGCCTGGAACTCAGCAGGACCTTCAACACCCCTGGACCTGCACCCCTGACCACTAAGCCTGCACTGCCGGGCCATGGCCACATGCAGTCTTCTTCAGGAGACTGCCCTGCTCTGCTGTAGCTGGCAACTCTGCATCTCTTCCTCTCTCCATCCTCTCTTGGTCAGGAACGTCTGAAGAGGTTAAATGAGTGATTTTGGGGCTGTGTGCACAGCTTTCTTGAGAAGACCCTCAGCTGCCCCGCTGTCTCTCAGGCACCCTTGGGAAGACTAGGGGCTCCTTCCTTCTGCTTCCCTATCCTGGACTGTCACAGCCCAGGCTGCAAGGCCACAGCATACCACAGCTCCCTTCCTCATTCGGCTTGTCACCCAACGCCCAGCAATGCCCAGGGAAAACAAGGCCTGGTCCTTGAGGGGGAGACGCTCTTTCCAGCGAGCATCCAAGACCACCTCCAATGTTGCCATACTAATCTGCTGCCACTGCCATCAAGGACCTCATTCCCAGAGCACACAGAAGCAGTGGCCCTGCTCTCAGGCAGGAAAAGCCAGCAGTTTGGAACAGGAGAACGGGGAAATGTCCAGCATGGGAGGACTCAAGCAACAGCATGTGTCAGGCAGTCACAGCAAGGCTGGCGGCTCTGCAGCAGGGAGGTGCGTGGAGCAGGCAGGAGTTAGACCCTGGCTGTGAAAGAAGCAGACTGGCAGGAAGGCAGGGTCGAGCACAGGGCGACCCCTCTCACTGGATCAGTCTTCCAGCCTGGCTTGCCCTGTATGCCTGGGAAGCACGCCGAGCTCCCTAGAAGCTGCTGTTCTGGGGGTTAAGAGCCCGGGGGACTCAAGGTCCCCGGGCGCAGGAACCTCACTGGGCCACTGCACCTCCCCTCCGAGCTGGGTGCCAGTTCCCGACCCACCAAGGGGCCAGCCTTACTTTCCGCTACTGCTGTGCCTCTTCCCTCTCTTGCAGGGGGGCGACAGGGCGCTCGGGACGTGGGTCCGTTTCCGTGGCCTGCCAGGGCCTCTGCGTGCCAAGCTTCTATGGGGATCCTCGTGCCTGTCCCTTAAAGAGAACCACAGGCTTGGCTGTGAACTTGGGGGCAAGCCAGGCGCGGAGAGGGGCACACGCTGCGCACACGTCACTAGGGTCCACGCACACTTGGCAGCTGCCACAGTCTACCTACCAAGCCCAGCACCAGTGTGGCATGGCCCGGGCGCCTGCCTGCCACTGCCTGACCACCTGGCAGGCCAGCCAACCCATGGGGTGCGGGCCGAGCACTCACCCAGAGTCCCGGCGGCGCTGCAGCTTCACGAGCTCACGCTGCTTCTCCTTGTACTGGCGCTGCACCTCCGCCAGCCGCATCCGGAAGTCCAGCTCCAGGGCGTCCATGTCTTCCAGGGAAGACTTCATAGCAAACATCTGGAGGGGCCGGGGAGAGGGATGGGAAAGCAGTGAGGGTGACAATGCCAGCAACTGCTCGGCTCCTTGTCAGTGAAGGCCAGGCCTTTGGAGTTGCTGTCACTTACTACCTGTGGCTTGGGCCCCATCGCTGTGCTAGAGAACACAGCGGCACAGTGTCAGCACTCGGTTAAGAGCTGTGGGTAAAGCATGGTGCCCTTCCTGTTATGAGGGCTCAGGGAGGAAGTCAAGCCTGGTATTGGGCATGGGCAGAGGTTCAGAGAACAGGCAGCATGGCCCAAGGCCCCACAGGCAGCAAAGGGCAGAGCCACCCTGGCACCCAGGCTGCTTTCTTCTCAGTCCACCCAGCTGCCATATGCTGATGTGCCCAGTGAGTATCAGATAGAGAACCAAAGCAAAATGGGCCTGGTGATACACACCTACCATCCTAGTATGCTGGGAGGCTGAGGCAGGAGGATGGCAAGTTTGAGCCCAGCCTGAGCAACTTAGACCCGGTCTCAAAATAAAAAGGGCTGGGAATGGAGCTTACTATATACTATAGAGGCCCTGGGTTCAACCCCTAGTAGTATGAAAAAAATAAGTAAACCCAAAAGAGAAGTGACCTACTCAGGGGCCCATACCAGGTCAATGGAAGAAGCCAGGTACAGGTGAAGCCCCTCTGGCTCTAAAGCCAGCTTCATTCCAGGAAGAAAGCACCTCTGTGTGGCTGGTATTCCACCTCTAGCCCAGGGCAACAGGGAAAAGGCCAAGGCCACCTACCCGCTCCTCTTTCTTCTGCATCCAGCTGTACTTCTTATTGGGGTTCAGCTCCCGAGGCAGCCGCAAGTTCTTGAGTGGGTCTGTAAAGGGGCCGTCCAGTACTTCCTTCAGCATGTGGCTGCTGGCCGCCAACAGGCTCTCCAGTGAGGGCCGCACGGTCAGGCCGGGCTCCACACCTGCAGGCAGGCGGGAAGAGCGTGAGTGAGCCACACGGGGAGGGGCTGGCACTGTAGCCAGTGACCTGAAGCACGGAGGAAGATGGATGCCCAGAGCTGACACAGGCCCCAGGCTTCGTGGCACCTTGAGACATCTGGACTGGGGCCTTCCGGAGATGCAGGACACAGTGCTAACGTGATCAGACAGGCAAGAGGCAGTATGCAGCTTGGTCTCAGCCTACACCGTGTACAGGAGCACAGAACGCTCAGCACAGTCATCAGAGCCCAACAGATCCTTTCTAGGAATGGGGTACTCTCTTCAGTGAATACACACAGCTCCCATCAGAAAACAAGAAGCTGGCCATGATGGGACACACCTAAAATCCCTGCACTTTGCAAGGCTGAGGCAGGAAGATCACAGGTGCCAGCCCAGACTGGGCAGCTGAGTTTCATAAGTTACTGAAATCCTGTCTCAAAAATTTAAAAAGGGATGGGAATATGGCTCAGTACAAATGCCCTGAGTTCAATCTCAGCACTGGGGAAAAAAAAAAAATAAAAGAGAATAGAGGAAGGGGGAAAGGGGAAAGGTGATACAGGTATGCACTACCACACCAGCTTTGGATTTTCCCTCAATGGAAAAAGAGGCACAGTCAGTGATAGGAAAACCCCAACTAAGGTGATCCCCAGGCCAAAACAAGTTGTTTCCCCCAAAAAGCATCCCCTACTCTCTGAAAGTCATCTCCAACCACAGCAAGCATAAAGGTATAGAGAAAGCAAAGTGTGATTCCTCCCACCACGCAGGCCCCTCCCTGAGGAAGCCATTCACAATGTGGTCCCTGTTCAGGAGTTCCAGAAATGCTTACATGTGGGTAATAATATCCCAACAGACACAGCCATCCTGGAAAACCATAAAATGGAATCAACCAAGACAGTTCACTTTCTCTGCTTCATGTCTTTGTCAGCACACAACAAATAAGTCTGCCTGATTCTCATGCTTAGCTTGATTCTTCTAAAAATCATCTTTTTTTTAAGACAGAGTTTCACTACACAGTTCAGACCAGTATTGAACTCAGTGTGTTGTTCAGGCTGGCCTTGAACTCGAAGCATCTTTCGGTCTGCGATGATGGGCATACACCGCCATGCCCAGCAAAATCACCATTTCTAAAAGTCAGAATCACTACAGCCAGGCTCAGTGGTGCATGCCCACAATCCCAGCACTCTGGAGGCTCAGGCAAGAGGATCGCCACATATTCAAGGCCAGCCTAAACTACATAATGAGACCCTGTCTCAAAAAAACAGAACAAACCAAAATAAAACACTAGAATGTCACAGGTTTTATTTAGAAAAAGTTAACACCAGTGTAGGATTTTCGTGTGCTAATGAGTTTCAATTAGTCTAAAAAATCATCACTCATGTCATTTAAGTTGTTGGAGATTGCACCCAGGGAATTCCCACTGAGCTACATCTCCAGTCCGTTTCATTTTTTGAGACACAGTCTAAGTTGCCCAGGGAAAGGTCCAATTTGAGACCTTGTACCTCAGTCTCCCAGAGTGCTGGGATTACAGGTATGCACCTCCACACCAGGCTTTGGATTTTGTTCCCTCAATGGAAAAAGGGGCACAGCCGGTGATAGGAAACCCCCAACTAAGGTGATCCCCAGGTCAAAACATAGTTGTTTCCCCCAAAAAGCATTCATTGCCCTCCGAAAGTCACCTCCAACCAGAACCCAGCAGCAGGAGAAAGGAGCTGGGTTCCACCGCCACCAAATTTAAACAAGCTCTCCTCTGATCTAAATTTGTCATGAATGTTATGGGTGTGCTTGAGGGAAAATGCCACTCTCTGTTATCACTGGTGTAAGTGCTGGAAGGTGGACCATTCAGCAGGACAGCATGGAGGTCCATGCTTTCTCCGTCAGGCTCTGGCACATCTGGGGCCTGGCCTTGCCGGCATGGCTGTCACTGCAGCAGGCTAGCAGTGCTCCTGGCCTCTCCCACTAGATGTCAGTAGTGCACCCTGAAGTTGTGACAGATGAGATGATACCACCACTGTCCCCTAGGGGGCAGAATCACGCTACAGACCATCTCTGGTTTTGCTCTTGTAAATGATGATCCCAATATAGTGGTGAAAAACTTTTTTTAAATTTTAAAAACTTATAGCAAAAGACATATGGGCACGCACCTCCCTTAAAATCATCCGCCTTGATTCCAACACACTTATCCCATTGTTTTGCCACTTTCTGAAGCAGTTCTGGAAGTCTTTACAGCGTGTGATCAAAAACGCTGTTGAGTGCTCCTGCTGGAGGGCCAGCCGATGGACAGGCAGCATTGGGAAAACATGACACTGTCCTCGCCCACCTTATTCACCAGATCTGGCGTCTTCCAACTTCTGCTCTGCCCCAAAGTCAAAATGACCGTAAAAGGGAAATGTTTTCAATCAACTCAAGATACAAAAATATTTTAATAAATGGTGTTGGAAAACCTGGCTCTCCACATGCCGAAAACTAAAACTAGACCCATGCCTATCACCATGTACTAAATTAAAATCTAAATGGATCAAAGATCTGAATATTAAAACAGAAACACTAAATCTATTGGAAGACAAAGTGGGTAGGAACCTTGAAGACACAGGGGTAGGTAGAGAATTCATAAAGAGGAATCAAACCGCACGGGAAATACTTCCCAGAATCAATAACTGGGATCGCCTCTTATTAAAAAGTTTCTGCATGTCAAAAGAAATCTCCAGCATAGTGAAAAGAAAACCCACAAACTGGGAAACAATCTTAGTGTACTGCCCCTCAAACAAAGGACTACTGTCTAAAACATATAAAGAATTAAAAAAAACTCAGACTCCCAAAATTCAAAGATCCAATCCAAAAATGGGCATCTGAGACGAATACACACTTCTCAGATGAAGAAATACAAATGGCAAATAAATACATGAAAAAATGTTCATCATCATTACTCATTAGAGAAATGAAAATTAAAACCACACTGAGATTCCATCTCACTTCTGAAAGAATGGCCAGGATCAAGAAAACCACCAACAAATGTTGGAGAGGCTGTGGGGAAAAAGGAACTCTCCTGCACTGTTGGTGGGAGTGTAGACTGGTGCAACCATTGTGGAGGTCAGTCTGGAGATTTCTCAAAGAGCTGGAATTGGAAGTCCCATTTGTTCCAGCTATTCCACTTCTAGGCATATTGCCAGAAAAACTGAAAACATCATACCACAGCAATATATGTGCACCCATGTTTATAGCAGCACAGTTTGTAATAGCCAGATCTTGGAAACAACCTAAGTGTCCTAAGTCAAGAGGAATGGATAAAAAAGTTGTGGTATTTTTATACAATGGAGTACTACTCAGCTATAAAGAATGATCACATTGAGATATTTATAAATAAATTGTTGCAGCTTGAGACCAGACTCATAAGTGAAATAAATCAAACTCACATGTATCAATACCGAATAGTTTCCCTAGTGTAAGAAATGCTAAGAATACATAAAAGCGTGCGGTAAACATGATTCCCCATTATATTGCTTTGAAGCCTTATAATGTTTTCATTAATTGGAATGGTTCTATTCTGGGTTGTTTGATTTTATTGTCTGTGATGGCATGAACAGTTATTTTGAAGAAAACAAGACAATATAATAGCTAGTGCTGATACATTATCATCTTATTTTGAAGTCCCATGAAGCTTTTGTTCTTCTGTCTCCATCGGTTTATCATGTTGTATCTTACTGGATTTTATTATATGTGATAATATAAACAAAAATTTTTTTGTCTTTTTTGAACTCATGACTGACTGCTTGCAAGGCAGGCGCTTATGCCGCTGAGCTAAATCCCCAGCCCCTAACAAAATTTTTTATAGACAAGGAGATAATATAGAAAGCATTGTTCATTTTCTGTTAGTTGGTTCTAAATACCCTGTAATACTTACATTCTCTTGAATGGTTTTACACTGTCATGTTGTGTTTGATGCTATAGTATACGAAGTTATACTCAAATATTTCAAGGAAAAAGACACTATGGGAGCTACTGTTATGTCGGGTTATCTTGTGGTGAAACACTATGATGCTTAAATTGTTCTGTTCTGCCCTGTGTTATTATTTTGTTATGTCCTCTTTTATCTTAATCTCCTTCTTTCTTTTAATTTTTTAATAAATAAAAAAAAAGATACAGAAATATTGAGGCACCCACAAGAGTGCAACTGAAGACACTCGGAAAGAGAATTCCAGACCTGCTTCAGAAAGTGGCAAGGAGCCGGGTTTGGTGGCACACTGCAATTCCAGCACTCGGGAGGCTAAGACAGAAGGATCACTGCAAGTTTGACACCAACCTGGGCAACTTACTGAGACCCTGGCTCAACAAAAAGGGCTGGGATGTACTTTAGTGCAAAGGCCCTGGGTTCTAATGCACAGCACCCCAAACCAAGCAAACAAAACACTTCTAGCCTCTACAACTGCGAGGCGCAGTCTTTCTCTTGTCAAAGCCGCTCCGTCCAGGGGAGGCCCTCGAAACACTGATCCAGCCAGATGAGGCCACAGAGCACCAGGCAGAGGGCAGAGGTGGGCAGCAGCCACAAACCACATCCCCACCCCTGTGGCCACTTCCTAAACACAGTCCCTACCTTCCCAGTACTGTCTGGTCCCTCCTCAGGCCTCACTGAAAGAAAACCCACCACCAGTTAGTAGAATCAGCAAGATTTTCAGTTTCTTCTGTTTAAAAAAAAAAAATTCGGATGACTTTTGTATTTGTTTTGGGCGATACTGAGGATTGAACTCAGGACCTTTGTGCAGAGTTACATCCCCAGCCCTTTCTGTGTTTTTTATTTTGAAATGTGACTTTGCTAAATCACTAAGTTGCCCAAACTGAACTCGAACCTTGAGACCCTCCTGCCTCCGCCTCCCAGAGTAGAGATTACAGGCTGTGTGTCACCATGCCGAGCTCCCATGACTATTTTAATGACTGAGAGAGCACAATGGAGGTCAGGACAACCACACAGACCAGGTCTCTGTGGAAGGTGGGGGGGGGGGGGTCCTGTCACATAGTCAATGGGATACCTCCCCAGCTTCCTGGAGGCCATCTGTCATGGTTTATGTCTGTGCCCTCCAGGCCTCATGAGTTTGCATTGTGTACTTGTGATTGGTTCATTGTATAGTACTTGGATTGATGGTGTCAGTGCTTCACCCACAGAGCGGTGGAGCCAGGATGTGATGTAATGGCAGGAAGAAAGTGCGTCTTGCTCTTTACTGGTTCCTGTTTGCTGTTGACGGCCGCCATGAACTGCGGTCCAGCCATGCCTGCCTGCCTTGTAGCCAACTGAGTGTGGACTGAAACCTCCAAAAACTGTAAGAAATAAACCTTTCCCTTCCCCAACTTTGGGCTTCATGTATTTTGTCTCAGCTACGAGTAAAAAGTAACTAAGACACCATCTGACCATAGGGACCAAAAAGCCTTTAAAAAGCAACCTTCTAACACAACAGTTTAACCGCTGGGAACACAAGCCAAGGAGAATCAGAGCAGGGCCATATTTTTCCACAAGTTTACCATCCTGCTATCTGCAACAGGAAAATAAGAAAATAAAGCAAACAATGCCCGACAACCTAGGAATGGGCCACCAAATGCCAGGGCCATGGCCAGGCAGACAACCAAGCAGTCTCTAAAAATAGTTTCTTAAACCAGGCACACACTCTAAGAGGCTGAGGCAGGAGGACACAGCCTGGGAAATCTAGTCTTATAGCAAGACCCTGTTTCAAAATAAAAAATTTAAAAAGGGCTGTAATGCAGCTCAGTACAAAGGCTCTGGATTCAATCCCCAGTACTAGCAAAGTTTTCTAAAAGCCACAGCTTTGCCAGACATGGCGGTGCATGCCTATAAATCCCAGCACCCAGAAGGCTGAGGCAGGATGGCCATGGGGAGGGAGTTTCCAGGTCAGCCTGGGCTACTACAGTAAATTCAAGGCCAGTCTGAACTACACAGCAAGACCCTGTCTCAAAAGTAAATAAATAGGGCCGGGGATGTTACTCAGTGGCACAGTGCCTGCCTGACAAGCACAAGGTCCCGGGTTCCATTTCTGATACCAAACAAATAAACAAATATAAACATCACAACTTTGAAAAATGTTTCATTAAACATCCAGTAAGCAGCCGTGCACAGTGGCACACACTTATAATCCTAGTACTCGGGAGGCTGAGGCAGAAGGATCATTGCCAAGTTCGAGACCAGCCTGGGCTACAAAGTGAGTTCAAGGCCAGCCTGAGCAAAATAAAAGAATCTCGTAACTGAACAAAGCAAGACTGCAGAGCACTGCCTGCATCATTTTGGGGCAAACCTATGTGACCCTGATACAGGAGAAGTGCTGAGAGCATCCACAGAACACAAAGACATGCCCATGCCAACCCCGCCTCAGCACTAATGTCCAGTCCTACGTGGGGCACCGCAGCGCCTCACTTCTCTGTGTGGGAGTACTCCGGCTGGGAGTACTCCCAGGTGATCTGAGAAATGCCAGGGCCCATCCATGCACCCAAGCCTTGGAGATAACAAGCTAACAATGTGAATGTGCTTAACATTACATAATTGAATACTTAAAGGTTGCCAAGATGGTACATTTTGTTGTATTTTATCACAATTTTTAAAAAATTTGTATGAACAAGCTCTATTCTCAGGAAAATCTTTTTTTATTTATTTATTTTTTTTTGTGGTACTGGGGATCAAACTCACAACCTCGTGCTTGCCAGGCAGGCACTTATGCTGCTGAGCTAAATCCCTGGCTCAAAGTTAGAAAATTTTATTCTAAAGGTTTTTTTTAGCTTTTTGAGACAAGGTCTCACTATGTATATGTAGTACAGCCTGGCTTTGAACTACGTAGCCTAGGTTGGTCTCAAACTCACAGCAATCCTCCTGCCTCAGCCTCGCCCCGCAACCTGGAATTACAGATGTGCATCACCATGCCCAGCTTAAAAAAACCTTTTAAAAAAAGAATCATAGAACCAACCATTAAGTGCAACACTCACCTCCTACCTCCTGGCTCCTCCTCTCAAGCTCCAGCTCTGCGATCTCACTCAGCAGGGTGATGCCCTGCAGGAATCCCTGCTCCAGGACCAGACTTGGGGTTGTATCCAGCCTCTCCGTAGCCTGGGCTCCAGAGTCTGGGGAGGGCAGAGGCCTAGCCTGAGGCATCTCTGCCGCAGCTGCCAGGGCATTCATGCCAGCCAGTGGGTCCTCCAGGCCAGGCAGAAACTGGTCTGAGGACCCTTCTTCCAGGCAGCAGGTGCTGGCAGGCACAGGCACAGCCCCCTGGGCCTCCAGGTTGGGGCACGGTCCCTCTCTGGCAGGCAGGTCACAGTCTGGCAGTTCAAGGCTGGGCTGGGGTTCACTCAGAATCGGCTGTGCCAGGCCTTCCTCGGGCCCAGCCTCGGCCACGGGAGTCTCCATGGGCACGTCAAGGGGTACCTCCACTGGCTCCTCCTTAGTCTCCACCAGTGGCTCAGGTGACAACCGCCCTGCCAGCTCCAGGACGGCTGTGTGGGACTCTGTCCGGCCTGGCAACTCCGCCTGTACCTCAGCCCCCTCTGCAAAATCTGAGTCTTCAGAGGGCTCTGGGCAGCCCTTTCCTGTGGTGCCCAGCACCTGAGCCTCATGCAGGCCACCTCCACAGCTGCCCGCAGGGCTTGCTGCCACCATGGCTTCAGGGACAGGCAGGGCCAGCGGTGACTCCAGGGGTGGCAACTCTGCAGGGCCTTCTTCCACATCCTCCACCTCGGCCTTCACCTCCCGGTCAGCCAGTGGCTCTTCTTCCGGGGCCTCCCGCAGTGGCTCAGGGATCTTAGAGGGTGACAGGCAGATGGGTTTGTCTTCAGGAGAGAGGTCCAGGTGCTCGGGGCCATTGGCCGGAAGTGGCACATCAGGGGCCAGGCCGTCAGCATCGGCAGCTGCTGTGGGCTGCAGCAGGAATGGGTAAGGCCTCCCGTAGTGCGGTGGCAGGGTTTGGAACGGGTACCTCGGGGGGATGTCTGCCAAGAACACCAGAGGTCAGTGTGAGAGGCCCCAGGGGCCCAATATCCCATGTCCTCACCTCTCTACCACCCAGCACAGAGAGCCCGGCCACAGTCATGCTCTGCATGACAGGCTGCAAGGCTGGGAGTACTCCCAGGTGATCTGAGAAATGCCAGGGCCCATCCATGCACCCAAGCCTTGGAGATAACAAGCTATCCCTCATCCCTAAGGGTTTTGGGGTAGGGTCACCCATGGCCATCCTGGCACCTTTAGCCCCTGGGTACTCAGCATAAGGCTCAGCCAGAAGCAAATCCTTCATGAGCTCCAAAGACCTGAACCTCCTCCCCCCACCGGGGTGCCTCAGGATCCTGGTGCAGGAGAACACAGCACCCCACCCCAATGACACAGATGCTCAAAACATCAAAGTGCCATAGTTCTGTCCCCCACCCGCAACCCAGGCTGAGAATAGGGTGTACAGTGACTGCTACAGTGCCAGACCCAGCCCAGAGTGGCCAGGTCATGGGTGCTCAGAGAGATCCAAGGAAGGCGAAGAGGAATCCGAGCAGCCCAGGAATCACACTAAATAGAGGGGCAGCCACCTTGCCAAGCTTGCACAACACCGGGACCAAAATCTGAATTAGAACCCACATCCTTCTGAGTGCAAGCACACACTCCTTTAGCAGACTGCAAAGGAGGGCACGAGCTCAGCCCCAAACCACCTGCAGCAGGTCCCGGCAGATGCAGGAGGCCAACACAACTCCCGCCCAGAACGGGTGCCTCGGAGCTACTCAGTGCAAGAAGTTGATGGTGTTGTTCTACTGAACACTCAGGACCCCTCCTCCTGGAGCAAAGACTGATATTTCACGTATGTCCATAGCACAAGCACCACTGACTACGTGTGCATGTGGACACATTCCACAGGAGGCAGGAAGGCTGGCACACACAGGTGTTCAACGAAGACAAAAAAGTCATGAAGCCTGGTTGGGTAGAACACACTTAGAATCTCAAACATATAGGAGGCTGAGGCAGGAAGATGATGAGTTTGAGCCCACCCTGGGCAACTCAGTGACTCAGTGAGAATCTATCTCAAAATAAAAAAAATAAGAGCCAGGGATGTAGCTTAGTGCAAAGGCCTGGGCTCATTCCCTAGTACTGAGAAAAAAAAAAAGGGAAGGAAAGGGGGAAAAAAAAAAAAAAGTCACACTAGATACATGGTTGCAATCCTAGTAGTCCAGAGGCTGAGGCATGAGGAGCACTATGAGTCCAAGGCCAGCCTCGGCTACATAAGCAAGTTCAAGGCCAGCCTTCACTCCACAGTGAGCCCCTACCTCAAAAAAGAAACAATAACACAACAAAAAGAGCCACACATGGTGGCGCAAGCCTATAATCCCAGTGCTCAGAAGGCTGAGGCAGGAGGATTGTTTCGAGTTCGAGACCAGCTTAGGCTACCAAGTGAGCTCAAGGCCAGCCTGAACTGCATAGCGAGACCCTGTAAATAAACAAACAAACAAAAAAAAAAAAAATCAGACAGACGGGGTCCATGTGTCCCCAGGCAGAGCCGGCTCAGGCGGCCCTTGCTCCTACCTGAGAACAAAGCCTGGAAGGGGCTGGGGGCTTCCTTCTCCAGCTCCAAGTCCTTCTTCTCTACCACATTTTCGGGGGCCTCTTCCTTACGGGTGAGGCCGGGGGTGGGTGGCGGGGAGGCAGGGGGTGGGCTGCTGGGGAGGGAGCTGGGCGTGGCAGGGTAGGCGTAGGCAGGCGGCTTGGCCACATCCTCCAGCTTCTGGATGACCTTGGCCTTCAGGGCAGCCACGGGGGAGGCGCGGGGGGACGGCGGTGGGCTAACGGCCTTGCCATAGGTGCCCGCGGGGCCGGTGGCCAGGCCCGGGGGCTTGCGAGGCAGCAGCCCTGGGCCCGCAGCAGCCAGGCCAGCCTTGCCGGCAGCTTCCAAGCTCCGCTTGCTCACTTTTTCCTCCATTTCAGCCCGCTGCTCCTGGGCCTTCAGACGCTCCTGCTGCAGAGGGGACAGTGGGCAGGGTCAGCCTGGCCAGCCCTGGGGTCCCCCAGCCTGGGGGGAGCCTCAGGGCAGGGCCCGAGGTCCAGGCCGGCTGCCCACCCACCCGCCCTGGCCTGAGACAGACATTCCGTCATGGCGCACGCATAATAAGCAGAGGGTTCCATGGAATCTCAATGGACCCCCAACTCCTTCCCCAGGGCAAGTGGGGACCTTCACCTAGACCCCTGCTGGGACCCTTGCGGTGGGGTATGGGGCTCCTGAAGTCGGCAGGCACCTACACAGTGTCCCTGAGGAGCAGCCACTGCACTGTCACCTGTCCCAGGACAGAGGAGCTTGTGCTTAGGGCTGATGACAAATGGGTTTTTGGAAAGCAGGGGGCGGCTAGCCAATGAGCACAGCTTGTGGGGCCAGCAGTTAGCACACAGGTCAACCAACCAAGACCTGATGCTCTGCTGTCACCAAGACACCATTAGCAGCCCAGTAACTGGCAGTGACCAGATTTCCATTCACTCGAAGACTAAGTCACTTGCCCGAGCACCTGCAGGCAGGGCTGCAGAGCCAAGGTTCACACCCAGGGCCTGCTGGGCCACAGAACTGCCTTCTCCATCCAGCAGGGTCACGGCCCAAGGGAGAGGGGACACGGCAAAGCCAAGCACAGCTCTCCCACAATGCCTCAGGGAGACATGAGGACTTAGACCCCAGGGAGGACCCCAAGCGCCCTGTCAGAAAGGAGCTCAGAGCCATCAACAGCCAGCAGCTGGGCCTAGCACTCTCAGGACCCTCGTGAAGCTACTCCTCTCTGCTGGAGGGTCATCTCTTCCCTCTCTGCAGGAAGCCCTCCCAGAGAACCCTACCTCCGGGTCACATCCCCCTGCCCCCCACCGCACCCACTCCTCCCGGCCAACTCACCACTATCTGGGCACTGCGCTGCAGCTCCAGGGCCTGGGCGGCCTGCTGCTGCAGGTAAAGGAGCTCCTGCTGCCGCAGGAAGTGCTGCTGTGAGAAGAGCTGCAGGTGCTGCGCGTGGTGCAGAGGACTGCGGCCCGGTGGGTACAGCGCTGGCCAGAGGGGCGGCACTGCAGCCCGCTCCATCAGCTCAGCTGCTGGGACACAGCAGGGTGTCACCCTCGGCCCATCCCCTCCCAGACCCCAGCCTCAACTGATCCGAGGACCCCCAAGGGCTGGCACCAAAGCCCCTAGGGCTGCCTGGCCAAGCTCTCCTTTTGAGGTCCGCTCACAGAAACAAGGACCCCAAAGCCTGGTCCTGTGAGTGCCACCGAGGTTGGGATGTTTTCTCCTGAGCCCATTTGTCCCACCCCATTCTGCAGGGCCAGGTACTGCGTCACTTACCAAAATGAGGCAGGTGATCGCTGGGGATGACCACCAGCTGGCCCGACTGGGGGTCCCTGACAAACTGGTAGGCCGAAGGCAGGGAGGCCCCCAGGCCAGGTGGGAAGGCGGGTGCCATGCCCTGGTGCAGCGAGGGGGGCCCCAAACCTAGGAGGAGGAACCAAAGTGCACATCAACACCAGGAGGCCCCTGAGCATCTGTCTACAGGCAGCCCCAGCTCGCCCAACACCAGAATCCAGTGCAGCCCCCACCTGGCCAGCTCCCCAGTCCCAGAGCCTCTGGGAAGGAGCCATGGGCACGGGGCCGATGGCCACTGCAAAGCAGCCCCACCTGGTACTTCCCTGGTGGGCAGAAGAGAAAGCCAGGCCCCACAAAGGGAGGGCAGGCGCCAGCTCTGAGCTCCCTGCCCTATTCCCAGGCCCCTGCCATCCCCCCAAACAGAAAGGGGACCCTCAAGACCCTGCTCACCGTACGGGTGGCCAGCGAGCCACATGGACGTGCTGCCCGAGCGGGGCAGCCAGGGGTGTGTGGCCAGATGGGCCGCAGGGTCAGCAGACCAGCGCCCTGAGCCCGCCAGCGCTGGGCCCCCAGTCACCATGAGGTTGGGGTTCAGGCCATTAGGAGCACAACTGGTAGGGTGCAAGCGGGCCAGGTCGGCTAGCTCCTTACTTTCTCTGGAAGAAGAACAGAGGCTTTGAGGACAGCCCAGGTCACCCAGGGGCAAGAGGGAGACAGGATACATCGGGGCCACAGTGTCCAGAGTCAAGGGGCCAAGCCCAGCTGGGGACCCCTTACCCCTGGGGCCCCAGACCTCCAAGCCCTCACCGGAGCAGCTTCTCCTGGTCCCGGTCCAGCCGTCCCCCAAGCAGCCGCTCCTCCCGGTGCCTGGCCCGGTCTTCTGCACAGTCCTCGTCAGCCCGGCTGTGCCCTGGGGGCCCAGGCAGCAGTGAGCCCCCATCACCCTGAGCAGTCACATCTGCCCTGCCCATGGCCTCGCCACCCCTCCCCCATGCCCCTTCCTGCAACCCTCAGGACCCCAACCCCCAGGGCTGCCCATGCCCATCCCGCAGCTCCTTATCCCCACAGTGCCATTCGTTATGACTCAGCTCCCTCCAAGCCCTGCTCAGGGTCCTCCACGCCAAGAAACTTTCCTGCACCCCCAAAGTCTGTCAGTCACATTCACAGTCAACTGTGCCAGAACAAACAGCCTAGAGGAAGACACTATAATAAAACATCAGAGTCTGATCGCATGGACAGTTCATGGCAGCACATAGACAGTTCGCCTCAACCAAGGGTCAGCACCCTAGACACAACCATCAAGCACCCCCTCCATGCTCTGTATCCCCAAACTTATCAAAGGCCAAATCTAGGAGAGGCTCAGGGTACCAGGCACCAAGAAAGGGGGGACCCACCAGCCCTAAAGCAGAGCAGAGGAGCCGGAGGGAGGGCACAGCCATGTGACACGCCCATGGCCAAGGGACCAAAGATGCAGGACAGCTAGGAGCCTGCACAGGGGCAGCCCATTGCTGGGGTGGCTGGAGATGGCCAGTGGGGCCACCTGACAGGTGCCTCAGAGGCCCCCCAGCCGTCTGGCAGTGGAGCCAGCACAACCAGGATTGAACCCAAGGCCCGCACACTGAGCTACACCCAGCTCTTTTTGTCGGGCTCTGACACAGGTCACTATAAGTCACTGAGTTGCCCAGGCTGGCCTCAAACTGGCCTTCCTCCTGTCTTGGCCTCCCTGAGTCCCTGGATCTGCCATTTACATCTGACTAGTGAGCAAATATCTGGGGAGACAGGAAGGGTAGGACTGGCAGGGAGCCACTGTGTCCCCTCGGGGGCCCAGGAGTTCCCACAGCAAGGTGTGCCCCTGGCTTCTTGCTAAGCTGTTTTCACACAGGCTGCAGTGAGCAGAGGCTCCACATGGCTGGCACAAGGTCACACAACCAGGCGGCAGAGGAGTGTGGAACTGATAGCTGCAGGGGTCACACTACTCAGCCCAGCTCCCAACAGCCCCTGGTGGGGACAGAGAAGAGTGGCAGGACAGGATCGGGCCTGCCTGTGGACTCCACGGGGGAACCCAAGGCCCAGAGGGCCACCCCAGGGCCCATGGCTGCCCTGAAGAGGGAGAGGAAGGTCTCAGGTTCCCTTCTGCAGGGAAGGCAGCCACCCAGGCCCAGGTTCCCAAGGGTTCAGCCACCCTCGTGCCCACTGGGACAGGCTATGGGCTCTGTGTCCCTGGCACCCCCAAAAGGGGCCAGTCCTTGGGGTGTACAGCCCATAATTTCAGAGCTCTCCATCCCCAGCACTGCGTGCTACCAGTAACTTGTCTGTAGGCCTATCCCATCTTGAGGCACCACTGTTTCTAGGGGCCCCAGGGGCTCCCCAGGCCGTTTTGCAGGCCCTATACCTGGCTGTGCTCCAGCTCACCCTGCACTGTCCTGCAGCCTCTGAGGTGGGCTCTGCCGTCACCCCATGGAACCAAGGCCCTGCTCTTCTGCTTGAAGTCCCCAGTGTCTCTGCATTTCAGCCCCAGGGCCACACACATACTGCTCTCTCCACCTAGACCTTGGCTTCAAGTGCCCCATCCTCCAGCAGGCCCTCCCTGACCACCTCCCTCCCAGCCCTGGCCACAGGGTACAGATTTTCTACTTTTTGCTGGTTTACCATCTCCTCTGCCAGACTGTACATGGCTGTCAGTTCTAACAGTTCTGTTTCTGGCTGTCCACCTCTCCCCTATTCTATCCTTGACAGAGAAAACAATAAACAGGTGGTCAGGGATGGGCTTATGTAGATGTCTCAGGAAGAATAAGCTATGCAGCAGGAAAAGCAAGTGCAAAGGCCCTGAGGCAGTAATGTGCCAAGCAACAGCACAAGGCCAGGGGAGCCAGAAAAGAAATAGGAGATCTCCTGGAGCAGGAGTCTCAGCCAGGAACAGGAACAAGGTTTAGGCTCTGTTCAGGTGAGGGGGTTAGCTCAGGCAGGTCTGAGCAGGACAATGTGAACAAGACGTTCTCACTGAGGCTTTGAAAGCTATCCTGTCCTCCTGGACAACAAACAAGGGCACTCGCCTCTAAGCCAAGTGGAGGGTAGGGTCGAATGCACACCTAGCCCTGTCTCAGGGAGCTGCCCGCCTGGCAATGGGCACAGCTGCTCCAGGGAATGCGTGTGCAGGGCACAGGGCTGGCCCAGGCCAGACACCCAGGGACAGACAGGGCACCACCCAACCCAAGGCTGAGCCAAGCGGAGTCACACCTGCCACTGCCTCTGTCCCACAGGCTCTTGCAGTACCGCCAACCCTGGAGGCTGATCCCACACTCACCTCCCTCTTCCCCAAAGAGGAAACTGAGGCACAGGAAGACAGAAAAAACTGCTGGGGTCCCATGACCAATACAGAGATGGGCCGGCAGGGGGTCTGGGTAGGTCTTCCTGGCCGTGCAGGGGAATGGGTGGGTTCTGTGAAAGCACCATTGCATCATCAGTTTCCATCAGGGTAAGGTGCTGTGTCCCTTCCTAAGTCACAAGTTTTCACTTTTCAGCTATGACAGGCCCAGGGCCTGGATGCAGCTCGGTTCCCATGGCAACCCCCACCTGGATACCATCTGTGCACGTGACCCACTCATCACCATGAGCACAGCTTACACTGCCACAACCCAGTCCCTGTGACATGTGGCACGGAGGTGACAGGCAGGGGAGGAGGTGGGAGAGACAGGCCTTGGCTGGGGACCCCAGTTCAGCCCCTCCTTGTCCTGGTGGGCTTCAGGCTCCCCATCTGCAAATGGGGGGAGCAACAGTGCATCCTCTGAGCCATGCCACGGGGCACAGATCCTAGAGCTGCCAGCACACGGCAGCAGCTGTCTAGGTGGCAGTGGCGGCTCCTATTTGCTGGGTGTCTTGGGCATGGGGCACTGGCTACCTGGGACTCTCCGAGTAAGCTGAGGTACACAGGCAGATGAACTAAGGTCCCAGGGCCTGACTGCGAGCAGAAGAAAGGCCTGCCACTCATGAAGTGCCTCCTCTGTGCCCATCAGCCTGCCCGGGATTGAGCAGACTCTTGTTGAAGGTCACACAGCTACAAAGAATCATGCCAGGATCCAAATCCGTATCAGACTATAGCAGCAACAGAAAGCTCCTTCCAAAAAATAAAACAATGTGTGCTGGGTGTGGTGGCACAAGCCTATAGTCCCAGCACCCTGGGAGGCTGAGGCAGGAACAACACAAGCTTGAATCCAATGTGTGCAACCTGGCCAACTCAGCAAGACTTTCAAAATACAAAGTAAAAATGGCTAGGGATGGAGCTCAGTGCAGGGACCTTGGGTTCCCTCCTCAGTACCACAAAATAAGATAGTGAGACCCGCCCCCCCAAGACCCAGGAGACTCACTGGGGCTGGCAATCAGCCAGTGATGGCTTTACTCGTGTGCACAGGCACCAGGGGGTGCCCAGCCTCTCTCAAGGCCACTCAGCACAGGGCCTAAGCCACCACTTCGTAGAGCACTTGGTTTAGGGAGAGGAAGACTCCAGCCACCACCTGTTAATCGTCAGCAGCAAAAGACAGGCAGACAGCTTTTGCCAGATCCCGGCATCTCACGCAAGCCTCAGCCACGTCGACTGTTTTTAGGTGTGTGCCCACAATCTCTCTCTCTCTCTCTCTCTCTCTCTCTCTCTCTCTCTCTCTCTCTCACACACACACACACACACACACACACACACACACACACGCCACACTATGGGCACAGGCCCCATGGGCTCCAGAACAGGCTCTAAGGACCATGACCCTGAAACAGCTGCCGCACAGCATCAAAAGACACAAGAGATCGAGACCTCTCCAGGGCAATAGACCTGAACCACTGAGGGGTGGATGCACTGTGTGTCCACCACCAAGTGGTCACCTCCAAAAAAGAGCTGTTGTTTACCCTCCTCTTGTATCCCAGAACAAGGTAAGTGCTCCTGCAAACCCCCTGAGTCACAGGGTGGGGCTTCCCAGCTCAAGGGGTCTCTGCAGAAAATGGACTCAGTCAGTCAGTCAACAAATATCCACGAAGCATCATTCAACTATCTGTCCTCTAAGAGGAAAAGGCAGAGCAGATAGGGCCCCAGCTCCCAACTCAAAAATGCCTCAGGGAGGTAACTCTTAACCCTGAGCAAGAAGAGGGCACTGTGAGGGGCAGTACAGCACAGGACACAGAGAGATACACAAGGACTGGTTAGACAATCAGCTTGGTATAAAAAACACCTTATTGAGCAATCCAGCTGGAGAGACCGAGGTCCTGGACCCTACCCCACACACTAAGACCAACTCCAGTAGCTGCCACACACAGGGAGAGGTGCATTGAGCTGCTCAGAACTGGCTTGGGCCAAGCCAAGGTGGGGAGGGGGCCAGGAGATGGGCACATGAGGCACCTGAGCAGCCGAGGAAGGGGGCTTTTGGGGCACCACAGACAGGGATCCAGACTGGCCCAACAATGGGCGTGGAGCTGAGTCGGGAGCTTGTGGCTGAGGACAAAGGCTGACGTTCCTTCCCAGCCTGTGACCGTACATCACGGCACACCTACCCAGCCTCGGTCCCCAGCCAGCAGACAGGGCACTCAGCTCACCAGCGGGCGGGATTCTGGGCCCCAAGTTCCACAGCTACACCACAAATACCGAGTCTCAGCACCCCAAGAGAACGTAAAGAAAGCCGGCCAACAAACCACGTTCTGAAAAAGCATCCAACTCACTAGAAACTAAGCGACGGGCACCATTTTATCATTTTTTCCCGACTGAAATTAGCAACTGTTAAAGTACGGTGCCAAGACAGGTAAAGCAACACAGATGGGGCTGGGGGTACAGTTAACACTAGAATGCTTCCCTGCTGTGAAAGAGGCCCAAGTCTGATCCCAGGACCTCCAAAATAATAAAATAACCCAGATATGATGGTGCCTGCTTGCAGTCCCAGAACCCTGGGAGGCTGAGACAGGAGGGTCACAAGTTCAAGTCCCACCGGACAACTTAGCGAGCCTCTGTCTCGAAATAAAAAAACAAAAGGGGCTGGGGATGTAGCTCGGTGACAGAGGCACACTATTCGTAGTACCATCGAAAGTAAAATAAAAGTAAAGCAGAGACTAATATACTGCTACCAAGCACTTAAAAACAGAGTCACAGGGCCAGGGATTTAGCTCAGTGGCATAAGCACCTGTCTGGCAAGCACAGTCATGAGTTCGATCCCCAGTACCAAGGGGAAAAAAAAAAGAGTCACTGAAGTACTGAATGTCAAAAGAATATGGGGACCCTCATTTCTGCCCTCACACACTGGCTCATTCACCACTTATCAAACACCTACTCTGGGCCAGTTCTCACACTGGGTAGAGACCCTGAAGCAGAATAAGTCTGTTTACACTTTCCTAAGACTTAGCACTGAAGGCTTAATATGAGCCAATTTCTATGAACCTCTATTCTTAGAAAAATGACTCAAAATATCATGAAAGCACAATGCACAAAAACATTTCGTGCAACAAGCTCAACACAAAACATCAGAGCAGCAAAAAAACTAAAATGCTCACCAGAGAACAACAACCTGAACCACAGTACCTGCTGGTGCGTGTTCTCCGCAACATATTAAAGGCCATAAAAAAAAATGATACTTATAAAGAGCCTGTGATAGCAGGGAAAGAGCTACACCGTAATACAGGAGCCACGCACAGGACCCAAATCGTGTGTGCACCAGCAGCTCTGCAGGTAAACGCAAATTGCACAGAAAATGAATTCAGGGAGAGACATAAAAGCGTTCAGGGTGCTGAGAAAACATAATGGTTCTCTTTCTTCAGGCTCCTTTTCTGTACTTTCCACACCTTTGTATGCACATAATGGGAAAATGCAATAAAACGTTCAATAGCAGCCTCGCAGCACAAGTGGCCCAAAGGATGCACGGCAGGGAATGGGGGTGCAGGAGCCAAGCAGAAGGAGAAACCAGAAGTGCAGGGCTGGGGCCCAGGACCTACCTTTGACATTGCTTAGGGACAGGGAACGCTCCTGGTCTGCAAGCCCAGGTCCCAGCCGGCCACTGCCACCACTGTCCTTCTGCCTAGCCACTGCCACAGCAATGCCCACGGGCGGGTGCCGCACCTCAGCCTCCCCTTGGGCACCAGAGCCTTCACGCCCAAAGGTCTTGGCACTCTCCGGTCTCTCCGGGTCCCGCTTTAGCTGCCGGCCTCCACTGGCTACAGGACCCCCAGGGTGTGGGAGTCGGGCCTGGCCACGTGGGGTGCCTGCAGAGGTGGGCGCAGGCTCAGGTTTCATGGTACCCAGACCCCCGAAGGGGCTCTTCTTGCCACATCCGCCAGGACGTACAGCCACTGCCTCTCGAGCAAAGCTGCCACTGTACTTGATGAGACTCTGCATGGCGGAGGCCTCTCCAGGTCCGTGGGCCGCCGGTGCCCCAGGATGCAGGTCAGCGCCCGGCCGGGCACGGGGCAGCGTGCCGCCGGGGTCCAGGTATGCCTTCTTGGAGGCATCCTCTTCAGCGGCCCGGCTGGCGTGGTGGTGCTGTGCGGCAAGCACGGCCATCTGCGTCGTGGCAAAGTTGCCCAGCTCAAAGGGCTTCCACTTGGGCTCCGGACCTGGGGGTGCAGGGGCGCGCGCAGGCTCCAGGCCAAAGAGCTTGGCAGACTGCAGGGCCCCCCGGGGTGCGCGCTCACATGGCCGTGGCTCAGCCTCCGGCTTGGGCAGCTCCTTGGGCGGCAAGTAGACGCGCGGATCCGGGGAAGCGCGAGCGGTTCGGGTCGGGGGCGCATCGGCAGGAGGCGGCGGGCGCTTGAGAGTGCGGATGACGGAGTTCTTTTCGCGCAGGATCTCAGGGCGCTCAGGCCGCGGGGATCCTGGTGGCGCCTGCAGCACCCCGGGCCGCCCTGCCTCCCGCTCTCGCTCGCGCGTCCGGGTGTCACGCGCCTGAGATGCGATCTGGATGGGTCCTGCGCGCTCGTCGAAGGCCTCCACGGAAGGCACAAAGGTGGGCGCCACCACGCGATGCTCTCGTCCCGGCTCGCGGAACACGGTGTAGACGCCTGCGGGCGCAGAGGAGGGAGGTCCGGGGGCCCCCTTTGGGGGCAGCGGAGGCGGCGGCGGCGGCAGCGGTGAGGGGCAGGGTCTTGGCACAGGCAGCAGTGCTTCTGCGCGGCGCAGCAGCCGCACACTTTCGTCCTGCCGGGCCGCCTCCTTGGCCCCCAGGCCCGCGTCCGCCGTGCCGTTGCACATGCCCAGCGCAGACGCCTGCAGCGCGCCCTTGCCCTTGGCCTCCGCCAGAAAGGGTGACAGGCGCTCGGCCAGGCGCGCTGGCGCTCGGTCCGGACGGCCCTCGGTCCGAGCCTCTTGGGTCAGGTCCACCACACCGCGCGGTCCGGCAGCCTCCTCACGTGCCCGGGGGTCCTTCTTGCCGAATAGTGTGGGCTCCCCGCTGCGGCCCACGCGCTCCTTGGATGTTCCTTCCCGCGACGACGCAGAGCCTTTGGCCTGTGCGCCAGAGGAGTGGCCGCTGGTGGTTCTGGAGGAGGGTGCGTGGGAGTGCAGGGCACTCTGGGCCCCTGGTGTGGGCAGGTAGAAGCCGTCTATGGAGAGAAGCACAGTTAGAGCAGCCCAAAGCCCACCTGGGGACAGGGCCTCCCTCCTCCACCCCTCAGAGAGGATGTCCTGTGTCCCCAGGTCATCCCCTGGGGATGACCCAGGGGCTTTGGGTATGGCTACAACCGAGGTGAAATCTCACCTTGGCCTTCTAACTTTCCTATGCCTCAGTTTTCTCATCTGTAAAAGGAGAGGCCAGGATTGTTTCAAAGCTGCCCAGAGGGCCTAAGATGGAGCTAGAAGGCTATGGACACCTCAGTGAGCCTGTAGGGGTGGGGTTCTTAGGGGTAAGGACTCAAAAAGACATCTAGAAGCCAACCCTAATACACACAAGCTATTAACCTCAGCACTCTGGGAGGCTGAGTCAGGAGGATCATAAATCCAAATCCAACCTACGCAACTTACAGCAATTTAGACCCTGTCTCAAAAAATAGTAATAATAACAATAAAAAGACTGAATATGTAGCTCAGTGTGAAAGCCCCACAGTCAATCTCCAGTACCACATACACAAATAAATAAAAGCTTTTAAAAAGGCCTCTGACACAAGCCTGTAATCCCAGCACTTAGGAGGCTGAGGCAGGAAGAATTCAAATGCAAGGTCAGTTTGGGATACATAGCAATCGGTCTCAAAAGGGGGAGAACAAAAAGTCATCTTGGGTGGGCCTGTATCACAGGGGCAGAGGCCTGACTATCACAGCATTAACATAAACAGCTGGGACACTGATAAGGGCCCCAGACAAGCCCCCCATGTACCATCCCCTCCCCAGTCCCGCAGCCCCACCCACTCTCATCCACTGACCTTTCTGGGTATCAAAGATGCTGGGCTGACCCAGCTGGCTGAGGAGGGGGCTCCCACTGCTGGAGGGCTCCAGGTGGTTCAGGTGGAGGTAGGAAGGGTACAGCCCACTGGGCAGGTGGGAGAAGCCTGGGGGGGAGAGAACAGGGCTGCAGCCCACAGAGCCTCCGGAGCTGCCCATGTGCCCTTTCTTGGAAACAACCACACCAGCTGTGACCCTGCAGTACAGGAAGCCTCAGGCTTTAACCCCAGCATCCAGAGAGACACATGCCCCCAACCCTGCCGCTTAACACCACCTCCCCAGCCCAGGTAGCCCTCAGGGCTTGGGGTGAGGATCAGATAGGATCCATCCGGGAGGGTTCACTGACAGATCCCAAATATTCTGCTTTACCATTGTTACTCTCATTTAAAGCTTAAAACCAACCTGGGAGGCCCAAACTCCTCCTCCTCTCATTCTACAGAAAAGAAAACTCGGGCTCCCAGAGGACCACTTACCCATGACACACATCAAGTGCCTGGCTTTGAGCCCAAGTCAGCAGAACCCTACAGTCTGGATTCCTGACCCCAGGTCCAATGTGTACCCTGGCTGAGGAACGTTTTTTGTTTCTCAAGGTTTTAGTTTGTTTGTTTGGTTTTGTTTGTTTGGTACTGAAAACGGAACTCAGGGCCTTTGCACTGAGCTACAGTCCTAGCCTTTTTTTTTTTTTTTTTTTTTTTGGAGACAGGTTCTCGCTAAATTGCCCAGGCTGAATTCGAACTTGGAATCCTCCAGCTTCAGCCTCCTAAAGTACTGTGCAGATGACTGATTTTAACAGGCCCTTTTATGTTATGTGTCCCTGCACTGCTCAGTCTCTGTTACGGTTTATATTTAGATGTCCCCCAAAGCCTCCTGTGCTTTGGTCTCTGGAGACCAATGGATCATGGAGGTGTAAGTTTATGGCTAAACTTGATGTTGCAAGGTGAAGCCTGATTGGAGGAGCTGGGCTGCTAGGGCCGTGGCCTAGAAGCCCCTGTCTCCTCCCTCCTCCCTTCATCCCTCTGCTTCCTGCCTGCCCTCTGCCATGCTGCCCTGCCCTGGAGCCAGCAGACTACGGACTGAAACCTCTACAAACTGTGAGCCAAAATAAACCTCTCTTTTTAATTTTCAGGTGTCAGGTATTGTGTCCCAGTTAGAGACAGTAACTAACACAGTCACCTTTTCTGAACCTTAGTGGACCCACCATCTCTGGCTGCCAGGATCTCACAAGTAGGAGCTAGGATTCCTCCAGCCTCCTGAAAGGCCCCACCAGGACACCAGAATCGGGGCCTCACAGGACCAACAGGAAAGGCAGCCATGGACAGAGAGGCAAGATACCTAGGAGGCACATGGGGAATGAAGGCCAGGAGGCCAGCTGTGCAGATGCCATGGTGCCAGCAAGGGTCCTGATGCTGGTCCTGGGATCCTAATGACAATCCCCAAGGGACTCAGGTACCCTATGTCCCACATCACTGCTCTGAGGTCAGGGATGCAGGACCTGTCCCTGGCTGTTCTCTGGCATCACCTGCTAATGACATTAATAAGTACCACAAAATGAAAAGGACCACTATACACAGATGATCTCATCTAATCCCTGAAATAACTCCAAAGGAGGCATCAGGGCCCTCTGCTGTCAACTGTAAAATGGGCACAAGAGCCCCTATGCTGGCTCTGAGCAGGACATTAAGTTTGGGTGCTCAGGTGCTGGGAGGAACAGTGTCTTGGGGGTTTGCCGGAGGGAGGAAGGGGGCTCCAACGTTTTCTCAGGGTCGGGGGAAGCCAAGCCCCACAGCAGGTGTCTCCGTAGAGCCACAAGCAAAGAAGCCAGGGCCCCAGGTCCCATAGCTCCCACTGTTATTAACCAGCCACCTGTGCACCAAGGGAGTGGAAATCATCAGTTTGGGAATAATCACACAGGTAAATCTGCTGTTGCTAAGGGAATGACAGAAGAGGATGCCTGAGCTCAGCCTTGAAGGAGAGCAGGAGCCACCCAGGAGGCTGGGGTCGGGGGCTGCAAGCAGCACAAACAGTTTATGCAAAAGTCCTGTGGCAGCAACAAGAAGCAGCACTGACCATTTGAGACCATAGAGGCTGCTGGTGGCCAGGGCCAGGCCATGACTGTGGAGGCAGAGGAGAGGGGCAAACTTGAGAAGTGCTAGGGACATAAAATTGCCAGAGTGTGGGGCAATGGCCCAGCAGCCCCCAGCCCTACCCACCTGGCATGCTCCTTACCTTCATGGGCATGGGCAGCCCACAGCTGCACCATGGGCAGGTTGCTGGGGGTAGGGGAGCGGAAGGAGAGATCAGAGGGCAGGGGCACCGGGCTTCCCTGGGATGAGGCCGAGGGCCCCATCCCACTGGCCACAAAGCTGCCCAAGAAGGCCTCGCCTGCAGAGAGAAGGGGGCTGTCAGGCCACCGGAGCCCAAGTCCCCCAACACTCCCCCACTGGCAAGAAGACCAAAGAGACCACCCCACTTCTCCAGGGCAAAAGAAGGCTGCGTGACCCAGGAAGCCAGGTAGGAGGCCACCCTGCAGACCTCATCCCAGGCTCCAGCACACTTGTACAGCAACCTGGATCCAGGGAGCACCCTTCTTCCTTCACCCCATCTACAGACAGGAACCAAAGGCCACAGAGCAAGGGGGTGGAAGGGAGCTCATATTGTGAGGCGCACAGAACTCCTGACCAAGGAGGATCCCACAGCAGCCCAACCCATGAGCTTCCAGGAGCCCGGTTGGCTGCCTGTGCCCATTTCACAGATGAGAAAGCTGGCACCCTGAGTTTCAGTGGGTAAGAGAGTCCATCACCAATTAGACGAGGCAGGGAGCTGAGACCACTGTGGGGAGTCCTGTTCCCTTCAGAGAACAGGACTCTGGCACAGAGACTGTGGTGGCGGATGGCAGCGTAGAAGGAAACTGGGCTCACACTTCCTACAGCACAGCTGGCAGGACGCCTCCTGCTGTCACCCAGGGTTTCTGCCTCGACAGTGCCCAACACCTCCATGCCAACAGTATGGTCTGCATCGCTAGGCCTGGGCAGGGGCATCCCCCTGCGGGCCTTGGTTGCTCATCAGAAGAACGGAGGGGAGGGGGAATACGTGCATCCCTCTGATAGGAGGAACATGCATGCAACATCGGTCATTATGAAATAATAAGAAACGATCCTGACAGCAGTGGCAGCAGCAGGCGTGTACCTCATCCCAAGCACTTTGCAGCTGAGTCCAGATCCCCCCAGTCCCACCTCTGGGGAGGCGAGGCTGGGCCCCCTGAACCCATGGCAGACACTGAGGTCACCAAGCACCCACCAGTCAGCACCCCAAAAGCTCTCCTATACCCTCTCCAAGTCTCCGAGGTGAGCACTGTTTGCTGGTGGCACAGACAGTGACTTTGCAAGGGGCACCCAGATGGGTACAGGGGCCCTCATCCAGCCCGCAGGTCCCCAGCAACTGCACTGTATAGGACCATCACCATACCACCCACCAATTCCCAGGGACATAGGGTCCAAAAAGTCCAGTGCACCACTACAGGGTGCACAAGGGGAAACTGAGTTAACAAAGGGCAAGGCCTCCATCTCAATGTCCCAGAGTTATGCCCTGGGGCCACAGGCCCCATCACCCCAGCTTGTGCCCGGCCGTAACCCAAGCCCAGCCCCTCACCCAGATCCAGTGCCAAGGCCTTGGGCCCCAGGGCCACGGGGGCTGCTCAATGCGTCCATGCGACTGTGCCAGCCAACACGGCCTCTGGGCCCCACTGAGCCTTCGGCTTCCTCCTCAGCGTGGCAGGCAGCAGGCTCCGGAAGCCGCGGCCAGGGGTTTGCGCAAGGGCTGACATCAGCCGCCAGCTCTTCCTGCCCCAGCTGCACGGAAGCCGTGGCCCCACTTGGCCCTGCCTGGGCTTGTGAAAGCGCTCAGCAGCACCCCGGGCCCAGCAGGACGTTGGGGCCCGGATGCCACCAACGGCTCCGCCACAAGTGCCCAACGGCACTCAAGCTCTCTTGTCCCAAGCTTGTCCTAAGCTAGGCAGGAGCAGCTGGGGACTGGGGTGAATCCCTGCCACTTGCTCTCTTGGGGCACCCACTTGCAGCTCTGAAATGGGGTGCATGGTCCCTCAACTGCAGCCACGGGGCCAGGGACAGTCTGTACGGACTCACTGTTCCCATCCCTCCCCAGATCAGGTAGATTCAAAGCCTGTCACCACCCACTCACATCCCTGGCCCTGCCTTGATCCCTCTCCATGAACTCTTTGGAGGACCTGCGCCCCATCCCTGAGCGCTTCACTCATCCCCACATGGTGACCTTCCCTGGGCCTCAGAGAAGGACCTACACACACACACACACACACACACACACACACACACACACGATCCCCACAGGGTCCACCTGTGACAGCCTGGAAACAGACCTCTCGGCCTGAGCAACCTCTCTACACCGCACCCCAGAAGACTCCCTTCCTGACAGGGGGACTCTCTGCCTCGCCCTGGGCCCACAGCCTGGTCCCAGGAGCTACTCTACTTCTAGACTGTGAGAGAATCAGTTCCCATTCTCACAGGGCCAGAGCACAAACACACAAGCTGTTCCAGGACAGAAGGGCAGGGCAACCCCGACCCACAAGAGGGGCTTGAAAAAACCCAAAGAACCAGGTGCAGTACACACACCTGTAATCCGGCACTCCAGGAAGCTGAGGTAGGAAAATTCTCAACTTAAGCCCTGAGTGTAAAAGCCCTGAGTTCAATCCTTAGTATAGGAAAAAAGAAAAGATATATATATATCAGGGAATGCAAGAAGCCACATGTCACCCAGGCTGCAGAGTTCAATTTTCCTAGGGCAAGACTAAGGCAGCACGGGTCCCACCACATGTGGCCCACATCTCCAGACTGCAACTGAGGCCCACACTGACCCACGCTCTTCTCCCCTATCCAATAGCTGCTCACACCCACCCCAGAGATCAAGAAGTAACCACCAAGGTCACTGAGAAAGTGAGGGCCATAGGATTTCAGGGACAGTGACAATCAGACCCAGTGTCCACTGCTCTCTCCCTTTGAGAAAGCCCAAACTGGGAGGGGGGGTGTCCCTTTCCCTCTGGCTTTGGGCTGAGCTCAGACCCAGCCTCCCCACATTGGTCCTGGGCTGCCCCCTGGTGCCTGCAGGCTTTCTCTATGTCACTCGTGAACCCAATAATTCTAATTATCTCATCTGACACCTTAGCAGCAAAGACCAACGACCCAGTGTCAAAATCTCCAGCACAGACAAGTAGCAATAAATTACCATCCCCAACGATGCCAGCGGTGGCAGACAAAACTCACAGGCTCTGTGAGTGCTTTTAACCACTTTGCCCGCAGCCACTCCACCTTCACATGAGCCTTTCATGCACAGAGGACAAGTGACAACCCAAGGTCACTCGGGCACACAAGCCAGAGGCAGAGGTGGACTGGCTCCAGAGTCCAATACCCCCACCTACACCACCACTTAGGGAAGAGTCACACAACACCTGGAGAGAGATTCTCCTCCACAGTCCATCACCCACAACAAACAGGAAGCAACCCGTGTGTCCATCAGGTGGGGATTAGTTAGACAAAGGACACACGGTGATGCCAGACCAACAGGGCCACAGGTGGTCAGTCTGTCACTGTGCTGGACATGACCTCGCATGCCTATCGAGCAACTGCACCACAGCCAGGAAAGCTAAGAAACTGCAATCTTTGCCTTATTACATTTTAATTAATTTACATTTAATTTAGCAACATTCAGGGCTGGCGGGGAAGGGCGTGCCTGGTCAGGACCTTCACGGGTAAGGGCAGAGAGGCAGGCAGGGAAGGGCAGAACAAGAAGGAAATCCTGGCTGCTGGACTCACCTTCTTAGGATTTGGGAAATTTTCTTAATTTCCCTGGGCTGTGGGAAACAGGTATGTAGCAACATCCCTCCCTCGGAGTTGATGCAAAGATTAAGCGACTCCCTATTTGTCAACTACTGTAAACGTTGGCTGGCAGGCAACAGTGCCCTGTTACGTCAGCTCTCCTTTTGATTTAGGGTTGCACATGCCTGGTCAGGGTCCAAGAGGGGTCACTTTCTCACTTCCAAAGGCTGTTTGTCCTTCCTTAGAATCAAATTGGGGAAAACTAACGGGTGCCCAGTATGAGAGCACTAAATATGGCTGAACTGCCAATGGTTAACTGAAGGTGGTCTGAATTTCACCTCCATTTAAGAAAAACACAAACACAAACAAAAATACAGGCTCTGCTCTGCCTCTTCCCAGTTCAACCTTTTTCAGCAGAAAAAACAAAAGAAACCTGGCACATCCTGTTTTCCATACAGCAAGACACTGAAGCTGAGCAGGGGGACACATACCTGTAACACCTCAGCACTCTGGGAGGCTGAGGCAAAAAGGATTCCTTTTTATTTATTTATTTATTTATTTTTGTCTTTTTCTTTTCTTTCGGTACCGGGGATCAAACTCACGACCACACACTTGCAAGGCAGACACTTATGCCACTGAACTAAACCCCAGCCCCTAAGGCAGGAAGGATTCCAAATTTGAGCCTGACCTGGCAAGTTAACAATTTAATGAGATCTTATCTCAAAATTTTAAAGATGTAGCTCAGTACAAAATCCCTGGGTTCAACCTCCCAATACTGTGAATTAATTAATTAAAACTAAATTGTAAAAGGGCTGGGGTACCGCTCAGGGAGAGAGCACCTGCCTAGCATGCATCAGACCGTAGGGTCAATCCCCCTCAAAAATTTTATTTATGGCTGGGGATATAGTTCAGTGGCACGGCACTCGCCTGGCAAGTGTGAGGTCCTGAGTTTGATCTCTGGCATTTTAAAAAAAAAAAATTTTTTTTTTTTTTTTGGTTCCAGGAATAGACCAGAGGTCCTCGCCCTTGCCAGACAAGTGTGCCACTAAGCTATATCCCCAGCCAAAACAAAGAAAAGCAAAAACATTTTTTAAAAAAGACCAGACATGGTGGCACAAGTCTGCAATCTCAGCCCAGAGGGACACTGAGGCAAGAAGACCCAAAAGCAACATAATGAGAACTTGTCTCAAAATTAAAAATAAACAAAAGGAATGAGGCCATGGCTCAGTGGCAGAGCACTCCTGGGTTGGCTCCCCAGAACCACCACAACCAAAAAAAAAGAAAAAGGAAAAGAAACTGAAGCTCAGTGTGGCTGTCCAGGGTGACCCAGCTGGTGACCAAGTGAGTACTGAGACTGGCGCCTGTCCCAGCGCAAACACAGTGCCTCACTGCATGTCTGGGCTCCGTTTTTTTGCTACGTCCCTGCCCCAGCTTCTAGTTACAGGCCCTGGAAAGGAAATACACCCCCTAACCTTGAGGATCCCCTGGAGCCTAACCCAGGCTGAGCAGGAGCTGCAAGCCCACACAGATCCCTGCAGGAAAGAGGCCAAGATCGCTCTGGTAAAAACGAGCCGTGTTGCCCAGACAGACACTCCTCCTTCCTGAACATCTCAGCCCCAAACCAAAACATTCAGTGACATTCACACATCCCTGCCGGGCATGGTGGTGCATGCCTGTGATCCCAGCACTCGGAAGCTGGCTGAGAGTTCAATATCAGCCTGGACTACCAAGTGAGTTCAAGCCCGGCCTGAACTGCACAGTCAGATCCTCTCTCAAAAAGAAAAAAAATTTAAAAACATTCGCAGCTCCCTGCCACGATGACCTCTGACCCTCAACAGGTCAGCTCCATCAGACAAACTGAAGCTCACAAAGAAAGCACTATCACAATTCAGGGTCCAAGAGCTAAGCAAGGTTTCTGGAGCCTACAGATGTGGCCCAGTGGTGGCAGAACACTCGCGTAGCCAGTGGGAGGCCCTGGGTTCCATTTCCAGTGCTAAGAAATCAATAACCAGACTAGCCAGTGTGAGGGTGCACCCCTGTAATTCCAGCGCGGTGGCAGGCTAAGTCTGGGAGATTGAAAATTCAAGCCCAGTCCAGACAATTTAGTGACTCAGCAAGACCCTGTCTCAAGTTTAACAAAACAAATTTAAAAGAAAGAAAGGGCTGGGCCTGCAGCTCAGTGCAAAGGTGCTTGGTTCAACCCCCACCAACATAATGAATCACTAGAACTAACAAAGTTCTCGGAGAAGTGCGAGAAACAAGGGGCCCCCCCTCTCAGACACAATGAGCATCTATTTGGGTATCTCCGCTCCTTGTATAAGTATTTAACACAGACAATAAAAATAATAAGGAACTTTCCCAAGCCCTTTTACTCCACGCCAGGCTGCGTGCCAAGCGCATACATCAGCAGCTCATGGAACCCTCATCACACCCATCGGAGGAAGGAGTTAGTCACACCGTCCGCCCACCGTGTACAAAGGCAGCGTGGCTGAGGTCACTGGAGGGTGGATCTGGCACCCAGAGGAGGTACTGCCTTCCTTCCTCCATCTCTCAACAGCCAACCAAGACTCTGTGTGCCAGGGCTGAGGCAGGACGCTCCCTCTGCACTGCCCTGTGGGGGGGATGGCAGGTCCCTAATAGAGCCAGTGACACAACTGCACTCTGCAGACCAGGGGAATCCCATCTGTGACTCTTCTGGAAGTCATCTATGGCTATGTGTAGCACTTGCCCCTTAGCCACAGTTTGAACACAGCTGAAAATATTTAATGGTAAATTCTAGAAATAAACAATTGGTGAGGCCTGGCACAGGCCTGTAATCCCCAGTCAGGAGCAGTCAGGAAGCTGAGGCAGGAGGATCCCTGAGAGTTTGAGGTCAGACTAGGCTACACAGTGAGTTCAAGGCCAATCTGAGCTATATAGCAAGAGCCTATCTCCAAAAAGCAAAAAAAAAAAAAAGGTCAGGGAAATAGTTGAGTGGCATAGCACCTGCCTGGCAAGCATGAAGTCATGAGTCTGATCCCCAGTACCAAAAAAAATTTGATACACTGGGCTTGGTTTTGTTTGCAGTGCCAGGGACTGAACTCAGGGCCTTTGCACTGAGCTGTATCTCTACATCTTTTTGAGACAAGGTCTCACTAAATCACTACGCTGCACAGAAGGGGCTCGAATTTGCAATCCTCCTGCCTCTCCTGCTAGAGTGCTAGATTACAGAACTATGCCATCAGGACCAGCATACCCTGGGCTTCTTGGAAAGAGTCTGTTGAAACTTGTTAGGTGAGATAATTCAATATCTTTTTCACTTAAAAAGGAGGGGCAGGGATTTAGCTCAGCAGCACAAACATATGCTGGGCAAGGGCAAAGTTGTGAGTTTAATCCCCCAGTATCAAAAGAAAAAAAAAAAAAAAAGAATGAAGTTAAAAATAAATAAAGTTTTTTAAAAAGAGTCTGTTTGCCTGGCAAGTGTGAGGTCACAAGTTCAATTCCTGGTACAAAAAAAAAAAAATCTATTGCAGGAAAAGCAGCCATAAACAAGGTGAGACCTTATACTGCTTTGTTCCAATAAAACTTTATATACAAAAGCACAAAGTAAGAGGCTGGGGATATACTTCAGCAGCACAACACCTGCCTGGCAAGAATGAGGTACCCCCCCAACAGTGATACAGTCAAATGCAGCTTACATAAAGCAAAAATTGAGCAAGATTGGGCCTTAATTTGCATTATAACGTGGGCTCTGGTTTACTTCACCAGTGCCCCTTGAACACAATAAGTGCTCAATTAATACTCAAAGGTGGGGGAGAGAAGGAAGGCACAGAGGCCTTGGGAAAGGTCTCTCACAGCTCCCCGACTATGCACCTCAACTCTGCAAAGATTCTTGGTCTTTCCACAGACAGGGAAACTGAAGCTGTGGCTACAAAACCTACACCCCCTCCAGACACAGCAGAGGCCAGCAGTGGCTGCTTATTTTCAATCCCAAAGGCCCCTTGTCCTAGTTTCCTCTTGTAGTGCTGGGATTGGAACCCAGGGCCATGCACACCCTCTAAGCAAGAGCTCTACCACCTGGCCCTGCAGATTTTTAAATGTTTTAGCCTCTCAGAGCAGCTGCATCCCTGAAGATGCCACCAAAGACCACAGGACAGCTCACCAGCAGGACTACACCTGGCTGTTACCTGGGAAAGGACTGCCTGGCCAAGCACCCACGTGTGGTTTCAGAGTTCCTGTGACACTGCTGAGAACCGCACAAGGACACAGAGACAGAGTGACCTGTGTACTCCCTGGGAGCCCAGATTCCAAGAGTTGTGTCAAGTGTAAGCTAGAGAACTGGCCACTGCCCGGGCCACAGAGTTATCATTCTCCAAGAATCTCAAGCAAGCCTCAAAGGGAAAACCACACACAGCAAGACTCAGAGAAAGTTCAAAGTCTTAGCATTACAAGGAAGTATTACAGGTGCAGTGATGTCAGCCAGGTGCGGTGACAGCCAGGTGAGGTGACAAAGGCCTGGAATCTCAGCAGTGCGAGAGGCTGAGGCAGAAGGATATAAACGCAAGCTCAACTTGCTTTACACTGTACACAGAAATCGATTCCACACCAGCTGCCCTGTTTCTTTGTGCCTGGCAGAGACAAAAATTACAGCTGGGCACCGGGACACACACCTGCAGTCCAGCTACTCAACAGAGAGACAAAGAGCATAAATCAGAGCCCAGCCTGAGCAATGTATGGAGACCCTGTCTCAAAATAAAACTACAAGGAGCCAGGTGTGATGGTACACACCTATAATCTCAGCACTTGGGAAGCTGAGGCAGGAGGACTGCCATGAGTTTGAGGCCAGCCTGGGCTCCATGGTGTGTTCAAGGCCGGCCTGCACTGCACAGCAAGACCTCATCTCAAAACAATAAAACACCTCGGGCTGACAATATAGCTCAGCACTCTGGATTTGATCTCCAGTACCACTAAATAAAAGAAGGAAGGGGGCTGGGGATTTAGCTCAGCGGCATAAGTGCCTGCTTTGCAAGCGTGCAGTCGTGAGTTCGATCCCTGGTACCGATAAAAACAAAAAAGACCAAAAATAAATAAATAAATAAAAGAAGGAAACAAAAAAAACGGAAGGAGGGAGAGAGAAAGATGGAGGGAGGGAAAAGAGTTGCCTGCAGATATAGCTTGGTGGTAGAACACTTCAGGCATTCAATCCTTTTAGCACAAAAATAATGAGTTAAGTTTTTTTTTTTTATCGGTACTAGGGATAGAACTCACAACCGCACGCTTGCAAGGCAGGCGCTTATGGCACTGAGCTAAATCCCCAGTCCTGTATTCATTAATTTAAAAACAAGTAAAACAACAAAAAAAATTCCAGGTGGGTCATACAGCTGTATGTGTGAGGCAGACCACAGACACCTGGAGTAAAGAACATGCTGGATAATGCTCACATGACCTGGGGCAGAAGTTCCTTAAAGGTCATAGAAGAAGCACTAACTTAAAACTGAGGCTGATACCCTGGGCCACAATAAATGAGGAATTTTTATACCTCAGACAACGCCATTCAGTGACAGAGAAGGCAAGCTACCGCATGGAAGATCACCACTACCATATATCAAGCCATGAAGGCTGGTGGCCAGGCTATATAAAGAGCTTGTGTGAAACCAATAAGAAAAAGACAGTGACTCAGCATAAAAAATAAGCAATGGGCAATCACAACTAAGGAAGCCCAAACAGCTGGTCGACTTATGACAAGATATTCAGCTCCATAAACTGTGAGAGAGAGAAACGTGAATTTAAACTACTACACATTCACCAGAATGGTTAAAATATCAAGAAAGAGATGGGTGCATACCTCTAATTCCAGAGACTGAAGTCTGGGAGACTGAAGCAGGATGATCACCAAATTGGAGCCCAGCCTAGCCAACTTAATGAGATCCTGTCTCAAAAACTAAAAAAAGAAATCTTTTTAAAAGACTCAGGATTAACTTAATGCAAAGGCCCTGGGTTCAATTCTGAGGACTAGGGGAGGAAAAAAGATAGAAAATATTAATACACAGGTGAAAGCAGACCAGCAGGTCTAGGGCAGCTGTGACCCACCCTAGCAGTGACCCACAGGGTTAATGCATAAAAACAAATGAAAACCATGACACACTAGTCCCGCTAATCTCTGAAGGTACCCATCTGAATGTGCGCTGCCCTGGGGACACGGAAGAAGACTCCCCAAAAGTGACTTTTGCGGGCGTGGAATGCACACCAGTGAGCCCAGCACTCTGGGAGGCTGAGGCCCCAGGATCACAAGTTCCAGGTCAGCCCGAGCTATATAAGAAGTTCAAGAGTGACCTGGACTACAAAACGTGACTGCCCCAATACATAAATAAAAAAACAAATGAACGAATGGCAATTCAGAAAAATTTCTACCGTATCAGGAAATTTCCCACCAACAACCCACCTTCCAACAGCCCTGGCCCCCCTGCGCCCCCTGCTCTTTCTAGAAAAGGGCACAGACCTCATTCCCAGATGCCTTACAAGCTGGCTGTGGGGCATCAGGCAGGTGATTTGACCTCTCTGTGCCTTCCTATCCACTAAAGACAAAGGCAACAAAGTGGGCATCACATGTGCACCACGCCTCGCCTGTCTCCTCTGCGTGGGGACACGCTCTTCTCCAGATGAGACCTGGGGGAGGTGCTTACCCTGCACATCCTTGTCTCCCTGGCTGAGGACCTGTGGCCACCACGAACATCCCAGAGCTCCCATGGTTGCAGCCAAGAGGCAGCTCCGGAACCGGCAGTAGGAAGCCAGACTGCAGTCGGGATCAGTCCTCACTCACCCTCAGGAGGCTTAGGGGAGGGCCCGAGGGTGGTGCAGACCACCTCCACCCGCCCACCGTGCCGCTCTCACTCGGCCCCAGCAGCCTCCGCCTCCCTCAGGGATCCCTACATTCCACCCCAGACCAGGCAAACCCAGCCAGGCCCTCCCAACATCAAATCGGGCTCTAGCCAGGCTCAGCCCCACCCAGAAGGTGCTCAGATTAGAGAGGGAATCCCGGCCTAGTCAGTGATATGCAAATTCGTGCACCCAGCCTGAGCCCTGGGCTGAACCTATTGCAGGCAAAGTCCCCACTGATGCCCGAACACCTGCCCCAAAGAACCAGAAGCAGGGACAGGGGTCTTCCAGCAATGGCCTACAGAAGCCAGGTGGCACCAGGGAAGGAGCCAGCCTCGGGCATACCAGCCACGTGCAGTCGCAGACCTAGAAAAGCGCTCCCCAGGCCAGTGCCTCGAGGAAACGAAAGTAAAGTGGTTTTAAAAGGAGAGAAATCAGAACTAGAGGGAAATGGGGGTGCAGCGCAGGAAAGCTAAAGAGCAGCTTCGCAGGGTGGTGAATGGGGGACATCTGAAACCTAACCTGGAAGGGAACAATCAAGAAACCATTCCAGAAAAGCCGGCGGGCGTCGGTGGTGGTTCACTCCTGCAATCCCAGCACTTGGAAGCTGAGGCAGGAGAATCATTTGCAAGTTCGAGACCAGCCTGGGCTGCAAAGTGAGACCAAGACCAGCCTGAACTGCATAGTGAGACCCTGTCTCAAAAAGACCAAAGAAAAATAGAAAAAACCATTTCAGATCCTGATCTCTCCCCAAGCCTAGGGCAAGGGCACAAGGAGGGGCTGAGGACAAGCCCAATGGAATTCTTCGGCCTTGCTTTGCTTTGTTGTGAATGTCTCACAAAATTACCCAGATTAGCCTCTCAAACCAGAGATCCTCCTGCCTCAGCTTCTTGAGGAGCTATTACAGGTGCATGCCCCATGCTAAACATTAGACAGCTGGTTTCACACACAGACAAATGTAGAGCCCCACTTGTGCCCGCCCTCCTGTGAGCCCTGTGCTTACAAGGAAAGGCATGAATTCTCAGGAGTGGGGTGAGGACCAGAAGACAGGAATCTTACGTGCAGGTCCTCCACGAGGACCTCAGGAAGACGATGAAACCTACCCATGCAGAAACTGGAGGATTTTTACTCCTGAGATTTACAAGGTCAAAAGAAAACCTCTTACAGAGATTGACATTCAGGAAGTTTTTCAATGGCCACTAAGCTCCTTCCCTGCATCTGAGCCACACCTGCTCCTGGGACTGCCCTCTGAAACAATGAGACACTTGCAAGTCCCAGACAGGGGCCTAGGAGAAACACAGACAAGGCCAGAGAAAAGAAAACTCCTGGAAAAAAATACAATTAATATCACTATGGCAGCCAGGTATGGTGGTACAGGCCTGCAATCCCAGCACTCTGGGAGACTGAGGCAGAGGGATCGTTAAATTTGAGGCTAGTCTGGACAAAATAGCAAGACTTTGTTTTAGCTGGGCATGGTGGTTCACGCCTGTAATCCCAGCACTTGGGAGGCTGAGGCAGGAGGGTCTTTGCCTCAGCCAGAGACCAGCCTGGGCTACAAAGTGAGCTCAAGGCCAGCCTGAACTGCATAGAGAGACCCTGTCTCAAAAAGACAAAAAAAAAAAAAGAGGGCCCATGATATAGCTCAGGGTGAAGACCAGGGATTCCATCTCCCACACCACAAAATAAACATCATCCAAGTAATGAAAATGACTGTACCCATGAAATAGAAGGAGATGCTATTTTGAAAAAAGCAGGGGCTGGGGACTCAGCTCTGCAGTAGTGTGCATGATTCATGTGTACAAGGTGCTTTAATTCCCAGCACCGTCAGACAAGAAACATCCAGATTATAAGAGCACTTGGAGACTATTCATTTTTAACCAATTTAAAAAATTAAATTGAGGGGCTGAGGATTTAGCTCAGTGGTGTCACAAGCGCCTGCCTGGCAAGCATGAGGTCATGAGTTTGATCCCCAGAACCAAAAAAAAAAAAAATTAAAATTGAAATATTAGCAGATCCTGTTAAGGACATCTAGAAAACAGAAGAAATAGAAAGACATGACAAATAGCAAGTGGAGGAAAATTTGATGATCAGCCCAAGAAACCCATCCAGGCTAACATAGTATTAAAAAATAGCAAAAATAGTGGGATGGAAAGAATTCTAATGAAAATAGTAATTCACCTGGGCACGGTGGCGCATGCCTGTGATCCCAGCATTGGTGAGGCTGCTCATGGGAGATTGCTGTGCGTTTGAGGCCAGCCTGGACTACACAGTGAGAGCCTGTCTCAAAAAAGCACAGCGATCCAATGAAAAACAGCAAGAACTCCAAGGCCAGGCCATGTCCCAGGGACTGATGCATATAACTCACTTAGTTTTCACACAGACGGAAGGGCAGCTGTCGGCCCAGTTTATTTTTTTCTTTATTTTTGCAGTGCTGGGGATCAAAGGCAGGTCCTGGCACCTGCCAGGCGAGCGCTCTGCCACTGAGCTACATCCCCAGGTCCTACTACCCTCTTTAAAAAACAACTGAGGCGTCCTTGGGTAAAATGTCCAAGCTACACAGCCAGGAGGTGATGAAACAGGTGAGTCTGCCTGTGCTCTTAGCTAGTATGTGGTTCTAAAGGATGCTGAGCATTTGCAAAAGGGGAAAAATGATCACTCACATACAAAGATCAAGAATTAAAATAGGTCAGTTGTGGTGACACTCCAGCCACTACAGGCTGAGGCCTGAGCATCACAAATTCTAGGCCAATCTGGGCCACACAGTGAGTTCAAGGCCAGCCTAAACTACATGAGACCATCTCAAAAAAAAAAAAAGTACAAGAATCAAAATGGCAAAATGGCCCTCCATTCAATTATTCCCAGCACCACAGGGACAAAAAAAGGCTTTATATTCCTCAAAAGGAACACTAGAATATAAAAGGTGATGGCTATTCCTTCAAAATTGAGGATGGGGAGGGTTATTCTCCAAATATCCCTGAAGTGAGAAGAAGGTACAATGAAGGCGATTTTCAGGCATACTAAGACCCAAAAGATGTCTTTGCATGTACCTTTTCACAGAAAGCTACTGTAGTATGTGCTCCACAGAAAGAAGGAGGTAAAACAGGATGGTGTGGGGAATCAGAACACTGCAGATCCAACACTGCAGAGGCAGACAAGCTGGGAGATGATGGCTGTACAACACCCCATGGCATCAGGCAGGTCAACCAGGAGAAGCATAGTGGGAAATTCCAGGAACAGAATCACCAAGGAAGGAAAGAAAGGGTCGGTGAGCAGCGTAGGCCTGTCATCGCAGCACTGTAGGACGCTGAGCCAGAAGGATCACTGGTTCATACCCGGTGTGGGCAAGGTGGCAACCTGTGATCCCAGCACTCAGGAGACTGAGGCAGGAAGATCACAGTGAGCTTGAGGTCAGCCTGGACTACATAGTAAGGCCCTGTCTCAAAAAAAAAAAAAAAAGAAAGAAAGAAAAAAGGTGGAGTTCGGTAAGAGGGCCCTGGGTTCAATTCCAGTCACAATTTAAAAGAAGGGAGGAAGGGCTGGCGATTTAGCTCAGTGGCATAAGTACCTGCCTTGCAAGCAGGCAGTCGTGAGTTCAATCCCCAGTACTGGTAAAAATGAAAAAAGACCAAAAAAAAAAAAAAGGGAGGAAGGGAAAGAGACAATGCATCCAATACTAGGCCAAAGGTAAAATGTATCCTGAGATGGAAAGCCAGAGGTTCAAAGAAATCCCAACCAAAAAAAAAAGAAGAAGAAGCTATTATAACATCAGAAAATTTTTATTTAAAAATAACTTTATTACAACACTTGGTGGCTCAAATGTTAACAATATTCACAAAACCATAATAAAAAACAAACTGATTTAAGCAAAATTGTATTTCACATACCCTGGGAAGATGGGACCATATAAATAGTCATGGGGACAACAAAAATCATAGTAATCAATACTAGGAGTTTTTCATATGTCAGATGGGATTTCCTGTTTGTTTGTTTGTTTAATCGGTACTGGGGATTGAACTCACCACCACCTGCTTGCAAGGCAGGTGCTTATGCTGCTAAGCTAAATCCCCAGCCCCTAGGATTTTCTGTTTTGAGACAGGTTTCACTCTATGGTCCAGGCTGACCCTGAACTCACTATGTAGCCCAACCTGGCTTCAAACTCGTAGGATCCTTCTGCCTCAGTCGCCCAAGTCTGGGATTACACGCATGCGGAACCACTCAGTTCTCGATGCTTGTCCTGTACTAACTGTTCAACCCTCAAAACAGTCTCATACAGCACACTATTACCCCATTTTATAAATGAGAAAACTCAAGTGCAGGGCGGCAAAGAAACTTACCTCACTCTAATAAATAACAGGACTCAGAGTCAGGCAATCTACGCAAAATCTCCACCTTTTACCAAACTCAGTACAAAATCTTAAAACCTGAACATAACTAGCAGCAGAAATTATTTCTTAGAAAATACAGACAAAAAAGCCAGAGTTAAAAGTAGAAATGAAGACTAGGGAAATATGCTGCTTTGTAACCTAACATGTTTTGGGTTTCAAAATGATGCAGAACTCTTTTAAAATGCACATACAGGCATGTGGTGCATACCTAAAACCCCAACACTCAGAAGGCTGAGGTAGGAGGACTGCTGCAAATTTGAGGCCAGCCTGGGTTATATAGCAAGCTCAAGGCCAGGCTGAACTGCATGCCAAGACACCATCTCAAAAATTCAATCAATTAATTTTTTTTTTTTTTTATCGGTACCGGGGATCGAACTCACGACTGCCTGCTTGCAAGGCAGGCGCTTATGCCGCTGAGCTAAATCCCCAGCCCCCAATTAATTAATTTTTAAAAGTATACTAAGAGTCTGGTATGGTGGTGCAACCCTGCATTTTCAGCCATTAGACGCTAAAGCAGGAAGATTGTGAATTCAGACCAGCTTGAGCTACACAGCAAGTTCAAACCCAGCCTGAGCTAAAGACTCTGTCCTGTAGTCAGTCCACCAAGCCTGGTGGGGCACACCCATAAACCCAGCACTTGGGAAGTTGAGGCAAAAAGACTGCCACAGGGTCTGGGGATTTAGCGCCTGCTTTGCAAGTATGTGGTTGTGAGTTTGATCCCTGGTACCGATTAAAAAAAAAGACTGCCACAAGCTGGAGGCCAGCCTGGACTACATACTGAATTCAAGGCCTTAACTGTACACTTTCAATGAATATTTTACTACATGTAAAATATTCCTCAGTAAAACTTGAAAATTAAGGCTGAGGCAGGAGGATCCTTGCAAGTTTGAGACCTGCTTGTGCTACAAAGTGAGTTCAAGGCCAGCATGAACTGTATAGTGAAACCCTGTTGCAAAAAGACAAAAAAAAAATCCTTAAAAATTAAATCAAGGGCTGGGGATTTAGCTCAGTGCATAAGTGCCTGCCTTGCAAGCAGGCAGTCATGAGTTTGATCCCTGGTACCGATAAAAAGGAAAAAAGACCAAAAAAAATTAAATCAAAACAAGTGTTTTTAAATGCACACACAAGATACTAATGTACACCCAACAGCATGGACAGGACACAAAAAAACCAACACTACCTGCTGTTGACAAGATCACAAACTCCCAAACTCAGTGCCAGCTGTGAGGTGACCAGACACAGCCGATGGAGAAGCCACAGCTGTTGGGGTTGCCCCCTCTGTCCCCACAAACCCATTCCTACCTAGGTATAGACCCAAAGAAATGTCACAAGGCATGTGTCATTTCTGTGGCATCTTTCAAGGTGAGGACCGGAAACTGCCTAGGGTCCCTTAGCAGGAGGACACAGTGTCTGCACACACAGTGGAATACTCCACAGTGATAAGGAAGCACCACAGGCCATTGAGTACCGCCACCCCAACGCAGTCCACCACAGAATGCCGAGTGAACCACATGAGATGGCACATACCTGGGATTCCAGCACTTGGGAGGCTGAGGAACACTTCGAGTTCAAGGCCAGCCTGTGCCACATAGTGAGTTCAAGGCCAGCTTGAACCCCATCAAAAAAAAAAAAATCTTGAGATGAGCCCAGGAAGTGACCAGGAAGAAGTTAAGCAGACCCTCAGAGGGCTAGGAAGGAGCCGGGCTTAATTAAACCTGCTGTGGTTAACAGGGTTTGTATGTTCACTTTGTACAAGTTCAATGAATCAAACACTCAAAACTGAACCATTTCCATCCTTACCATTACACGGGAAAGAAGACAAAAATGAGTCAAGGTCTCGTTAAATTTTATCCAGATTGGACTCCAACTTGCAATCTTCCTGCCTCAGGCTCCCAGAGCACTGGATCCGCAGGTGTGTGCCAAACATCCGGCTCAGGCTGGGGTCCTGGAGTGTGAGGATTGTGCTCCACCCATAGGGCGTGAATACAAAATTCCAGAGGCCTCCAGAGGGCTGAATAGCCTGAGGGTTCTGTGAGTCATCTACTAAGGAGCACCATAAAGACAGCGATCACTTCTGCTCTAAGTTTTGTGCAGTAGGGCCCCATTTGGTTAGGCACCCAGCCTGAGCTTGCTGGTTCCAACCTCACAACCAACAACCAAACAAATCCAGTACTGGAATCAATCCACATTAGAGATAAGCAAACAGGTTTAGAGAGTCAACATATATCTAGTAAGTGGGTAAGGGCCGGGGATATAGCTCAGTAGCAGTGCCTCCCTGACAAGCACAAGGAAAAAAAGAATTAATCCCTTAGTAAATGTGTGAGCCAGGTCTAAACCTCAACCCCAGACAGCAAGGTTTTATCTGGGGGGCTGCAGATTGAAACTCTCAGCTCAGAAATGTAGGCAACTGTTGGTGTCCACTGTTAGGGGTTTGACTTGGGTTGCGGTGGGGTTTTTTTTAATCCTTTTCCTACTGTGTTTTCTGGGCTACGGATCCATGAGCATTAGCTCATGAGGTCCTCAGATACAATAATGGACACAGTACATGTGTGGCCTGGGACAAGTGGGAAGGAGTTTTCCTGGCTGGCACTTGCCAGCCTCAACTTTTTCAGCAATGAGATACCAGGCTTCTTCAAGGAGCCAGTGTAGTAAAGACCCTGGCCCTGGGCCTGAAGATGCAGTCTGGTGATAAGGGTGCTTGCCTAGCATGAGCAAAGCCCTGGATTCCATCCTTAGTACTACAAAAAAATAAATGAAAGAGCTGGAGACACTGATCTATGTTTATAATCTAGCCCTGTAGAGGGCTGAGGCAGGAGGATCAAAAATCAGAGCCGAGGCTGGGCAACTTAATCACTTAACAAGATCTTATCTCAAATTAAAAAGAGGATGTAGTTCACTATGAAGGCCCTGGGTTCAATCCCCAGTACTGCCAAAAGAAAGAAAAAAATTAAAGGACCTTGGCCCTGACTCACTACCGGCCAGGGCTCAAAAAGGCCCTGGGGAGGCCTGAGACCTCACCAGAAAGCAGCGCCAGCTGTCCAGCTGGTCCCCTTCAAAGCTGGACAGGAGTCTGGCGGAAGTCACAGGGTGGGAGAGTAAAGTCAGGTCAGACCGCAGCCCAGTCCACGAAGAACACCCCAAATGGCCACATCTGAAACCAGAATGTCCCATCATCTCCCTCCCCCAAGCTACTTCTTTCCTGTCTGCTGGAAGCAGGGGCTACCCACCACTCCTGAGTGGCACCCCAAGGCCCGAACGCTCCCCACCTCCACTTACCCTCTCTGGTCACTCTCACCCCAAAATAGCCTCTCCCCAACGCCACAGAGCCATCCCACTTCCCTCCTTGTCTGCTAGTCTCTGGGCCAGCATCCAGCTGAGTTTTTCTTTAAATGCTTATTTTGGAATCACTTCAAATTTGAGGAAAAGTTTGAAATAGTACAACACACCACCATCTGACCCTGTCTCAGGTCCCACAACTGTGGACCGCTTTCTCACCGCTGTTTGCCGTTCTTTCACGTTATCTTTGTCTCCCGCATGTATCAAGAGGCAGGAGTGGATGTGGCATCCCTTCCCTCACACCTCCGCATGCAGACTCCCTAAAAACAAGGGCGTCCTTACATAACTGCGGCAGCTATCAACCTCATGGAACATAATATTGATTCAACGCCATCGGCTAATCTACTGTCCATAGTTCAGTTTCGTCCATTGGCCCCACATCTCCTTCACAGCCATTTCTCCCCAGATCTAAGATCTCATCAGGACTGGTCCATTGCTTTGAGCTGTTAAATTTTTTTAGTCTTTTCTCCTCTGGTGCAACTCTCAACCTTCCTTTGTCCTGCATACCATTGACAGTTTCTGAGCCCAGACAGGTTCTGTAAAATGCCCCTCCTCTTTCATTCCTCAGTGTAAAATTCCAAAACCTGATTTCAGGCCCTCCGGGTTGGACAGGATCTGCCTGCCCCATCCCTAACCCCGGGCCCCAGCAGCACTTTCCACTCTTCACACACAAAAAGGATCGCTCCAGGCAGCCAGGAGGTCAGGCCCTCTGACCCGCCCCGCCCTCGGGCCAGGCCAGACCTGA